TTGTTTTTTTTTTTTTTAATATTGCCTTCAGACTAGTACTTAGTGTTTCCAGTAACCCGACCGACCGTAAAAAAAAAAATGGCCATACGTAGGGTCAGCAAAGATTTTTTTATTTTGCATGAACGTAAAATAAACATATTTTTAAAAAATAAAAAAAAACCTTTGTGAAAATGTATCTACGAAATCGAATTGCTGTGAACGAAATCATTGCTATAGCGTTATGAAACTCACAGGATCGTCCCTGTTTTTATCGGCAAGTTAGGAACAAAAATCGTGTCTTTTCTTTCTACACAAAACAAAACAATTGCTATGGCGTTATGAACATAACGAAAGTCACAAGATTGTCCCCGTTTTTATCAGCAATAGACACAAAAATCGTGTCTTTTCTGTCTTAAAAAAATACGCTTTTGAATAACTGTTTACTTCAAAAATGCTTGTAACATTTCTGTCATCCGTATTTACTTGTCAAATTTGCTTACTTACAATCGCTAATTTCGGAAAGAAACCGTTGTTTTTTCCGCTGATGCGATTGGCATGAAGCTTTGCAGTGGTGAAAGCACATACATCATGCGTGCAGAAATATTAGACTGGTTCCCGCTGCCTGCACTGCAATATCCAAAGTTGAGGACGGGAACCAGTCAACAGCCATACATAGCCTGACAGGTTGAAATTGGCATTGCAAAAATGCCAAACCAATATCGACAAAGAACAAATTTTTCTGCGACTTAAATTCACAGAACGTAATCTCTCTTCTCTGTGTATGTAATATTCCATTTTAATGTTATTATCTTGCTGGTTTTTTTTTTGCTTGAACTTAAGTGATACAGCGTTGCCTGCTCCCGCAAAATTTCTGCTGTAACACGTGCTTCATTGCCCGGGGTAGACACACAGTGCATGTAGTGGACTGCATGCAGTCAATGCAGTTCTGATATGAGCAATACTGCTGGAGTTGGCCAGCAGCCGTTGTGACTTGTGAGTAACGTTGAGAATGTTGGTGTGCATGACTGAAATTCTCTGCTTTTCTTAAGAATCATCAACCTTAAATATATTTCTGTAGTAATTAAGGCAAGTTTTTGTGTGTCAGTTTCGATAGCCTTCGTGGTGCAAATAAAATGAGACAAACAGTCTCTTGACATCAGAACATTACTTGGAGATTTACGGGCGCATTGTAGCCACTTGCTCCCGCTAATTTTGAGCCCTGATGCAGGTATAAAAAGTAGTTCTTAGGACATAATCTATCTTTAAAATTAATTAAAAACATTTCTTAGTGGAAATACATGTATATGTATGCAAAGACTGGCACTGATGCACAGCTACATACCACATTAAAGACCGACCGACCCTTCATTTTGATAAGTTTCGTGCAGTAAAACTGAATAACGACATTTGGTTTGAGCACTTTCGTGGCCAAATACCATGACCGAATGCTGGGTGCACCATTATAGGCACGCTGTAAAGGGCGCCCCCACACGTTTGGATATTTTTCCCCCGCCCTCAGCCCGACCTGGGACCCAAAAATCCGTAATCCACGTAAACAAAAACAAAAACAAAACACAAAATACGGCCTTACTGGCATCTAAACATAAAACGTAAGAATAATGTTTCATGCAATTCATTGCCACTTCATTTTACATTCAGTCCAAGTAAATTATAAACATCCTGTTGTTCCATTAACATTTGAGGGCCACATAGTTCTTCATGTGAGTTCTGTAACTTCAGCTGCAATCAATCCTTTTTAAATTAATTACAACAAAAGTTACAGAACTCACTTGATTTTTGTCTCTGTCTATAAACAGGCAGCCTTGTTAAAAATCAAAGTTCAGTATCTTTTGCACTGGTACATCAGACAAAAAATGGACCTGAAACATAATGACGTCATGCAGTGTTTATATGAGCTACCGGTACATGGGACAGTCCACTGTCCAGGTTACGAGGTTGTTTTTCTTGGCATGTACAATTAACTGATTCTTTAATCAAAGTTGTGCATGTTAATTGCGTAACAGTACCATTTTTTGGTGTCAAAAATAACAAACACTGGGCATATGACTCTTCAAATAATTTAAACCCTGTAAAGGCGATAATGGAGGGTTCATACTGTAAATCATGTGTATGTCATGAATGTGTATGTCATCATGTATACCATGCAGGCATGGCACACATGAGTTTTGTCCCAAATTCCTCAAAGACTTCCTTGCTTAATGAGCTTCAGTCTCATTTAGTTAAATACTGGTTATGTAACATGTACTTCAATAAAAACTTTTACAAATTTACTGCATAACATCATTGTGTTTTAGGGGCCATTCAAAATTTTTGATGTTTTAAAATTTCGATTTTTTTTTTTTCCAAATTGTTTTGACCCATCCACCCACCCACCCACTCACCCACCCACCCCAATTTTCGATCTTAAAATATTGATTCTCCATTCAATAAAAAATATAACAAATATCCAGTTCAGTGACGGCGGAATGCAGCTGCAGTCCGTATACAGTACCTTACCAACAACACGGCCCACTGGCATTCCCGTACGTATAGGGAATCCACCTGGAAACACGTAAAACTAGTCCAATTTAAACGGTAATAATAAGTATCAGCTCGCTCTAACAAAAAAAGGTAACTTTTGTCTTGGCTTAAAGAGGTGTAATGACTCCCATTATTTGTGAAGTTTATTTAGAAATTTCAGTCATTTTTGATAGAATTTTTTTTTTAACTCAGTCTCAACGCGCACTTTCCAGACGAGTGGGCGTTGCCATGTTCATTGCACGCAGATACCATGCGCATGCATGCAGGTTGCCCAAGTAGTCTTGAACACAAGTAGGTTTATTTCGTTGTCGCGATTCGTAACCGACACTCGTGGCGTGTATTAAGACAAAATAAACCTGGTATCCCGCCCCATTTGCACGGCGCACTGATTTTATGCATGCTTTAAGTCTAACTTCACTGGTCCCCATGCATATGGTGCTCCAATGGACGTATACACAATACAAGGTACATTGTACATGTACTGGATGCATACTGTACTCGTACGGTACGGGCAAAGGGTTTACGAATCAGAATGCAGAGAGTTGAATTGGCAAGTCAAAAGAGCTATTTTCTATCTTTTTAATTGAAAAAAAGTGAATTTTCGATTAAAATTTTTTTAAATAAATTAATTTGAACCACCCACCCACATTTTCGAGAAAAAAAAATTGAAATTTAAATACATCAAAAATTTTGAATGGCCCCTTAGGTCTGTCATCTATATTGAGGACTACCGTACATGACAAATTATAAAATATTGGTGTTTTTTTCAGCAGATGAATATTTAGGAGAAGAAAGTGTACAAGATGTACATGTATAAACACACATACCGGTACATGCACATACAATACATCATCAAACGCACATGTATCTGACGAAGAAAATGTAAATCTCACCATACACATGGGTGACATGAAAACCAGCCATGGTTGAAGAAGTTGAGGTAACAGGGACAAGGACAGACGAACTATGGCTAGGCTCACTGGACATAACACTCGAGGTAGGGTCACTGCTATAGTCAAATGGGGTTTCAGTTAAAGGGGCTGTTGTCGCTCCAGCAGTAAAAACAGGGGTATGTCTACTGGAGTTTGTAAGAGACTCTGCATCAGATGTATATGTAGTGAAACTAGAGTTCAGTGCAGGACTAGGGGTTTGAGTATGGGCAGACAAAGAGCCATTTCTGTTTTGGCAGATGCCTGCTGACAGCCAATGGTAAGCACAATCAAAAGGAGGGAAAACAAAACAGTGAATCTAATCAAATACTGTATTGCTTAGTGTCCCAATAAAAATAACAAGGTATACAATACAGATATACATACTACATGTACCAAACGGATTCATTGAAAGCAAGATGACTTGTTCTGTGACGCAACCAAAAATGGACAAAGTGTGTACCAGTACTTCACTAGGAAAAATGTGTACTGCAAGAATAATATAATAACCATTCAGATTTTTTTTCAACCCCGAATCAAAGAATATCAGGTTTGTTTGATAACAAACACTTTGTGACAGATACAAACTTTTGGTTCCGACTGTGAATTGGCATCTCAAACTGATACAAAATTAACAGTGAGAAAAACTGAGCTTCAGTTATTTAGCCATCAGTACACATATTTCCCTTCTGAATCAACAAAATGGTACCATCACCAGGGCAACTGAAGGACAAGCAAATGATCTAATGGTCTCAACATGCAAGTAATTACATTTGTACAAAAAAAGTCTCTCTCATTCAATACACTAATCCAGTAAGCCCTTCCCCACTACACACGTAGGCAATTGACACAAGCTCCTCTCCAATGCATCACTGCATGTTCCAGCCACACGCATGTACGCATGTCAGACTTTTGTGCACAAATGTCAGACATAAATCACGGCTGTGATTAGTCAAAACACCATGGGGCAGGGCTTAACGGATCGGTCTATTGATGTTCATGAATTTGTTGTTACATCCATTCAATGACTTTCAAGACTTTATCAGTTAAATGCATTGCCACCGTAACGAAAACCACTATACCGAGCATTTGAACATTTAGAACATAAAGTTTGGCATCCAAACTTACATACTTTATTCTGAACATTTTCAATTTCTGGAAAATGCTTCACATTTTCTCAACTACATTGGGATGACAAGAACTTTATAAAAGTTTGCCAACAGCTGCCACTGGTGCAGTCTGTGCACACTGATACCCACACAATGTACAGAACAAGGTGGCAAATTGCCTTTACTTGACTATCCATGTATACAGTCTAAATTTCCTTCCAAACCCTCCCTCTCTGGCTGGCAAATTCAGTATCGCCTACATAGCCTTTGTCTTTTGATGGAATTTGACTAGTCACAGTGTTTACACAGATGTGATCTGACTGTTTTTTTTAAAGATATCTTTGACTGACTGTGACTGACCAAACTGCCTGTGACTGATCAAACGGAAGTGAGCTTTTATTTGAGAGATGCTGGCATTATTCACCGTTATCTTTTTACTTACATGATGTAAGCTTGACTCGCTCTGTGCTGAGATCAACAGGTATGTATTCTTTGAACCAGATGATTTCTGGGTCTGGGTTGCCTTCAGCCTCACAGTGAAGTAATATTGGAAAGCCCTTTTCTACAACATCAAGCACCGGGTCTCTTGTGATCACTGGAAAACCAGCAGGTATACGTGTACCTAGGGAAGAAAAAGTATGACACATTGTAACAATTCATGCACACATAAAAACACAGAGAAAACAATGTGGACAATGTACCCTACTGTTCACCAAACCAATGGATCATTTAGTACTAAATCTAACCCAACCCCCCCCCCCAAAAAAAAGGTGAATAAAAAATAACAGTGTTGCTGTTGAAACCCCTCAGCCGGAGTCAAGTTATCATCCAGAAACCATTAACCTTTAATGATTTCTGGATGCCCGGGCTGACGACTCAAGGAGAAAGAAAAGTGTGGGGTGATGGCTTTGTGTTCCTTTTATCCCTTTTCTAAAGATTTCACATCCGGGGTGATGTTTTTCTATAGGTTTCACAAATGGGGTGATGTTCTGAAAGGACTATCACCCCACATGTGGGTTATGATCAGCACGACTCAACGGGAAGGACGGACGGATCGCTGGGGGTTGCTCTATTAACTAGCAGAGCAAAGTAAAGCACCATCGATATATCGATATTACTCGATTATTCGATATTATTTTGATATCGATATTGCCGATAGCAATTTTTTAATCATACCGAAATATCGAAATTTTCGATATTGAGGAATCACATCGAAAATGTGTCAAATTATCGTCAAAATAATCTCCTGTTTGTGCTTTGAGTTTAACATTTGCTGTATAATGAAATAAAACTTGGCGTCAACATGTGCTTGTGACTCACAGTAAAAACATGGCAAAATGCCAAGCGGCGTCGCTTTGTGCTCTGCGTTCGCTGGAATTCACGGTCTCCCCAATGTAAAACCTCAAAAGAAACTGCCCATTCTGGACAAAACTCTTAGTGATGACATTTGTTTTAAAATGTTTGAGCAACATGCTCGAGAGAAGACTGTGGAAAATTGGAACTTAAGATTTGTTTTGTTTTTTGTTTTTAACTTTTGAATCTTTAACTTTTACATCGTACAATCGATATATCGAATATTCTCGATATGGGATTTCTGATATATCGATTATTAAAAATTCCGAAATCGACAGTGCTTACAATGTAGCAGAGTAACTCGCCTGAAACGTCACACCATGTGATGGTGAAAAAGTGAAACTGCAGGTAAGGCCAAAAAAACAAGGCTACGATTTCTGATATGCGCACGCATCGCCTTGGGTAATTATCACCCATACAGACTCCCACTGGTCTTAAACAGAGTGTTATAATACCTCCCGAAGTGCCCCAACACACATTTATTCTCTTATTTAACATACTAAATCCAAAACTAACAAAAAAAGAGAATGTTTGGCTTCCGTGCCGGTACGGTGAGAAGTGACGGACACGTAATAAATGTTAATGCAAAAATTGTCACAAGAGGGCGCCATTGATAAATAGTACCCTAATTTAGCTCTGGTTTTTGACAATTTCAGTGAGTTAGGTTTTTAGATAATCGCCAACCTAGTTTTCTATACCAAGAGATGGTATTTAAACATGCTTGATGTATTTTATAGGACATTTGACCATTTACTGTCCTGGAATATATACTGATGTCTGGGTCACATATGATTTTAAACCACTGTGTAGCGGCCGGTCAGTTGTAGCGTAGGAACTGAGCACCTTGCAACCTATGCGAAGCCTCACCCGTTCCACATGGCATGAGGCATCATGAGCTACTTGCAGCCTGTGCGAAGCCTTAGGCTTATGGCCGTAAAGTAGGAGCATAGGAAGGGAGCAACTTGCAGCCCATGCAAAGCCTCACTCGCTCGCTAAGACGTGAGCTACTTGCGGGCCGTGTGAAGCCTCACGCTAATGGCTGTATATATAGTAACGTAGGGATCAAGCAGCTTGCAGCCTGTGCGAAGCCTCGCTCATTCAGTAAGGCGTGAGCTACTTGCAGCCTGTGTGAAGCCTCACTCGAACGGCAGGGGTAAATAGCCTCGTCATTGGAGTGAGCAAGTACCGACAACCAACCAAAATGTCACCAAAATGTCACCAAATGGTAGAAACAGACGGACGGTAATTTTAATAGTAGAATGAAACCATGAACTTAGCAAAGGAATGGCTGGAGAAAGATTTTGAATGATCAGAAAATATGAGTGATTTCGAGAACACATGACTTGCACCTTTTTAACTGGGCACCAAAAAACACACATTTTTTTTATCAGTGCACAGTTGGAAGAAACTTTCAAAATGCATGGTATGAAAATGTTTGCCACATTCTTTTCTGGTAACGTGAGTTACCGATGAAACACTTATTGCCAAGCCAACAGAACTTTATTCTGTTGGCCAATTTTCTGTTTTGCATTTTAGTCCTTTCACCTCTAGGGATCTTCTGTAAAAAAAATCCACCCTAGATGCTTTAACTCTACAGAATAAAAGCACATAGTTGACAGAAAACCCCTTCCAAATATAGCGAGTTACCATGGAATTGTCCCTATGGTCTTTCCGTGTACAAAGTTTGATCAAGAGTTTTTTAACAAAAGTGCCATACAGAAAAATATTGAACAAAAGTTTATGGCATTTGGGATATACCCAAAAAAAGGGGGGGGGGAGAGGAGGAAGGAACAAAAAATAAGAATAGAAAAATATAGCTGTTAAAGTTTGTGGAAAAACCAATTCTGATATTATTGTAGCCAGCATGCCCAGTGGTCAAATTTCATTGTATATGGCATTCTAAATGTCTCTTACTTGTATAAACCTGGAGCCTTGCAGTGCTTCTTGCTGTTCCAGCGATGTTTGAAGCAATACAGTGAAATTCTGCATCATCACGACCATCTCTTAATGGCTCAATCCTCAGAACAGATCCAGAAGGCATAGGAAAGATTTCAGATCTGGTGTTTTGGGCATTGCGAGATCCTTTTTCCCAGCGGAACGATGGTTCAGGATCACCTGATGCCTGGCATACAAATACTATGACACCTCCCTCAATACCAAACTCAGATTGTAGTTCTCTGGTGATCACTGGAGGCTGAACTGTAAATTCAACAGCATAAGAACATTGAGCAAGTATTTTCCATTATTAAAGAATGTGCACTATTTGGTTAGGTCTAATGGTTTAAAGGTATATCAGTTATCATTTGTGCATTTTGTTTCGTTTGAAGCAACAAAAGTGCTCAAAATCTAGAGAAAGGTGCTTAACAACTAACTTGATAAAGTTTTAGCTCAGTGAATGTTGTATATTCTGAGAAAACAATATTCAAGGATCTCAATTTCAATTCAAAAGTTGCCAAGCCGTGATTTGAATTGCACCTGAAATCAGCGTCCGGGACACGTTCTCATTCAGCTGACTGCAGCTACGCTATGTCACGCACTGACCGACAAATTTTAGAAACCGTGCGCGCATGTGCGTCGTGTCAATGATTGCTTTTAACCAAGTATGTTAAAAAAAAATTTTTTTTAAATGGTCAGTTGCTTTTTGGATATCTGCAAACGATATACACTACCTTTCAGCCCTGAGCAATAATTCATTCGTGGCCATTTGCTCAGCACACAGCTCACCGTGTGCAGTCAATTTTTGCTGTGTTTTCTGCCTCACGAGGCCATGAGGCAAACATCTGTCCTGTTTAATTTGTTTTGCCTCTCGAACAATGTTCGGTCACCCGTTTTCAAAAATTGGGATAAGTCCCAGCAGCATTTGAAGGTCTGGTCCAGTTGTTTTGCAAATTCTTTTCAAGTCTGCTGGCGTTTGTCCCTATATTTGAAATCATGTGACCGACAAACGAGGATAATCTGGCCAGAAACCAGCTTGTCCTCTAAAATAAAGTTGCCGAACTTACGTTGGGGGCGCCATTTTGAAATCACGTTAACAGAATATGTGCTTTCATTGGCTAGTTAATTTTTTTGGGCTCAGCAGTCAGCACGTAGCACAAGTTGCCCGCACACGTTGAGTTTTTTGCCTCGCGAGGAGAAAAAAAAATTAAACATGACAGATAATTGCCTCACAGCCTAGTGAGGCAGAAAACGCAGCAAAACACAGCTGCATACTGAGCAAATGGCCAGGAATGACTTTTTGCTCAGCAGATAGCTCTCGTGTGCGGCAGGCTTTAGGTTCGCCCTAACCAGAATTCCATCTCGAGGTGTGTTCCCATTGGATTTATTTTGAACCACTGATCAATTTCAGAAAAATCATAAAATAAGTCCAAGGGGGACCGACCTGTTAAGTTATGAACAATTTAAGTGCAACTACAGTAGTTTTACAGGCGAGTCACAATGAGATTACCTGAGTTGAAAGAAACAAAAAGTCGCATGGGAACACAACTTAAACCAAGTTCTTATTGGTGACAGATGACTGCATCATTATTCCTCATATGTTTGCATTATGTACATGATATACATTTTTTTACAACTGAAAGGGGCAAAAATATTGTATTTGCTAGTATTTAATCAAAACAAGAAATGTACAGATAAGGCCCCCCCCCCCCCCCCCCAAAAGGTTTTGGTTTTTGGTATGCACGCGCGTCCCTGTAGCCATGCATGTCGGAAAAATTAAAAAAACATTTTTTAATGTAAGATGATGTCTCAAAACCGCCAAACTCACTGGTTCGACTGAATCGTGCTGCTGCACAATTTAAACGTGTTTTTAGATGGGGTAAGGATCGATTACAAGCTTAATGTGGCTTCTCTGGGCTCCCATATATTTTGCACAGAATAGTCGGGCACAACTTGCAGACGGTGTTGTATTTTTGTGATTGTGTGTTTGGAAGCCAGACGTGTGTGTGTGGAAGCGATGGTCGTATATCTGGAACCTGTAAAAGCTTTTTAATTAGCGCAACGTGTAAGGGAGCAGACTAATGACCAGCCTGACAGCACAGACACGATGTCGATGTTGCTGCATGGTCTGACGTTACCATTTTCACTGATTTTTCTTGACTATCCAAATTTCCCGAAGAGAATGTTTGTGTCGGTCAAGATCGTAAGTGGGTGCAGAATTCTCAAGCCTTATGGCCTTAATGAGGTCACCTCAAGCTCCACCTGGAAGGCCTTTAGAGTTTTAAGGGGATTGAAGCATCATCTGCAACATCAGCCGACATTTGAAGAAAAAAAAGTCGGGGAAAAAAAAAAAATGTTGGTCGCCGCAACACTTTTGGGGCAAGCTTTTTTTTTTGCCTAAAAAGGAACACGTATTTTTACCTGCTACACAGAGATCTGACATCCAGACAAGGGTTACCAATGCACAGATTAACAAGCAGTTGGAAGAAAGACTATCACGCTGCCTCAGCGACATGACTGCACACCTTGTATGTAGCTGTCCTCAGTAGTAAATCTGCATGGGTTATAACAAAAATTCAATTGATGACATCATCATGTTACTTTCCATTTTGTATATTGGCAACATATTCTATGTACTCAGCAAGTTTCATGATGATTGGACCTTGTCTTAAATGTGTTATAAAAATCACATTTCTGATTTTTCACATATCTTTGAATTTTGCCACGTTTTGTTCAACAAATATAATTTAAAGGTTAAAAACAAATAAAAAATATTTGAAAAAGCTCATCAATTTATACAATTTATTGTTTATACATACGGTAGATGAGTTAGTTGGAAATTTGCCCCCCCCCAACATATTATCAACAAATCAACAAACAGATTAATTCTGTTTATTTTCTTCGCTGTTAAGATTCATAAAATGTGGACACATTTTGGGCCAATGAAAGCATTATAAACATTGGTACTCTAGACAAAACACGCCACACATGCATTTATACAGCCATAGATAGTGTGCAGCCAACATCTTTGTACATTTGTTATACATTTGTTATACACCATTCTGCGGTTTGATACCGACTACACTTCTAAGTTGCTCTAGTTGTTTATTTCCAGACCATTGACAATAGGCACGCTCACGCGTACACAGGCTTAAGATTTTATTTTGACTGTCCCCCCCCCCCCCCAAAAAATAAATATTAGAGTCTGGCGCTGTCACCGTTAAGTGGACACTTATGAAAAATGTTTATTAGTTATTGAGCAAATTGCCCCAAAACTCCAGGTTGGGTTTTTTTTTCAGGACACACTGTATTAAGAAAATATATTTATACAAATGCTCTTCAGTCTAATTCTAACGATTTTTTTAGTCTTAGAGCCAACCCTTAGCCAATGACAATATTACTAACACCATACCACAGTTTAATACTCCTTATCTACTGTACCATACATTTTACATGTACAACGGTAATGGCCCATTCACAAGGTCAGATTACCATACATAATATACAGATTTGACCATACTTCATAATCATATGACACCTCTTTATGGCTACAAAAGTGTGAGATCAAAGATTAAAGATGAAAAATTCAGAAGATAATTTTATGTACAGGAAATGAATCAGCATAAATGTAAGGGACTACCGTACAAATGTACAACACCCCCCCCCCCCATTTTTTGATATAGGGCTTCATTTTTTTTTCGTTTAAGATTATACATGTTGGTCATTGTTTGGAATTTTCAAGTGCACAGAATTGAGCAAAAATGTGTGACATCCATCAGTCAGGTAAGATATGTAAGAACATCAATCCACATGTAAGTTCTCCAAATATAGTACTTTTAAAATATGCATCTTTAAGATGACGTCTCATGACCCATGATGACATCATCATGACATCACTCCAGTTTTTTTCTGTAACACGTCTCTGTCAATGTATACCAAGTTCCAACCCGATCCGACGTGTTGTTATCTTGGAATAAAATTTAAAATATACAACTGTAAGATGTTGTCATAAGAAGACCATTGATGACGTCATCATAACATCACTTGTCTAGGACTAACCTAACCTTCTAAGGGTCATTGCCTAGTTTGAAGTCAATCAGATTGCACTTTGTCATTTTTTGCTAGTAGAAGAAAATGTAAAAGTTTAAAAATTAATCAACAAAATCAGGTGATGACATCATCATGACGTCACCTCGGATTTTGTATATTACAGGGGTGTGAGTGGAGCTCTAACAAAAAAATAGCTGAAAATAGCTGAACCTACGAGCGCGAAGCCCATACAACGTGGGGTCCAGGGCCAGATTCAAATGTGTATTTTAGTGTTCTGGTATAAGAAAAGATCTGTTGCTGAAATTAATTATCAATTAAGAAAGTCATTAACAAACCGAAAGTACGTCCCACCAAAATATACCAAGCGGTAAAAAGTACGGCAGGCCGGCCGACCATGCGTGAGTGAAAGCTGTCTTCGACAACCGGTTGTACGTGATTGCTGCATGCCATGCTGCATGCCTTCCCCATGGACCACACTATTTGTGGTAATAAAAGGGGTGTACTTTCTTGGGAACAATAATTACCAATATTTTAGCTGTAAAAAAAAAAACACACACAACTAATACTTTTTATGGAGTTCAAAACATTTCTTTATTCGATAATCAGTTGTTCAACGTCACAATATAATTTTTTTTTCTTGAAATGTATTCAAGAAACGATGTTAAACTCAAAACGGGGGCTAAATCACCCCTAAATAAATTAATGGATTCGTCCATAAAAATTCATGCATCGTGTCGACTGTTTTTGAAGAAAGTACGATCAAAAACTTGAATTTTTGACGTTACTACTTGTTAGTAATCACAACAATTTGATAAGTTTTGTTGTAAAAACGGACCTTTTTATTCTTAGGACAAAACAAATCAGCATCTGTTGCCATAAAGCAAGATTTGTAGCGCTCCAGTCAGACGACACATGGGTGGGTTGCATACTCTGTCAAGTGCTGCAGGAAAATGTTGTCATTCGCTGGCGCAGGCTGCTGGGCCATGCACTAACATGACTAAGTTTTAGGCCGGGGACCGGAGGGGCCAGCCGGCAGCAATTCCTGGTGTTTATTTTGTATCATCAATTTCCATATTTGTTTGTAAGAGTATCGACTGTAAATGATTTGATGTAACTTTTGTGGCCCTTTTTATAACTTTCGTAGTGTAAATGTAACTGGTTCAGAGCATTTTGACTAGAATTTGGAGGTCTTACAACATTGAAACCGCTGCGGTCGGTGCGACTTATACGCCGGTGCGGCTTATACGCCGACTTCAAATCTTAAATTGCAGATTTGTGCTTGCTGCGGCTTATACTCCGCACGGCTTATATTCAGAAAATAACGGTAATGTCGAAAGTTGTTTGAAAATACGTACCAAACGACACACTAAAGTTAGCAGCCGCGCAGAATGCATGATGCAATGCACGCATCAACTGCCCCGCATCATGAAGCCCTATATCGGTGCAGCGACAAATTACTAGTCTTATTTCAAGGCTTTAAATTTGCAATGAGATGTGTACAAAGTGATCTTTTGGAGGTTTACAGCGAGTTATTGTGGAGATCATTGTGTGTCACTACTTTAAGTACGAAAATAACAAATACAGGGTCTTTCAAAAAAAAGGAAACCCAACTTCAAAGAATGAGCATGGACAGACGATAGGTTTACTGGCTATAAAACTGGTATCATCTGAAAGCGTAATCTCTATGCTTTTCAATGATACTATGTTTAGATTTTCTGAGTCATGCATCAGTGAGCATTATTGTCTTGAAAACTGGATGCAAAAATGCAGTTGGTTCACTTTCATTTAAAAAAAAAAAACACTGGGCAAGGTGTGCCTATTGTTACGAAAATGTCTGTGAAATGGCTTGAATGTTAATCCTCGGGAAAATGGCACATTGTTTTGAACTGGCTTGGTCAAAACGAGAAATTCATGACAAACAATAAAATCCAGTTTTGAAACCAACCCGACTTGTTTTTTGGTTTCTTTTTATGCACTCGTGTCTTCTTCTTGAATACTTATTCTCATGCACACCTTGCCTATTGTGTTTGACATGAAAGTGAACCAACTGCAATTTTGCATCAAAATCTCATGACAGTGGCGCTCAGTGATGCATGACCCTGGAAATGTAAACATGGTATCATTGAAAAGCATAGAGATTACGCTTTCAGATGACAACAGTTTTATAGCCAATAAACGTTTAGTCTGTCCATACTGGTTCTCCAAAGTTGGGTTTCCTTTTTATTGAAACACCCTGTACATCTGCTTCCGATTACATGCCTTTCAAAAATAGGGTCGGTCGGTAGAAACTTTTTTTTTGGCAAATTTTGTTTATACAGATTGAATGGGGTAGCCTGAACTGAGTTTTAGCCTGAACTATTTCCATTACACTTACGAAAGCTATACACAAAATGGCCACAAAAAGTGAATAAAACCTACCTTAATTATTGTCAATATATTTACGTACAATAATTCTTAAAAAATCATGGAAAATTCAGGTTGTTTGCACCATATGCACAACGCTAGTCAAGACGGGAAGCTGGCCAAAACTCTGAAGTGTATGATGCACTGTGCATGTGTGGCGCGCAGACGTAGACCTCGTTTTTACGGTCGAATATTTCGGGAAACACGCTGCATGTATCACTCCAAATACGAGTAGTCAATGCAATTTCAAAATGAACTCTTGAACACAGAAAATACATACACACTGTACACAGATAGGCTAGATCAATTGTGTGAATTAACTTGCAAAAATGTTCTTTCTCGACCAGTTGACAGTGCACCACTGCCTGCAATGCATAGCCATGCTAGCGCTAGCCATGCACAGACTGGTTACTGCATTTTCATCATATCTTCTAAATTGGCCCCTGCGCGGCGCGCGGCGGGAACCAGTTGTCGCTGCATTGAGCTAGGTTTATGCACGTGATTATAGTCACCGTGCCATCGAATTGCAAAGTAGTTATCGCGAAAATTTGTAAAAACAAAGGAGGTTTCTTTTGTAAAAAATAGCGAATGTAAGTAAGAAAACAAATAAATACAAGCATTTTTTGAAGCAAAAGGGTTGTTGAGAGGTATTTTGTGAAGACAGAAAAGTCAACAAGATTTTATTTTTTATTTATTTAATAATTATTTTAATTTTTTTGGGGGGAATTGCCGATAAATTTTTTAGGGTCGCAGCCTAAAAATAGGGTTGGTCGGGTAACCGGAAGCAGAAGTATTTTTGGGGGGCCTAAGGCTTTGCAACCAAGTAGCTTAAAAATAGCAAAGCTACCACTCTTTTACTCAATAAAACTTATATTGTTGGCTTACGATCATCCACCATACCGATTAACAACGTGAAATCTCTTTATTTGTGGCAGCAAACGGGATTTCCAAAGCGTGCAGTTTTGGCGTTGTAGAAAAAAAATCCTGCCTAATTCTACGCAGGGGATGCTTCGTGAAAAATCTGTGCTGTCCGGGCCATGTAACTCAATATAATTTTTTTTTTTTTTAAATGAGTTAGACTCCTTGGTTTTAGGAAAATATATTTCCTGAAGCTTTTCAAACATTTTCTTTCTTTTTCCTTTCTTTTTTTCAATGCTAATACACTTTTCATAATTTTGCGATTAATTTCAATATAATGGTTGAATCCTCAATAGATAATTGTTAAATTATGGAAAGGCCTCTACTTACATATTTTATTACATATATATTTTATACATATTTACCTATTTAATGTAGATCCCACTTTTATAATGTTAATTTGATCATCCCAATCAACAGGGGCAACTGTCAAGATGTCAGATTTTAATAGTTCAGACAACAACAAAAAATAAATAAAAATAATATAAGAAACGTGTCTTTTTAGTTGCACTGTAAGTTTTACACCCCTGAAGAAACTGCAAAGTATTATCTATGACATAGGGCAACAGTGGTGTGGGAGACCAAGAAAGGTCACCGTACGGTCATATTTTCAACTTCTGCAGGCCGGAAGCATCTGTTCTGCCTGCATTTGCACTTGCAGTGTAGTACAGTCGTTTTCCTAGTTCCGGATAGTAAACATCATTCAGGCTGCTTTCAGCTCAATTCAAGTGACATTGGTTCAATAGTTACCTTGAGTGATGGAGATACTACATAATAATTTTCCAAATTTAGGCTCTTTTTATTTTATCTTAAGGACGTCAAAAGTACTGATGTTACTTTTCCAAGTTCCGGATCGGTTCAATCAGTTCCAAATTGATCAAAAACTGCTTCGCGCAAAAAAAGAATCATGCGAGAAAATAAAAAAAAATTTCAGCCAGAACTTGCCGAATCGAGCACATTTTCTGATAGAGTATTATTTCATTTTCCCAAAATAGTTCATTCAAGAGAATTCCACCAAATTTAACAAAGAGAAAAACGTAAATGATTTTGAAACATTTGTCTGCAGCGCAACGGCACGAACTCACGCATGGATCGAAAACATTTGACACAGCACACAGAATACTTCACACAAAATCAATTAATGCGCGTGTAGTTGGGTCGTAAAGGGACGAATAAGTACATGCGCTATCTGGAACTAGTCAAATGCATACGGTCATTCATTGGCGAATTTTCAAAAATTAGAGACTCTACAACTTATTTTGATTCAACAAACATTCAAAGGAAGAGTTTATACGACTGTAGTGTATAAACAAAATATTCGAAATCACACGGTATGAGTGATGTACCGAGGAGAAAATTTTTCGTCGATTCGCAGCTCCCGCGATTTTCTACAAACCGTCCAAACAAGTCAAAGTGCGAGTCGGAAATCTGGCCAAAATTCCTCTTCTAAAGATTTTATCGAAAAGATGTTCGTGTATCAAGAAGCTTACATTTTCCTTTTCAAAATGCACTTCGTCAGAAAAAAAAATATTGGAGACTAATTCAATAGAGGTAGGTTTTTATTTGAAGCTATCCGGAACCAGGGCTCGATTTACAAAAAAAAAGTGGCATGCACGTGAGCATGTAGACCAAAAAACCTACATGCGCCAAGAAAAACCCACATGCACCATAATTGACTTACACCCGTCTGCTTCTCTGAAGGCATTCTTTCTCTTTGATTTATCAAACTTTCTACGGACAGCACACCCGTGAACGTGGCGTTGTATACAACGCCACACTGTTGTGGCATTTCGAACATGGCGAAATTGATCCGCCATACATAATTTCGTACACATGTTGAGTACTCACATAAAAAGCTAAATTTGCCTTCCCGCGTGTTCAGTATGTGTCATTTCGACGAAATTTGCCGTCGATGAAGACCCATACGAACGTGTAGAAATTAGATTTTAACCCGACAAGTGACACAAGTTACCCAGGGTCATTTGCGTGCAAAATTATCAGAGCCCTCCGAGCTACCCGTCTGCTTCATGTGGCGCATATGATAGGCGGCGTCCGATTGGCCAATAACAAGACCACGTGATAAACGCAGCTAATAATTTGGAATCGCACTTACGATCCGGACATAAGGAATGCCCGGAGCGTCAGTGCGATACCAAATTATCCGCAGCATGTATCACGTGGTAAATCACATGCATGATCGGAGGAGGTTGCAGAACGTCGGGATCTCCAAATTTTACCGCGTACTCTGAATCTGCTGTGAGGAATAATTTATGGATATATAAAAGAAACAACACGTTTGTACACTATCTGGTCAAGTATTCAACAAACTTTATTCTTATTCTCACTCATTTGTAAATAGTAAATAGATGCATGAAATGAGTATTTTGGTGGTTAAAAAAGTTACATGCACGTCGTGCATGCTCAGTAAAAAGCTACGCGCACAAGCAAAAATCTACATGCACTGGTGCATGCGTGCACCCGGGTAAATCGAGCCCTGTCCGGAACTAGGAAAAATCCGGAACTAGGAAAACGACTGTAATTAGCTGTAAAAAGCAGATTTTTTTTCATTTTTGCCCTGAAATCCCGGTAAAACCTTCACTTTCCACATTTTTTTGGCTGTTAAATAGTGCTGGTCATGCTGGTTAAAGTTTGTGCTTCGAAGGATACGATCCGAGTGAAAGTACGTCATTTTTAGGAAGCACGCATTGCAAAATATATGTTAAACACGAGTGCGTAGAATTAGGGGTAGACCCGTGAACGTGGCTTGTAAACTACGCCACGCTGTTGTGTATTTTCGAACCTGGCGAACGTGTCCCTCTGACTCCCTCCGTTACACACACTGGACTTTATTTTGCCCATGTAATAAGTACTCACATATGAAGCTGTCTTGAATTCTATTTGTACGTCAAAACTTGCATTTGACGAAAATTGAGGAAAATTCTGGCCCCGGTTCATGAAGTCCGTCCGCTACTGCTAGCTGCCATTTTCTCCCAACTGACGCATGCGCATTGCGTTTTAATTTCGTATGATTCGACGGCTGTTTACTGTCGCAGCTAAAACAGACATCATTTTAGACAAGTTTCAAGTCCTTTCCTCTCTCACCGCACCGCACGCGGTCGCACGTGCGCCCGCGTGTGTGTGCGCACACGTACTGTACACGAGTTGAGCCGAGCAGCCAATCGTCTGCGGGGTGGTTTTTTTTCAGGGTTGCGACATGAAACAGCCGTCAATCTGTCCAAGCGACTCGGACGCGTCCGGGGTTATTTGTCAGGGTCAGGTTAAAATCTAATTTCTACACGTTCGTATGGGTCTTTACTGATGGGCAAATTTCGTCGAAATTACACAGCCTAAACAATCGGACGGGCAAATTTAGATTTCTAGGTGAGTACTCAACACCCATACGGAATTATCGGATCGATTTCGCCAGGTTCGAAATGACACAAGAACGAGGCGTTCTATACAACGCCACGTTCACGGGTCTAAATTAGGGGTAAACCTTAATCTTTAGGACACCTCTATTTTTAGGGGTTCTGTTCAAAACTGACTTTTGCAGGTGACTGTCCAGTACCGAAGTTACTTTTGCAGGCTAAAGCAGTCTTTTTTCCTCAGATAAACTCATGTTAGTTGTCATTTTGAAAGCACTTTCAAAGAAAATGTGACTTTCCTGCCTTTTTTTGCAGTTTGCCATCTTGCTTTTTAAATATATTTTCTGTTTGTCATCGTCGTCTTTAACCCCTCATAAATCAAATCCCTGCCCTCTTTAAACAAAATTAAACCTGCTGATAGTGATATTAAAGAAGGTGTCATTGCCAACCGTTCAAATGTGTCAAGAAACATCAGAATGTCACTTTTGACATGTTTGAGTGTCATTTAGTCAGCTGTTTTGGTGAGTCTTTTAACCTTATAGGAACGGGGTCCTAAAAGTAAGGATTACCGAATTAGGAGCGCATAGCTTTAGGCGGTCTGATGATACACAAACCACATTCGTTTCGTGAACATTGCGTTTTGTCGTTGTCATACCTCCAAATTTCCCTCAAATTAATTCAAAACCCTGCCCTTTATCTACGACATAGGCCTACCTGCATGTTCTTAATGCCGCCAACTAGTTTGATATGATAGGTCAAATAATTGTACAGTGGATTTTGTTCCCTTAGGAACCGGGCCCGTAGTATACACGATCACGATCGCCATACATGTATGTCATCATGGTCATAGGCGTAGTATGGAACGCTGTATTATCGCAGTACTTATCACGTTTCTCGTTCGGAATAGAGATTGCCCACTAACCTTCCAGAATTGTCCTGTCTTATGTGTAGTATAACTCTTCCTTTTTAAATTAATATAAAAAAATCCGACGGTGGTGTGGTTTATTCCGTGTACGATGCCTGTGAAAATAGACATGCGCGGCGTTTGCGAACGGAGGTGGACTCCCTATTATCGCGGTATGCGGGAAGTGGTTTTTATAATAATCCCAACTTTTTTGTTCATAGTTTATCTTTGACCAAAACACCCCCTGAATAAAGTCTGATATTTTCCCTGTAACGTTCAAGTTGATTAAAGACAAAATGTCTGCAGGATGATTTCTTAAGACCCTGCCCTTCCCCCGAAAGGAGAACACAAATCCCTGAGGCAAGTCTACTGATCGGCGATTGAGGGCGCCATTCACTTTACACGGTGTGCCGTTTTATTTTCGCTAACGCGCGGTGCTTATTTTGATCCCGTAAAAGTTGTTACGATTTCGCGCTGCAAATATCGTCGTTCGACTTCATTTTACATTTGCAGCTGAAGAATGGGAACCAGACAATGGAACTTTCATGGACAGAGCGCAATTAAAGATTTATGTTAAAATATAAACGGTACCTTTTAGCAGACACGGTGAGGGAAAATTTTGCAAGTTTTGGAAAACGTTAATATTTATTAAAATCGTTAAAAGTCCCGAAAGACACAACATTTTTTAATCGTCCTTTTTATACATTTCGGTAGAAAATCCTTGATGACTGGTGAACTGGATAAAAATCGCCACTTGAAGGAGTTTTGACACTGTAAAAAGAGAAATTTCCCATGCCGCGATAATAGGGATGCCGCGATAATTAATAGGGAGTCCGACTATACTACTAGCCCAAACGTTACTCGTTAATATATTACATGTACTAAATACTGACGTTACCCGTTATTAGCCTACCTTTTTTGTCGAGGAAACAGCTCTTCACGACATTCGCAGCGATGTTTTCCGCACAAAACTTACACTAATGTAAGTAACTACATGACCATAGTTGTTGTCACTGAAATATGTCACTTATCTGTTTTCACGAACGAGACAAATGAGGGACTTATCCACAACAGTGTCTATCACTTGTTTCACAGTAACACAACGTCTGTCCGTTTGACATGTCCACCATTTTCATTCACTGCCCTCCACTGACCTATTTCGCACAGCGCGGATGAACATTGGTTCGTTATTCGGATCAGAGATTTCATGCAGCACAGTTGCTGATATGCGCGCATGCGCACATCGATGTTTGAGGTTACCTGCACGTCCCCATTGTCCTTTGGGAAACAGTCAGTCGGATGTTCTCTACACAGCCTCAAAATCAGCGGCGGAGCCAAGGTTTTTTGGCCGGGGCGTGGTGGAGATCGTTGCATCCCCCCAAGCGCCCCTAGAGGAAATTTGTTGGTCCTCGAATATTTAACTGGTTTACCACGAATTGGGAGCAATTGGGGGGGGGGGGGGGGGGGGGCTTTTGTAAAGACTGCCCTTTTCCATTCAAATGCCCTTTTTCACCAGCGCTTACACCCCCACCCCCCCCCCACCCCCAATTTGTAAACGAGAGCCCTTTTTGGGTACCCTTTTTTAAAAAGAACTTCGTGCCCTTTTTTTTGCCCTCGGTCGTTACGGGTGCCTTTTTTGTGGTTTTGAATTGGATTTTAAGGAGGCCAAGTGTCCGGCTGGAGAAAAAAAGTGACCTACATTTATGTACATACATCAGCAGCATATTTTGAACCTCCGTCCTTTAAAATGCGAAATCTACTTATCATGAACCTTAAATATTAACAATCTGAACTCAGTTGTTGCTTAGTGTCTTTAATACAAAGTCATTAATTCATGATCCCTTAGTTAAGTGGGCTCTTCTAATTAAACGTTGGCTTGTAATAATCCATATGAAACGTAATTTTTAAGACTTAACTAATATTGGCATATACATGGAAAATGATATGATTTGGGATAGGATTCAAACCTACCCGGGAGTAACCAAGGAAAATTATGAGAATTGATCATTAACACGTAGTTTTCAGATCAGTCTCATATCGTTAAAGATGTTTTATGTTTCATAAATACATCCTGTACATGTCATTATGGCATGTACATGTACTTGTTTATTCTTTTCTCTTTACTAATACTCTTTACTCATTTAAACATGAGGTCTTGAGGTATGTCTCGGTCGGGTCTCGAACCTCTATCTTATTGGTCTTCGCCGTTTTCGGTCTCCAACTTTCAGGTCTCGACTTATCCACCCCATCATGAATACATTTTGTGGTCATACTCTGGAAACTCTGTGGCGTCCATTATCTCAAGCACATTAAGCTGACCTAGATTCAAGAATCCAGCAAGAAGGCTCAGAGATTTCAAAATGTCATCAGTTGAAATTTCTGCAACTGTATAAATTGAAAAAGTGAAACTTTAAAGTGCCCGATTATAAGAGTATGGCCTCAGTGTCCATGCACTCCTCGAATATACCTGTACTGATTGGGACCGATGCATCCTTGAAGAAAGACATCCGATCCCTGGAACAGGTACAGCGTTTGGCAGCTCACTTGTAAAAATGAATATTCCAGGGAGGAAGAGGGCATTGTCAGTCGAATAGGCCTACTTGGGGAACTGGATTGGGAGTCACTACAAACCGAAGACGTCGCCAGACTTTACAAAATGCAGAATGGCCTGACAGATGTTCCACTCAGTCAATGATGTTCATCTACAATCAAGAATTTCAAGAGGTCACAATCAGAAATGAGTATAAACTATAGGGCTATATCCTATAGTAATATAGATTTACTCAGCTACCGACATTTCATTCTTTGTCTCCACCATGATCGATTGAACAAAGTATAGTTACCAGCAAATAATCAGTATAGTCAGTAGTCCTACCGGTGTCACGGTCTCACTTCTCCGGCGTGCTAGCTTCTCCGGGTGGATTTGGCGGGTAATTGAGCACGTTACAGTGCACGTTACATGAGCACAATTCATGCTCATGTGTCCGCTGTGCTAACTTTTCCTCGGGCTGTGAGGGACACCCAAGAATGCGTTATGTAACACTTCCTGTGGGTCAAGTCATATTGCCAGCATTCTGAAGTTGTGTTCCCATCGTCATTGCCAGGCGCGGTTCTACGGGGGGGGGGGGGGGGGGGGGGGGGGGGGGGGGGGCTAGGGGGGGGGCTGTAGCCCCCACACATTTTGTCTAGTCCCCCCAAAATAAATTCAGTAAAAAAAAAAATTGCATTAGCAAAAAGAAGCATTGTGATGTACATGCGAACGGTCTCCCCCTAAAGAAGAAATAGCCGTGACAAGGGTGCATTAAATATAGTGTGAATGACTTTAGGATTGTATTGGCGCTCCCCATTGAAAATATGGCATGAGGCCTAAGTGTCTGGAAAGAATAACCGGTCAACATTTCAGCACGCCTCCCAGAATTTTTTTTGGATCCACCGTGCTAGCCCCCCAAAAATATTGGTTCTAGAACCGCGCCTGGTCATTGCGTGTGCGTTGAGGAATAATTAAGAACCGTTCCTTGCTCGGTCGTGGTCCATCACATGCATGTCCAATTTGCAACCACGTTCAACCACGGTTTAAAATAAATGTGCATCCTTCAAGTCTTTTTGGGTATTATTAGGATGTTGGTTAATAGTTAATTGCGCGCTAGGTCTGGATTCGATAGTACACTGTGACGTATACAAAAGTGCACCAGTACAACCCCAAAGAACTCAGCACACAAATAAAGTTGGCGAAAGTGAGCACTATACTGCGCAATTTTGTGCATGCGTGTTGAAGCGAAATGTCCAACTTGGAGAAGCTAGCACGCCGGAGAGGTTAGACCGTGACACCGGCAATGAAAGTTTCAAATCAAGTCTCCAGCATCACTCATTTAAAAACAAGGGTTGCATTTTAAAGTTCAGCTCATACATACGGAGCGCAGGTTAGCGTTGTGTAGACAGAGTTTGCAGTGTTTGGTATTTCAGATATTCGCTCGTACCCCCCCCCCCCCCCCCGCCCTGGGGGTGCGAGCGAATATGACTACGCGCGCGCACCACTGATAGCGCCCATTGGATAAACGCTCAAGTCAGTTGCGGTAGCTTCCGGTTCCAATGTGACTTAATTGGCAATGGGCGTGGTTTAAACTGAAATGACGTCACACTAACGATCCCAGTTACTGACACCGGTTTGTATCATTTTATTTAAACGGAAAAACAATCTTATTTTGTATTTTGGACGTTTTTAACACTTTCAAAATACGTTTATATTTTGGGTGCTACGGAAGCCCGGTCGAGCCACAAAAGAGGAGTTTGTTTTATTAAGTGAATGGTGTTGTGGAGCAGTCGTACTTGTAAACGCAAGGCTTAAAACCGGTAGGGGCCTGCTGCCTCTGCACACGTGAACAGTAGCTCCTTGTGGTGTTTCCCGACTCCCTAAAATATGGGGACCGGTAACTACATGTAGCTCCCATTTAAAGCCATTGATTGGATCATATCACCTCGCCGTTTCCCATATTAAGCCAGCTGGGACGGGAACTTGCTTCCTGTGTATCCTGATTCGAAAGCGCAATTAGCAGGTAATGGAATTATATCGGGTATTTGGTGTTGTTATTTCCAACGTGAATTACGTGTTTCACGTTCATTGTAATACGTCGACGTCCACACCTTCTCAAAAATAATAATTTCCTTTCTAATTTGCTCATATTAATATGAAATGTGATACTGCATATATTGGCTAAATAAGATTGTAACATTTTAACTTTGAAAAAACAAATCGTGTTTTCGTAACTCACACCGCGACGAATCTGTTTTTACCCCCAAACACCACATACGAAAACAAACGCTGATGTAATGCACAGGCAGGCACCAGACTTTTCCTCATTTGCATACTTATCCAACAATTTCGACATTATACGCTCGTACCCCCCCCCGCAGGGCGGGGGTACGGGTACGAGCGAAAAGTCACAGGGCGATGTAGACTGGTTTGCGGTCTCCGTCCATCTGACTGACTGCTGATTGGGTAGGGGAACCAGAGTGCGTATAGACGGAGGCAACAAAGCGGTCTTTAACGACATAATACCAGTGGTTAAGTCCAATATTGCATACAAAAAAAAAGAGATCGGCTTAACGAAAACCTTATTCCCGAAGCAACAGCAGAAGTCCGCTCAATTAAGCTCCACTTCCAAAGCAGACTCGGATTTTCGTCGTAACTTGCTTAATTCATAGTGATAATGCGGATCGAGTCTACGTGGCGCACTAGCTTTTATCGACTTTTTCATAGTGTTGTCAGTTAATCGTACGAGCATCGAATATCAAAGTCAAATGAGGATAAATCATTAATAATTATCTCCACCCACAATTGTCCCACTATATTTTGTATACTTAGTCAGAATTATTATTATCCGGAGAATATTTTTTTAAAGGGTTGTCGTTTTATCCTCCATGGTTCTGGCAAGCGAGAGGACTCAGGCGTCAGGGGTCAAGGGACGCCACGCATGCAGGGCTGACACGTTTCTCAAGAAAACACATATAAACCTTGAAAATTTGCGGTTTCCGTGTTATTCAAGTTGTCACCACGAACAAAATTGTGCACAAAATGATCGAGCCCGGCGCCCCACCGCAGCTCTAGTTGGTTTGTTACAAACACACATTATCTCAATTATGTTGTTGGACCCGATTCGACCAGCAAATTATTTGCTGACGTTGCAACCTTTTCCCATAATGCAGTAGTACCGGTATTATTCGCTGCTAGAAAGCGATGATTTTCAACATTTTGTTTGTAGTATTATGTGGACGGATTTCCTATTCAGTACCCGACCTTCAAATATAAATGGTAAGTAAACAATAAGCCTTACAGCGCCATTCTAATAGCGCGGAAAATGCATTCGGCGACTAATCCTTCAAACCTTCACCCTGACTAGCAATGATGTATCAATCCGCCACACATGATACGTCATACAAAAATATGCCAACAATTCGCATCGCACAGTGTGGTTAGGCCATTATCAATAAAAAAGAATTAAAAAAAAAAAGAGATAGAAAAGCAGTCTGTCATTTACGACAAGTGAATTGTCCACATGACTAAGGTTTTTGAAGACTAACCAGAGACTAATACATGGTGGCAAAATCGTGCGTTACAAATCACAGCATAAAGTTTGAATTTGTATTACCTTTTTTTCTTGTTGTCTGGCGGAGGTCCGAAGAGTAAGAAACTAGAGTTACGTTTGTTTTTACTTCGAAACACACATGTTTGGACATTCCTGTCCGCAGACGTAGTGGTGCAGTTATAGTTTGTCCAAACTCCAAAGACGATCTTTGTTTTGTCTTCAATGTGAGGGACCAGCTGGCCGGTCTTTATATTCAAGTCTGAGTGTCATCATATACGTATTCGAGAGATATGTTCTCAGTGCAACTTATTTGTTTTTACCTTGAATTACGTACCCTTATATAAAATTGTCGGTATGGTAGAACTAGAACGAGCACTCTTAGATAATGAAATCACCAACTTTTTTGTGTGTTAACCTTTACTTGTGAAATGACAGCCAAGTACGTTCTTGCTACACTTGTTACTGTTCACATAATTATACCATAATGCAAGAAATTGACGATATGGCCATGGAGGCATCCACAATTTAAAAACAAAATCGTGATCTCGGGAATTTAAATTTGAAAAAAAGAGAGTATCTTTTGGGGTTTGAACAATTTCAGTACATTTTATGTACACATACACGTTATTTCCGGTTTGATGATGTTAGCAGTTAAAAATGTGCAAACTGCACACATTTACTAGTTCAGAGAGGACATATATCTGAAAATAGGGAGATTATAATGACGTTTAGGTGTATGTATGAACACCTAACTTCCGGTTTGATGACGTCACAGCATTTTGAAGCCCAAGGTCAACATTGTACTGGATACTTCGTATTACTTTGTGGTACGAACATAGTCATTAGACACCGAACAAATGACGGATTTGAATTTTAAAGATAATTTTTAAATTCTCCCTACAATAACTTCCAGTCTGATGATCGATTCTGAAACCTTGCAAAGTCTTTTGTTTTTTGTCCAAAGAATATCTAGGTAATTTGATAAAACTTTGACAAATGAATGTTAAATTCAAGCAAGTTCAACTGTATATGTGATGAACCACTAGAGGGCGCCCTTTTTGTGTTAGGTTTTTCCTCACTCAACATTTCCTAAATTGTTGTGTCCGTAGTTAAATGCTTGTTTTCAAGTTGCATTCAATTTTCATTGCAACACCAGAAGAAAAGGTCAAGCGCTTTTGTTCCCGGGTATAAGAATTTTGCCCAAATCACCATCTACCACCTCAGGAAGAAAGAAAACGATACTCTATTTAGTTCAAAGATATAGTTCAAACTATTTTGTCAAAGTTGCCCTTAAAACGCTCGTAATTTGATACTTAATGACGTCATCAGTGTTGGAGGTCTCGAGGCCGGCCTCGGCCTCGAGGCCGGCCTCGAGGCCGATTTTCATGGCCTTGGCCTTGGCCTCGGCCTCGGAGGTGCAATGCCTCGGCCTTGGCCTCGGCCTCGGAGCCTTCCGGCCTCGGCGAATCGGTCGAGGCCGGCTCGAGGCCGCCTATTTTGATGTGTTTTCTATTCTAATTAATTTTATTTGTTTACCGTATCAAACCCTCGAGATTCTGCCGCAGTGGGTTCCCGTGAAACGAACGCATACAATGTATACGCACGAATGAACTGGAAATGGTTGCATTATACGTACTCGTACTCACGTACGTAGCATCTTCGCCTAGCCTGCGCTTCGGCTTTCCAAGTGCGTGCAAGCATTATAACTGTTACCGCGTGCCAGATTACATAAGTCTGGCACCATTCCCATTTGCGTACAATAACATGTGGTAGTAGACTAGTCTGGTCGAAGTGTTGTACAAAATTTTCTCGTTTCGCCTCTGTACCCCGACCTTTAAAAATAATTTGCGGCAAGGTGCGGCAAGCTTAAACATTTCTTTTTATAGGCCACTGTTTCAGTAAAAGTCTGAACTTTCTGGGTACGATCGTGTGTAGAAGTCCGTACCATTTTTTTCCCCATAAAGATATGATAAACACAATTACGATTTATCAAGTAGATTTTATTTTTATACGGCAATTTCAATGAAAGTTCCGGCTCACATGGTAATGTTTGGCGCAAATGGTCAATATGGAAAGCGCGATTTCAGAATTCGTTTTTCCATCCAAATGAATGCAAAGTTCTGAATGAATGTTTTAATAATAGGAGTCAGTATTCCTCGTGGTACCAGGATACTTTTTTTGTAGTTTTAGAGCCATGTTGATACTTATTACATGTATAAGCACGGTTTGAAATTGACTAATTTTGCGTGGTTACTGATATACGACCAAAACCTCTGGAATCCCTACCTCTTGCCATGATCTTAAAATTCTTCGAAGCCATTGGATTCAAATCGGATGATCCGAGAATTCATGGTCATTTTGATAAACTGAGTGAGTGATATCATGCACGCATGTTCCGTGTTACTTGGAGCGGGATTGGCCATTACCAGACTTTGTCTGGTACCGCGGTATTAACGCACCGCATTATCATGATAATGCGTGGACACATCCCGTTGTACGAGCGGGAATGGAACTATGCTTTGCCCGTGCGTAACGGCGGGCCATCTGGCATTGTCTGGTCGCATCGCGGTGTTTGCTCGGCGCGCGCCTGGACAGTGCGAAAGTCGGGGGGGGGGGTCGTAACTTTTTGGTTATGAGTGGTAAAAACCTGACTCAAAAATCAAGTTGTTGTTTATTTAATGGGGATTCCTATGATATTAAGCATTTTGATAGGTTTTTAAAATAAGATTTATAAGACATGCTAAAAGTAAACGATGTAAATCTTACAGAATAGAAACTCAAAAGTTGGCCATTTAAATTGTTGTATCTCCAAAGGGCAAACACCTATGAGACTGATTCAAACGCCATTGATTTGTTGTGTAATTTGCTTTCAGTGATACAAAACTTGAGATTTCTTTCTTTAAAAAATTAAATTCGCCGGACTCCCTACAAGAGGAAACCCATTGCAAGCTGTAAATTTGTAAGCCAGGCACTCCAAAACCCAGTGAATTCAACTGAAAAGATGTTAAAACTCCAACATAATCTTAGCCTTGTTTTAGTGATTTATATTTTATTACGTGTTTTGATAGCTGGCCTCGGCCTCGGCCTTGGCCTCGGAGGCGGTGGCCTCGGCCTTGGCCTTGGCCTCGCGGTTGTGGCCTCGGCCTCGGCCTTGGCCTCGGAGGTTGTGGCCTCGGCCTTGGCCTCGGCCTCGGAGGTTGTGGCCTCGACTACAACACTGGACGTCATGCATGATGACATCACAAAATGTATAACATGTTCTGAACAGCCGGGTCCAAGTTCATACCAGGTCTTATTATCACCACATCAGGCTCATTTTCTATATTTTGAATTTACCTAAATTTGACCTTCCGGTAGCCCAAGAAGAAAAAGTCACACGACTTTGACTTCGGTAATCAAAACTATTTATCAAGGTATGGTCTATCAGAACTCAAAATATATGAACATGATCGCTCATTATGTTAATGGTTATAAGTGACAGAAAATTGTCACATTTTAAACAAAAATTGCTTGTTATTTGATACCGGTACCTGGTGACGTCATCATGACTTCAGAGTAATATGCGCTACTCAGGATCAGAGTCGATTAATTCTTACCGTTTCAAAAGGGTGGTCGGGTCATACCTGATCATATCACCCAATAAATTGGATATGAGCAAATAGCACATAGCAAACAGATAATTGGAAGTACTTTTATTATGCTGATTTTACTTTAATAAAAGACATAAAATGGTAAAATCACACATTTCCTCCAACTTTGGAAACTGTTGATTTGTGACAAAACAATAACGATGTGACACTTGGCTCATCTTACAGGCTTTTGGAACATAAACCTCTCCAAATTTGATTTTTGATGAGGGTTTGTCAGCCCAAGTTCCGTTGCACTCACAGAGACCACATCATCTACGCTATATAATTTTGAAAGTACAAAAACAACCTGTATTACCTAATGCATTCGGATGGACGGAATTAAAAATGCTTTTGATGCCCTTCATGTTACAACTAAGGTTACACTCTAGCATACGTTCAAAGTTCATAAAACAAAACATTTGATCAGAAGAAATAATGTAGTCTTTGCAATGTACCATTCCATGGAATCAAAATCAAGATAAACTGTTCATAATGTTCCTATATATAAACTTACAATCAAGCTCAGCAGTACATATATTCTTTTGACCATTTATTGTCTTTCATCGTGTCTAACCAGTATATTAATCGCTGAAGATAACTGACTTTTTATACCCCTGGCTTTTAAGACAGAAAGGGGGATATTGCAATAGCATATTCCTTCTGCGTGTCTGTGCGTGAGTTTGTCTCTGCACTCAATAGGGGACGTTGGACAATAGAGGACAATAGGGTCCAAAATTCCCGAAGGTCCCCAATTGGCGATCATGGACATTTGAGGTCAAAGGTCATCTAGGGTCAAATGAGTTCAGTTCATTCCTGATTTTAGTTTAGTATATACACGTATACTGCCAGCATGCCAGGGGGATTTGCAAGTTAATGTGAAGGTAAACACAGATAGGTGTCAAATCAAAAGTGGGAGAAAAAGTGGTTTGTAATTTTGTAAAACAAAATGGGGGAAAGACAGGTCACAAATGTAAAATGTAATGCTGCACTCAAACTGTCTAATTTATTTAGGAAGAAAAATTCAAGGTAGAATTTAAATAATTATGCATTGTATTAAATGCTTAACATTTGCATCAACATTTTTAAACTCTCCAAACTGTGCCATTGCCCCTTGCTTATGAATACAAGAAATATCCGAGTATGAACTCATACCTCTCAGCTCATTCCTCAAGGCAGATTGTATATTAAAAAACTATTTTATGCACTCATTTTATGACATTGAATTTTGTTCCAGCTAGACTGCTCAGGCAAAATGAAAAATGTGGTCGTTTTGAAAACATACAGCAAGGGTACAGTTGCTATCTTAACAAGGAAGAACAAAAACAATGATGGAAGTCCTCGGCAAGCACAGTCTCAGCATTTACAACCAAGCAAAAATGAACATAAAAAGTATAATTTTGAAATTTTAAGCTGCATGTCATTGCTTATCTATTATAGTTTAAAGGGTTATAATAATTTCAAAATGGGGTACACTTTTATATAAAACCCCCCAAAATGTCATTGCAATCTATGAAAAAAAATACACCATGCCTAAAAGAGTGATAACTCTGTTATAAACACTTTGAAAAGAAACATACAGTGACAACTTTGTGTTGACAGGCCAAATTTTGAAACAGATACACTCTGATAATTTTGGTTTATATTGATGCCTTATTTCAAATAAATAACTGCCAATAGTGTGAACACCAATGAAAGGATAGATATTTTTTTTCAACACGACTATAAATTAAAACAGTACCGGTAAAAAAAAAAACTATCCAGAAGTTTGCAATAAAGTGCATATCATGGGACATCAGATCCCTTACATGTAAATAAGCTGGTACAGGCATTTAACCTTTAACATGTAGCAGGAATGGGTGCAATCTAAATGGTAATTAATATCCTTGGATAGAACATGTCAAAAATGAATACATGAAAACAAATTCAATACATTGTACTCAAACAAAATAAAAATGTGCAAGACTGAATGACTAATATTCCAAACTCATCAGCAGAGCTGTTCCTCTCTTGATCCAGTGGTCAGCAGTGAATGCACCCGATTTGAGGTCAATGCCAACAACAAATGATGCCCGTCCTGTGCTGCCAGATCGGTTAGGATAGTAATAGCAAGGACAGGAATACATTCCTGCATAGAAATCATAAAAAAAGGTTCATGGTCACTTTCCTGTATTCTGCATGCTCTTCTATCATGCATGGCTCCAGACCCCAACAAGCCAATCTGGTATTCAGACTGCACATGCATTAAATATATTGGGTCATAGGTCATTCAAGATAAACAAATAGTGATCTCCAAGACAACTAAGTCAAATTGGTTCTTTGTGGTACTCTGATCAGCAGTTAACTTTAGTAAGTGTCACATTCAACAACTTTTAAAGTAGTGACCTTTGGTACATGTACGTTGCCAGACATCTTTATCCCAAATGACCTTTGACATTATTGTGCAGGAACATATCAAATTGGCTTATCATCACAAATTCAGAATTTTCACATACTGATATGGAAAGAATAATAGAATCTATTTAAACAGCTTGAAAACACATGTATTTTTAAGATGCACTGATGCAGATAACTTTGCCAGATACTTTAAAAACAGATCAGTTGATGGTTATAATGTCTTCCTCAATCACTCTTTTTCATTGGTTTAACTGAGTATACCTGTAAACGTGTATATCAAAATCATTTGATTAACTAACCAACAGTGCTATGCCTATAGCCAAATAATTTAGCATCAACGTGAAAAGATATATAGGTTAGTTGTTGGCAGCAAAGCAGGAGATATTAATATAGGTACATATGTATCATAATTATATGCCTCTGTGTTGGCAGTCTACTTGTCACATTTTTCCCAATGAGCGACCAGCTTGACAGACTCAAAAGCCCTAAGTATGTGTATACTGTACCAAAACAACATTGAGCTACAAGTCAGAAGTACCCAACAAACCAACCTAAATTACCAGGTATGAAGTTGATTTTAATTATTACCAATTTATGCTTGGGAAACTATTTCTTTTGTTTAACATAATTATCTTGACATTTTGACCTAAAGTTCCAAAATCAAAAGGCTTCCGAGGACCAACACACATACTAAGTTTAAAACTAAGTTTAAAATTCATACGGCAATTTATTCTTAAGATATCCTGCTGAATTATTTCAATAAACCATAATAACCTTGACTTTTGACATATGGGATCCAAAATTACAATGTAATAGGCTTAAGTAGGATCCCAAGGCCAACCCACATATCAAGTTGATGGTGAGTTATCCTGATGCACAGCCAAATGACAGGACATTCATAGAAGTGTGCAAGTTCAAAAATTTGCATTAGCACCGTAGAAATTGATGAAAAAGCTGGTGATCCTTGGAGCCTAACTATGTTTATGGTGCGGCCGTCAGGACCGTCGTCCCCTCCCCCAACTATTTTCATCCCCGAATAAAAATTGTAGCATAAATATTTTGAATCAATAGCTCAGAATAGCTGATTCAATTACTCCAAACTTGAAACTGATGTTTAACAGATGATCTCTTGCTAAAAAAAAAATCGCACCATAGAGCGTCTAGAATACCCCCCCCCCCCCCAATTTTGGGGCACTTCAAGCGGGCCCCGAACCCCACGCCGTTTAGGCTTCGCACTCGCATTAGTTCTGATTTTTTGAGAAGCAATTAATGCCATTGGTGCCAACAGGCTTTTACAGCTATAGGAGCTATACCAGTTTGGCCTGGCTTGATTTGTACAGTGCTTTGTACTTCGAATTTGGTGCCGTTGCCTAGGGCAGAGTAGTAGGGCCTACGGAACAATAGTGCCTAGGGCCTATGAAACACTTAATCCGGACCTGCCTGTCCACGTTTGCCAGTGTTTACATACTCACCCACACACACACAGCCCCTTTGGCTTTGCCCATGAGGCATAAAAATGAATAAAAACTGACAACAAACCTTTTCCACTCTTCTTTTTGTTTTCAACAGGCTTGAAGTGGATGGTAGGAATTGGACACACTAGCTGCATTGGCTTAGCCTCCACCAGACAAGCGTTTTTCTTGTCCCAGCCTGCTCCTTCCAGGAACAGACCTTTGATATACACACCATCCTTAGGTGGCTCCATGATGTTGTTGTCGTCTACAGTGGAGACCACAAACTCCCAGGACAGAGAGTCCACTGACACCTAGAAAGGGAACAATATCATAAATGTCATAGTAATCCCCAAAAATGAAAATAAAACTATTGAAGATTATCAAATGATGTTGACAATACATGAAAATTACGCATGGCCAGGTTCATTGTAAACATCCACGGCAATGTGACCTTGTGTCAAAGCCTATGGCACAAACTTACTCTGGAGTTGGTGCACTTGATTTTCCTGTGCAAGTTTATCAGATTCTTAACTGTCAAATTGTTCAGATACTGTTTACAGTTTATGAAATGAAATATGTCTACAAGCTCACATTATTCTGTCTAGCTGAAGTTTGCAAGACTGCTGTTAGGTATCCTGTAGGGAAGGTGAAGGCTGACATCCAGTAAATAACGGGGGGGTGTGCAGTGCTTGCCCACTTTTCAAACTGATCAACACGTTGCACAAGGTCACGGGTCCAAGATCCAAGTGACTTCATAGATGGGTATGCCTGTAAACAAGAAAGTGCCTCCAGTTATTGTCACCTAGGTACTAGAAATAAATAGCAAAATTATTTGATACACACGTTTTGTATTTACATGAAGGAAAATGCAACAATGAAAAGAAAAAAGGGGAAAAAAACATACATACTTACATACTTATTTATATTCTTGGCCAACAAGGTACAGTGGTTAAAAGAGTATTTTACCTTGCCATTCAAACTAGTATCTTTTATATTTCTCAGTGGCGTAACCAGGAGAGGGGGCTTAAGGGAGGTATTTACACCCCAAATATTTGGAAACAAAGTGCCCTTTTTTCCTCACAAGTGCCCCTTTTATCACGAGTGCCCTTTATTAAGGAGTGCCCCTTTTTTAACGTCATAAAATATTGCCACCATGAAAAGCGCCACCTATTGTCCGATGGTGCCCTTGATCGTACACTTTTTATTTAACAGAGAACGGGTGACCGGTGAAAAAAACCTTTCTACCTTCCAGCTCGGATGAGGCTTGTTTTTGTTTTTTCCACATGTACCCCCTGCCGACCCAACCCAATAAAAATGACCTTGCTATGCCACTATTTCTAAAACAGCTCCTTTCTGGTGACACAGCAAAACAAAACAACAGCAAAAGACGTCCCATGGTCTAAATAATACATATAACAAAAACCATTTTTGTTTTCGTTGAATACCTTTTCCCACATAGGCGGTACTCTAGCATCGTTGATGCAGTTGAAAATTTCTTCAAGCTCAGATGACATAACCACTAAACCTTTAATGCCTTTCTCAAGATCAATAAGAGAAGATCGAATGATTTGCAGAAGAGCATTGTAGCGTTGGATCTGCAGGAATTAAACAGAGTAATCTGTTGAGTGACAAATCTCATGATAAAATTAAACTAGAGAAAACACCACAGCTGGTTGGTTGTAAGACATTAAAAAAATAGTATCTAATAATAACTATGGAACCCAAACATAAACTTGTAACCATGCGTTAATGCAATCTCATTATTGTTGAAAAAATTTTGTACTCTATTGTTGAAAAGGTTTTGTCCTCAATTGTTGTAAAAGCTTTAATTGCAATCACCATAATATATCTCTTGTCAAACTGTATGAGGCTGCTAAGACAAAACTATTAGTGGGTGTGACATAATGCAATCAGACTTTAAATTTAGGTGATAATAGATCTGCTTGGCCAAAATGCAATGTGGCTGGCTACCTGCCTGTATTTCATTTGAATCTATGCAGTCTATATGGTACCAGAATGTGGGTTTTCAAGAGTGTGGCTCAGTGTGACACTGTATGGAGTGGGAGGAGCGATATATCAGCTTGAAGCCATTGTTCGTTGTTTTGACTTGTTTGTAACTGACACCCATTCTAACCTATGAAATGCCAGTATTTAGTGTTCACCCATGCCCATTTTTTTTGGGGGGGGAGGGGGGATAAATCCCCTCACAGAAGTGTGGATGAGGTCTACTAACGAATACTTAACCTGAAGAGCAATCTGCTTATGCATATTTCCTTTGACCGGCAGGTATTCAAGCTAAGAGTTACACAATAGCGCCCTCTTGCATCCTACCCATAATACCCTGCGGCATGCATGCCTTGTGAGCGTCCTCTTTTCTCGAGCGCTAAGTCGGAACACTCATGACATCGAGAATAATGTGGAAGGAGGGAGGGAATACAGGTTAGTATTTGCTCGTTGATTTCATCCACACTTCTGTGGGGTGGGGGGGGGGGGGGGGGGGAGTCTACGCCCTGCACGTTAACATTGTTAACTGTGCATTAGCCTTAACCCTTACCCTACTAGACCCTCCAACGCATGCCAATATGTGCCTCAAGAAAATATCCTATGTTTTTTGCATGGCCCTCCAATATCTGCCATGTCATTTCAGGGGTAACTGGACAGGCACTCCAATACATGCCACAGAGAACAATGAGAGTCCTCTGATAACAAAGTGAGTGCCCCCAGCTGGTCAGTATCAGGCACCCTCCAGGGCCTCCAACTCCTGCCAATTGGAGCCTTCACTGTTAAGACAAACTATCTGCCAATAAACTGCAGCTGGAGGGCATTGGCATAACCAACTGACATGCAGTAAACTACCCTCAGAGAGTAAGGGTTAACATACTAAACGAGTCGCAGAGCCCGCCAAGGGAGTTTGCGCTGTATTAAACCACAGCCCGTTGGTACATACCTGCACGGTCGGGAACATCAAGGAACATGATAAAGGCAAACACAATCAAGACACACACTATCATATGTAAAAAGGTTCAATAAAGGAATCAGAGTAAGGAGACTTCCTTATTCTAGGGAGGTCCCCGGCTGGAGAGGGTCTTGTGAACGTGATGAGGTTCGGCTGGCTGTCCTCAGCACTGCTCTTCCTGCTCTGCCCTCTGTCTGGAGAACGTCATTCAAGTAACACTCAGTGAAGGTGCTGGGGTTTTTCAACACGCTGCTTGAGTGATGTCACCTATAGAGATACCCTTTAAAAGAGGCCCATGAGGTGGATGCCGCCCTAGCTAGCCATTTAGCCATCGGGCAATTGTGTCACGAGAAGCCAGCCGATATGGCGGGGTTGTTGTGACAAATAGCTGTGAATGACCGATTCAAAGCGTCTTTGTGCGGTTGATGTACCACTTCAGAGCCCTGACCGGGCACCAAAATTCGTCGTCTGGAACGAACCAGAATGATTTGATGTCCAGAACAAAGATGTCCAGAGGCGAAAACAAAGATGTCCAGAGGCGAAAAAGACTCCGACTGATTCTTAGTCAAAAACCCTACTTTAGGGATCAGACAGACACCCCCTGGTTCCCACCAGAATGCAGTTAGCTACGTCATCTAGAAGTAGCCACTGCCAATAAGAAGGCAACCTTAATGGACAATTTTAACAAAATTGAACTGCCCATTGGTTCAAATGGACATCTCGATAATGTGGATAACACGTTGAAGAGGTCCCATGTAGGCACCAGCCTACGTGTCAGGGGGCGTGAAACAAACATTCGCCTGACTACTTGGCTGAGAGCCCGACTCCCTGACACAGAGGTTCCGTCTGGGAAGCCTCTGTGAATAGCTGCTATGGCCTAACAGTACTTTTTAATTGTGGCCGTAGCAAGGTTACTCTCGAACAAGAAAACCAGGAGTCTGCAACCTCCCCTACAGAAGTATTGGGGGGATGCAGAGATCGGCTTCTACACCACTTGTAAAAATGGCGTAATCTACTGTCGTAAATTGTTCTGGTCAATGCTCTTTGACAGCAGGCTGCAATAGCTGCAGCTCGTTAAGAAAGGCCTGCCATGCAGAGGGATTGCGTGACAGCACCTAGCCGCAAGTGGAGTTCCTGCGGAGCTGGTTGATGGAAACCCTAGCTGGGCTGGAGCAGAACAGTTGGGCAGACCGCGTGCCCCCCTGGTGGTTGATGCAAGCCACTACCATGGCATTGTCGCATGGAACCAGGACCGTCCGGGCCGCCACTGAGACCCGAAAACGTTGGAGTGTGTTAGAGTCTGCCAACATCTTGAGTACATTTATGTGACTTTAGTGGTGTTTGGGGCCCACAGATGGAGGGTAGCCACCCAGCCAGAAAGTCAGGTGTCTGTCGTGACAGTCAGCGACGCCCCGGGTCTGTAGAAGGCTGCCCCCCCCCCCCCCCCCAGTGAGGTTGGCAATGTCGAGGTACCTGCCGACCCTTCTTAGGTTGGGCTCCGGCACAGGAGTGTAATTTGTGTGTAATAACCTTGCCAGAGCGCCCCTTCTGTTTGGTTGTTTCGCTTAAGCTGGTAGGAGATAGTGACCATTTCAGGTCCCCACTCGGCCAACGGAACTGCCAGCTCCCGCAGCCGGCTGTGGCTGCGGGTGCTAGATGGGAGACTCTTGGCGCGGTAGCAGCTCAGCACTACCGACAGAGTCTCCTGATAACTCAGTCTGTCCCGGGGGAGGTTTCTTTCCCCCAGTAGTGAAAATAATCTCACAAAAAACACATAAAGAAACTTACACAACATTACAACTCACCTACTAACTTCTCTGTTAATCAAAAACTTCTCTTAAGCAACAACTGGGTAGTAGCAAAACGAATAATAATACGAGCGTATTATAAGTACGTCCTACCCGACCTGCCGCTAAGAGAAAAGAGGATGCTTCCAAGGCATACATGCCGCAAGGCACTATGGGTAGGACACCAGAGGGCGCTATTGTGTAAACTCTTAGCGTGAATATCTGCCGGTCTAAGGAAATAGGCATAAGTAGATTAATCTGCAGGTGAGTCAGATGAGTGACGTAGACTTATGGATTTTAGGGAGTCGTTTTGGCAACTTGCTTTCACATGCAAAATGCAAGTGTTATTGTAAGCTCTATTTTTATAAGGCAGAGAGAAAGGTTCATATTCTATGCCAAACAAGTTCTTTTGATTTGATTATTAGTTTGTTTCCTGTTTTAACTTGTACCCGAAGATGGGCAAACTGAATATTGAATATCTCTGTTTTTTTGTTTTCTTAATATTGGCCTCCATGATTTTGTGCGTGAAAAGGAACACCGTCTCTACACTGAAAATATCAACTAGTATCAGCAGAGCAGGCCAGGTTGTTTTGCCACAGCAAGAAGTGAGGTCACCTCCTTCAGAAATCATGTTGGACTGGGAGAGGGAACCAGAAATCATTTTTTAAAAGGCGTCTGCAGGTGGTAACATTGAAAAATATTAAATGATCAAAGGAAATAGGTTGATAAAGTCATGTGTTTTAGTTGTGATCTGCATGTTTAGAGACACATTTTTAAAGTTGATGTAAAAGGGAACATAATAAAGTGTACAATGAAAGACACTTATTTTAGTTTTAAAAATTTGATTTACTGCAGCTTTAACAATGTAAGCATGGTTTTTCTTCTGTTTTCAAAGAGGGTTTATTTTAAAAGATGATGAAGATCAATTGTGTTACCTTCAAGCAAACCTGAACCTTTGATCCTGATTGGTTAATCCATGGCAACAATAGTGTGGTATTATCCCATATATGCTGAAAAGTTCATGTACAACTTGCTCATTCCAACTTGACTATGCGTAGTGTAAGCTTGAAGATAAATTTGTTATCCCACTTGCGTGGAACACGAAAATGAACATGAAAGAAAATGCAGTGTGTCTGAGTCCCACCTTCCACTAGGCCTAACTAGGCCTAATTAGGCCTAACGCTCGTGGGATAATTAATATCATACTGTCAGGAGATTACAAACAACAAAATATATTTACTAACATAAACAACTAATTATATTATTTTCTTGCAGATGCTTTGGGCTTTTAACATGAAATATTTGAATCCTCGCAATGGACTGAACATTAAGCTCTAACAGTACCTCTTGAAGCAGGACAACATTGAGTGGAGATGGGTCGTCCTTCAAAATCTTGGCAGTGCCTTCATAGTCAATGTCAGGTGGGATTTTCTCTAATACATCAGCAGCCAGCTTCTGCACCTAAAAGTTGAAACGAAATACTGTCTTACACTCATACCACTTGTACATTTATTACACTTAACTTTGAAAGCAAAATTCAAAGTGCCATAAATTTGCACAGATTTTACTCCATTTGCATATGTATACCATTGGGTGTGCATCCCATGCTGTTCAAGTAGACATATCAGCATGAGTAGTAGTAACTTTGCAATTGTGAATTTTCACAAGTACTATGAAATGTAAGCAGGAGTAGCCACTCGGAGCATTCCACACTGTGATAACAGCACACTTGTTTCAGTCTAATGAATATATAAGAGGTTTTCAAAACCACAACTTTGTCTTAAGCTCTGACCTCAGGAGGTTCCCGACTTCTGTCTGAGATTCTGACTTTAATATGGGTCCGTTTCTGCTCCAGAAACATCCAATCATATATTTGTAAGTCAAAGTTTTGGAGTACTTTCATTTGAATTGGAACTTAAAAGCGTCTAAATAAATGTAAAGCCAGATATAAGCCAAAGCCAGAAATGTAGCCAAGGTGTTGAAAATCACAATGGTTCTCTGGATATGGGACAGTGGAAACTGCATCTTTGTCACCTGACACATGATGGTCATTGTAACATCACTGTTCATGTAGCAAACTTTTGTTGTTTTACTTGTTCCTGCTCTCCATATTTTGAGGTCTAGAACAAAACATGGTGACTAGAAACCAGCATATTTAGCTCACAATGCTTACATTTCTATTTGACAAGTTATCTGGAATCCTGTAATCATTTACTAGAAAGGCAATAATGAGCGAATCTTTGGTAACTGTTGGTTAGCATACCTTACTCTCTCTGCTTTCCCCTTGTTTGACAGAGACCTGAGGTTGTAGTGAAAGGAGTGTATCAAACAATATTCGTGTCTCAGTGATCTGACTTGCGATATCTGCATTAGGGTGCTGGCCAAAGCTCTCTGGATGATCTACACCTGGAAGCATACTGATGTACTCCTGGTAGACAAAAATACAATCACAATATGCAGCTCAGAGCAGTTGACAAGTGATAAAGTGAACAAGGTAAAATGGTTTCAAGTGGCAACATACAGTAACATTTAAAAAAAAAAGGGGTCTGTGTAATACATTCAAAGTGCATATCAATGCACGCATGCATAAAATTACGAAGCAATTTTTTTCTGTTGTTGGGGGCCTGGTTGCATATAATGGCCCTCGCATGTTCAGGCAACTTGTGCGCATCATGCACATGGTTTGCTAAACATCAGTTTATCTCAAGTGAGTGGCTGTAGCATACGTGCGGCGCATACTGCACGCATGTGGCGCAGAGTGCAGCATCTCGCAACCAGTTTTAAACATCGCTGGCCGAAATTTAAACAACGGTATAAGACCACCCATGTGAGAGTTCTGGACCAATAGGTGTATGGGTAAACTGTCTCAGGTATTTATGAACTTCATTTTAAAGTTAGTATATTACTGGCTTCTCAAACGAATGACTAAATCAAGGTTCCCGTTTACGATTTACAGACTCTTGGATATGGCTCTTTAGTTGATCTGGATCACCTTTTCAACAGTTCCATAAATTGCGTTGCAGCGCTTGACGCACCTTACATAACCCTACAATGCATTGCTGCTGCAATGTGTTCTAACGAACCATTTCATAAAACTGGAGGGCAATACATTGTGAATCTATCTGCAGCACAATACAGAAACTGTTTCATGTCTGATATTTAGCAAAGAGCAGGCGCGGTTCTACGGGGGGGGCTATAGCCCCCCCCCCCCCCCCCCAATTTTGTCTAGCCCCCCAAAAATAAATTCCGTAAAAAAAAAATTGCATTAGCAAAAAGAAGGATTGTGATGTACATGCGAACGGTCTCCCCCTAAAGAAGAAATACCCGTGACAAGGGGGCATTAGTTAATATATTGTGAATGATTTTGGGATTTTATTGGTGCTCCCCCCCCCCCCCCCCCCCCTTATTGATTTTCGGAGGCCTAAGTGTCTGGAAAAAATAACCGGTCTACATTTCAGCACGCCTCCCTGAAAAAATTTTTGGATCCACCGTGCTAGCCCCCCCAAAATATTGGTTCTAGAACCGCGCCTGGCAAAGAGTCATCAGATCATTCTTAAAAAATAAAACAAAATGGCGGACGTATACTGAGGTTTGCAAGGAAAACTAACTGGCATTTTACTATTATCTAATTCAAATTACTATACCTCATACATATTCATGATCGAGAGCCGAGTTCTCACTGGTTCATTCACCATTGTGTATCAGCCGCTACGTTGGCTGTACTAAGCAAGCACATGAGGTTTCACGCACAGGTTAAGTACGCATGCATAGTAGACTATCGCACTGGTTATCAGTGTGCTATTCTATTACGCATACGCTTTACAAAGCAATCGTGGAACTAGCACACGGGGGTAGTGCGCACGCGCAAACATCAGCAGCTACATGAAAAGATGGGGCACACGCACAACATGTTACTGAGAAAACGTACGCTTAACTCTATGAAAATTTTAAAACATGGTTTAGTTGAGGTGGACAGTCAATATTAGCTCCCCTTGGTATTGGAAGTTGACACACTAGTTCCTGGCTTTGCCTCGGGAACTAGTCTGTCAACTTCCAATACCTCGGGGAAGGAATATCGACTATCAACCCTCAAACCATGCTTTATTTGTATAATAACAATGTCCCATAGCTACCAAGGTAAATCATATTTACTTCGATATCATTTATAACTTCACACATAATTCTTTCATGAAAATAGTCTTGTTTTCATAACTGTCATGCCATAATACTGGCTCAGAAAAGACACCACTTATGTTGCGATGACCCAATGAAACATGGTAACTTGCAACATGTTTTTTAACTGTTGCCAGGGAACTAAAGATGCGTTCAATGCATTGTATGTTTTGAAGAATGGCTGTGAGACTTGTTGCAACTTGATTTTCAACACATAGCAGCTCTTCAAAGACTTGGGTGCAGACATTCTAATTCCAAAATGTACCGAAAGCTCAATGATTTACTATAACACATTGCGACTGGCTAAAGTCCAAGCTTTTACCTTGTAAGCTTGAAGTGGTCCATCTTTAGGAACATAGTACGTCTGCAATGATGACAACCTAAATAAGATACAACGATAGTTTATTGATACTACTTTGTTGTGGTAATAAATTTGTTCCCATTGGCCTCTTTTTCCCCCATGTCCTCCTATAAAAAGCACATTCTACCAGTTATTAAAGCCAAGAAGGTTAATGGTTGTACTAGAATGCCACGACTTCTAGCTACTGATTATATAAGCCAGTGTCCTGCTACACACATACAATCTTAGCTTCCTCATTTCTTGAATGTCACTGTGTGAATTCCCTTCATGCAAGGTGAAAACAATTATTGCCTACTTTATTTCTATTTCATTTGCATAAATTGCCTTTTCATTTGTCATTTACCTTTAAAAAAATATCAAATTAAGGCAAGATTTTTTGGGAAAAAGGTGTCATTACATGCTTCTTGATAGTGGTAATTTAACATTGAAGTTTTTTTTGGCGCCAAATTTTGCACACACATAATGCCTCTGATATTTAAGTAAAAATGATAACCACTCAAGATTACATCATATGAAGAGGCAACATACTCGATTAATAACAAATAACTTACTTATAAAAAGCTGTTGCAAGTGTTGCTTCACAGAAGTACTCGTTGATATATGTGATGAGCAAGCGTCGATCAAAGTCATCAGTAATGTGACCTCCATAGTTGACTCCTGCAATCAGGTACTTGAGGGCATCCCATGGTGTCTCATCATACTCATCAAGGTAGATACTCAGAAGATTCTCAGACACCTTGACAATAAGAAGGTTAATAGTCATACTAGAATACCACTACTTCTAGTAACTGATTAAATAAACAATAAAAGACACAAACTCTTACACAATTAATTATGCACAGTTTATAAACATACTGCTGAAATGATCTGAACTGAGGGATTAACCCTAACCCACCTCACTCCTCCAAAATCCTCCTGGCGGTTTTGGAGGATTCTAGAGGATTGAGGATGAATGGTGATTGAATCAAATGAGGATTCTGGAGGATTGAGGATGAATGGTGATTGAAGCACATGAGGATTTTGGAGGATTGAGGATAAATGGTGATTGAAGCACAAGAGGATTTTAGAGGATTGAGGATGAATGCATTTTGAGGCAGGACTGTCTGATGATTTTGAAGGATTTGACGTAAGTTATCCTTCATTTAAACACAAGTGCAAAATTTTGGAATGAGGATGATTTTGGAGGATTGACGATGAATGCATTTGAGGCAGGACTGTCTGATGATTTTGAAGGATTTGACGTAAGTTATCCTTCATTTAAACACGAGTGCAAAATTTTGGAATGAGGAGGATTTTGGAGGATTGACGATGAATGCATTTTGAAGCAGGACTGTCTGACAATTTTGAAAAATTTAGGCTGAGCTGCACAATTTTGGAGGATTTTGGAGGATGGTTCTTAGCAAAAAGGGCCTAGGAGGTTAAGGTTAAGGTTGGCTCAAGTTTAGACTGTGTCAGGACACAGCCCCCATTTGCTCTTGGAATTATACTTTGGTTGGTGCAGACACGGAATAGGACATGATTACAATACTGCATCATTCACAACTATACCAGATCTAAGTGACCACAAATATTGCCAAATGTTCACCTCAAAGTCTGAGTCATTGAAGCCATACATGATGTTCCATCCAAGCATTTGAAATTTGCGTCTCTCTAAGAGGATTGAGTGGAAGAAGCATAAAGCAAACAATAGCTTCTTGTACTTCTCCGGCTTCTGACATCGTAAAAATTGCTGCTCTGTTACAAGGTGATACAAGCGCTTCATGTTGGCTTTAAGTCCCTTGAATGAGAAGAAAAAAAAATAACAAAAATGCATTGCACAGTAACTGATTAGATATTAAGGAAAGTTAAGACTTTGAACTCATCTTTACTTAATATGAGGCTTTACTTCGCCTGCTTTGTGGGGTAGGCAGCTATGCCGTCTGTCACCCACTTGGCAGACTTTCACAACCGCTTTGTTCCTTTTATACAAGTTGTTAATGTTATTTACTGTTCTTATAAAATAGGCATACATTAAGGGAATAACGGTGTGAGGAGCCGGTCTTCACTGCGTGATAATGACCGGGTGTGGGGGTGACCGCTGTTAATGGACCGAGACGAAGTCGAGGTCCATTAACAGCAGTCACCCCCACACCCGGTCATTATCACGCAGTGAAGACCGGATCCTCACACTGTTATTCCCATTAATAAATACCTTTTTAACGAAATAAACAGTTAAAATGCTCCAATTTTGTGACTTTCTTTCGGCGATATTTCCAGACTTTTTGTGTTCATGTTCATGGGCCATATTTTAGCTTAACAGGTATAATGACGTAAACTCAACAGAAACTGCTGCCGTAGCGAAACAAATTACAACAATGTTTTCATATCTTTACCTGATGGAGGAAGCTGAAATCTCGTTTACATATTCCTTGTGTCCGGAATTACAAAGATGCTTGGTTTAGGAAAGGTAAATATGTCGGTGGGTGAAGTGTTCAAAGAAAATAAATCGTAGATCTACGCTTTCGTCGTAAACATCCTCAGTATATACTGCACTGCTGTACGATGTCGTTTCAAAACTTCCTTACTCGCGCGCACGCACGCATCCCTAGCAACTGTGTTGCGTACGCGCGCGTCAGTCTCACGCGATGGGGGTTGAGCGCATGTGCAGTGCTCTATTGTTACAAGCTACTGCAGGACTGTTACTATATTTTGACCAATCATTGGCTTGCATGGGGCTGAACGGGGCTGGATCAATGCTGGTTCAGGGGCCATTTATTCGCTTGATCTTTGAAGCCGGTCCATTATCACCGTTAATGCCCGGCCACGTGATCGAGTCTCGACCAATCAGAAACCATCAACTCTCCAAGGTATTTATTAATCAGTGATAAATGGATGCCAAGGAACATTTTTGATAAAGGTTTACGCAATCAGCTTTCCATTCGTAGCTATTGCAACTTTATTGTGAAAATACTCCTCAAGGCTTTTCAGTTCTTTATACTTTGATAACAGTTGAGTCTTCAGAACCATTTATAAACCTAAATATGAATTTTACCTTAGGTGGTTCTGTTGTCATTTTGATACCGCCTTGGAGGATGGAGATTGGGAATTCAGGATGTGGACTGCTACTCAGCCACAGTCTGAAGTCTGGATGAGGGTCCTCAACCTGAAGCTGCTCTACCAGTTTAGCTAATGCTGGCATCCAACTCAATGACAAGTGACAGTTAGCCAAGAATACCCAGTTACCCTTCATTCAACAAAACAAAAATTGTATTGGGTTTCAATTAAACTTGTGCTTGAATATTTTTTAACATTTGCAGATTTCATTACTATAGGCCTACATGTGATTACAAATTAAAGCACAAACTAGCACTTCAAAGCATCTGCTAAATGCTAACAATAATTTACTCGTGTACTTTTTACTCATTGAAAAAGCATTTGCTTTGTTTCATAAGCATTGAAGGAACACGACTACAAATCTTAAACATTTACAAGTCTGTTTTCAACATATAATAATATAACACAAGTCTGATACCATTCCTGCCAAAAATGTTTGCTATGGTGCAAAAATGAAGAATGGCGGCAAAAATGAAAGAATTAATTAAGTAGAGGGTGCCCCTTTGCATCTTTTTGTCCTTGACTTGAATAAATACCCTATTTTCTGCAACTGTTATTGGTTGGGTTACATATATTTAAAAAGTAGTAGTAATAATACATAGATATCTTGGATAAAGGCTGTTTCCAACTCTTTAGATAAATAATATGGGTATTACAATTTATTGCAAAAAACTTATTGGACATGAGTCGAATTATCCATTGTAAAAACCATTTCATACTGCTTCTGATAAAATCACTGTAATACTTGTAACAGTAAAACCTCAAAAAAAAAAAAATCACCTCTTTGACGCCTTCTTTGATCATACGTGTTGCAATTGGTGCCTGTCCCTGGCCAAGTGATAGCGCATGGAAACGATGAGCCATGTCACTTTGTTCAGCTAGCTGAAGAAGCATGCTTGTTGGATCCTGTGAGGAGAGTTGAAAATCAAAGTTGAAAACTTTTAGCAGGATAGAAAGTAACCGTCACAGTTCAAACATAACATCAATACTTATCATTCTACTTAACGCAACTTTTAATTTTTCTTAGATTTCTTAGATTTCCTTTTCTATCCCTCCTTTGTGTAGCCCTCACCCTGAGTGGCCATTAACCCTAAAAGGGCCAACGGAATCCGCCCCCTCCTTGACTTTTTCCGTGATAGCCTTGAAAAAAAAAATATGTTTTTGTGACCCGAGATGTTATGAATTGTTAGCCTTGAGCCTTACATATCTTTTGATACCAAAAATATAAAAATCAGACCACGGGTTGCCATGCAGCGAAAAATTTTCCAGCGAAAACTGAATTTTCCCATATACGTCGTGTACACAGAGCAGAATTACCGTTCGTACATATGAATAATTAATTAGCCATAATTCCAGAACTCTTTGACCTATAGTCATGAAATTTCTTGGGTATGTTCATGATAAGTTGTTCTATGCATGTACTGAGTTTCAAAATTTGGCCGAGATCCCAAACCCAACCCCCCTACCCCCAACTGAGATGGTCAAAATAACCCCGCCCTTTTAGGGTTAAAGATGGCCTTGCGATGGGGAACTCGCATTCTTGGCCATTCTTGACCAATGAAATCACATGCAGTATCCATGCACACAATATAACAATTACAATTTTTTAACCTCTCTCAGAGATGCCAACTTTTATTTACAGACTACAAAATAGTAATGATTCTTCCTGCAAAGAGTAATGCTAATGTAAATAAATAAACAGTCACGTTTAAGAGTAACCACAGTACTTTTCAGAGTAACCACAATGTTGGCGTATAGGACAGCTGGAATTCTCAAGAGAAGTAACATGCCTCAAAATCCTAATAATTACTCCAAAAGACTAACGGTTGGCATCTCTGCTCTCTCTGCCTTGCACAATAGACCTAAATCATAACTAGAATATGTCTGTTCGATGAACAGAACATAGGGCTTTCCCGCATCACGATTGTTTTTAGGAGTTTTTATGTGCAGTCTTTGAAACGATAATTTCGTGAACAAAATGCATTTAACTTAAATTTTTGCTAGTAGCCAAATATATACAATTTTAAACATTGATTAAAAATTAAAAATCAGTTGATGACGTCAACTTGAGATTTGAAGGTTTGCCTGGTGAAAAGGTAATAAGATAAGTAGTTTACGGTAGCACCATGTGGTAAATCTCTTTTGTGAGTATGTGTGGTTCTGAAAAGAACCGGAGGGAACTCAATGTTTCGGACAGTATGCTCTGCCCATCATCAGGAGACTGAGGGATTCCAACGGTGATGCGGGGTTATATGGTGCCTGGAATGGATGATTTATCAAAGTCTCCCTTTCTGCCATGGGCTTTGTGTTCATTGAGTCTGGTGGGAAGGTCCCTGCAGGTCTCACCGGTGTACACTTTGCCGCATTGGCAGGGCGTCCTGTAAATTCCTGGCCTGCGCTCTGGGTCTGACCGGTCCTTGTGCGAAGTCAGCAGATTCTGGATCTTTAGGGGGGCTGTGTGAAAATCTCAAATTCCATGCTTGTGGAGGATGCGCTGGATGTGATGTGAAGTACTACCTAAGTAGGTGAGGGTAATGGAACTACGGACCCTAACTAGTTGGCTTTGGGTATAGGCGAGCCTTTGGCCAGGGTTGGTTTTGGAGTCTTGTGTTGGCTGGGATTGTATCTGTTGCGTTGCAGCGCTGTGGTGATGTGATGGAGTTCCTGGGGTAGATGTTCCTTGGGGTAGATGTTCCTTGTCGCAGACGTTGTATGCCCTGCGGATGAGGGCACAGTTCATGGAAGTCTTGACCTTGGGGTGATGAAAGGAACTGCTGTGAAGGTATCTGTCGGTGTGGGTAGGTTTGCGGTAGATGCTGCAGGTAAGACTGCCCTCCTGCTTTCTGGACACATCAACATAAAAAAAAAAGATGTTGCCATCTCTTTCTTGTTCCATGGTGAACTGGATGCTGCTGTGAATCCGTTGAGGCGTTCCAAGAAGAGCCATAGGTTATCCTGCCCGTGCTTCCAGATGACAAAAGTGTCGTCCATGTACCAGTGCTAAACCCTAGGTCTGTGATCTGCTGTGACGATAGCGGTCGGCTCAAATTTTTCCATGAATATGTCGGCCAAGGGAATATAGGAGATCCCATGGAGGTTCCAGCCGACTGTTTGAAGAATTTATCCCGCCATCAGAAGCGGGATGAGTCGACACATGCAAGGAGCAGATCATGAAGCTGGTCAAGGGTGAGGTCAGTGCGGTCCTTGAGGGTGAGGCTGCTTGAAGTCTGTCCTTGGCGATGGTACTGGCATCGGAGGTAGGGACATTAGTGAAGAGGGAGACGACATAAAAGCTGACCATACTGTCGTCCAGCTGGAGGGTGAGGCCTTGGATTAGGGTGCCAAACTGGTCGGAGTTCTTGATGTGGTGTTCGGTGTTGCCTACCAGGGGGTGAAGTATCTTTGCCAGATGCCTAGCTGTGTCGTAGGTGGGGCCACCCCTGGAAGCTACGATGGGGCGCAGGAGAAAATCCTTCTTGTTGATCTTGGGCTGTCCAAAGAACTTAGGGCACTTGGAGCTGGATGGCCGGAGCTGTCTGTACAAGGGCTGAGAAATGTTACTGGAACGCTGGAGAGAAAGAAGCTTGCCTTGCAGTCTCCTCTCAATAGATGGAGTGGGGTCTTTCCGGAGTTCACGGTACCGAGTTGAGGATGTCCGCCACCTTGCAATTAAACTCAGCCTTGTCCATGACAACAGTGGCATTACCCTTGTCCGCTCGAAGAATGTGGATGGACTTGTCTTGGCGCAGTGATGTGATGGCTGACCGGTCTTGTCTGGAGATGTTAGGCTTGGCTGGGTTGTGTTTCCGGAGGGCTTGATTGATCTGCAGACGGATCTCATCGGCAGCAGACTTGTCAAGCTGACGGAGGGTGGGTTTGGTGCATTGGACGATCTCTTCTACAGCGGATGATTGAGGGACAAGGGCAAAGTTCATGCCCAATAACAGAACTTGGTCTCTGCCGAAGATAGGGTACGCTGGCTCAAGTTGACTACAGTGTGCTGGGTGAAGGATTCGTGGGAGCCAAGGTGGGGCTTGGTGTGGTGTAGGTTGGAGGGTACAGAACATCTCATCCAGCTGGAGGGCTGGGGACGCAGGGATGCACGTTCAGGGTCGGGGGCTGTAGGCGTGGGGATATACGTGATCCCATTACCTGGGTCGAACCGGGCTGGGACTGGTCCGGGTCTTTTGCTTTGTGATACTCAGAAATTTCTTGATTTGGCGGCTGCGGGATTCTTTGAAGGCAGGGATGCTAGAGGACAGGGTGAGCTGCTGAATCTTTCCGTAATCAGCTCCGTAAACACTAGAACGAAGCTGGTCACAGGCAGTGGAAACCTGCCTGTCCAAGGATGCAAGGGTAGATCTAGTGGCACTGATGCAATGGCAGAGTAGAACAAGGCTTGCTTTAGTAAGGATGGAACGGGACTTGTTGCTGCGGATAGGGTCTCCGAGTCTGAGGCCTGGAGGGATGGTGTTGGAATCTCTGTTGGTGTACTTGGAGCGCTTGATGGAGTGACGGCCGTATAACTTGACCTTGGAGGGGGTAAGCTCCCCCTAGAGCGATGTCAGATGAGAAGGTTTGAGAGATGAGAAGATGAGATTTGAAGGTTTGCATGGTGAAAACGTAATAAGATAAGTTGTTGCGGTAGCATCATGTGGTAAATCTCTTTTGTGAGTATGTGTGGTTCTAAAAAGAACCAGAGGGAACTCACTGTTTCGGACAGTATGCTCTGCCTGTCATCAGTGTCATTTCAAAAGCTGATGTCATTTCAAATTTTGCATGAACATTATCCACCTTCCCAAAAGTTTCATGACGATTTGACCAACCATTATATGTGTTTAAAATAAAATCACAGTTTTGATGACGTCAGGATGATATCACATAATTTTTCACACTTTCATGCAAATATCTATGACCTAACAAACCTTTTACACAGACGATTCTGAATGTAGCATGTTGTGTTCTTAGGTATAACGATAATCTTCAAAATTTCAGAAATCGATATAAAATCATGTGATGAAGTCACCATGTCGTCATGTTGATTTTCATCTATCACACATCTCTATAAACTATATCTATAAACGTACAAAGTTTAAATGCAATCAAGCTTTTAGTTCTCTAGATATAGGACTTTGAAAAATGCACATTTATGATGACAGCACTTGTCAAAGCACAAGGGAAAAAAAATGAGAGCAAAAACAAATGTTTTTCCGCAACTTTGCAGAAAAACAACGACGTGCTTTGTTTACTATGGGAGCGAGGTGGGCACAAGAGCCACCAAGCTGCAATAAGACAGCACATACATACATCATACCTGCCAACATTGAAAAGTCAGAAAGAGGAACAGGGTGTCTACGCATCATAAACGGTGAGCGGCGCAGGCGCGCGCGCGCTAATGGGTTTGGTCCAGGGGCAATCATACAAAGTACATGTACATGTACATGTGCCTAAAATGTTACATGATATCCAGAAGCAGACCCAACACTAATCTTATTTAGTGGATAATTTTCTGAATTTTCCAGCCGGTTTTTGCTGATAAATGACAGCTGACTTACATGCTTCACACTTCACAGTTAATCATATGTAGATATTCAGTCACAGTAATACATTTTACATGTACACTGTACAAGCAGTGACAAGTACAATTTTATTTGGAAAAGTTCGTACATCATTGTACGGTGTACATAGGCCTGTTACAATACACATTTGCCATTTCTAAATTTTTCACGATATTCCTCTCGGAATTTTTGACTCCATCGCAGCTTTTTCTCCTTCAGTGTATCATCCTCCTGGTCCATGTTGCACTTGAGATGCTCATAGTATGAGCATCTCAACTGCAACATGGACCAGGAGGATGATACACTGAGGAGAAAAAGCAGCGATGGAGTCAAAAATTCCGAGAGGAATATCGTGAAAAATTTAGAAATGGTTTTTCATTGATATTTTGACTGTGCCGAGTCACACTTTTTTGTCAACGTTTTTGTATGAGTCATACAAAAACGTTGACAAAAAAAGTGCGACTCGGCATGGTCAAAATATCAACGAAAAACCACCGAAGACTATGAAGAAACAACGTGTGTGGAAAACAAACATGGCATCAATACGACCACCGCGCCGTGACTGGCCCGCGCTTAATTCAGTAAGCACGCAAGAGAGGCAGTACACCAGACGGATGACGTAGCGGGTCTCAGTATTGGATGCGGCTAGGTTGTGGCTGATCGCACAAGCCTGTGCGCGCGAACGGTTGCAGCCGCATCCTATTGGGACATGGCCTGTTCGATGACGTTTGAGTCTGGTTTACGTCCCTTTCGTCGTACATAAGAGCGAGGCGGATTTTATACCATTATGTTAGCGGCAATAGCGCCCTCAATACAATAAAACATTTTTCTCAGACAAGTGTGCGACGGGGCCGGGGCATTTTTTAATGTTTTTATTTATTTATTTTTTTTGTGTATTGTTTCTTCTCTCGCAATTCGGAAAATCGGGACGTTCCGATTTTCGGGCACTATTTATCTCCGAAATCGGAACAGTTCCGCCTAAATCGGAACAGTTGGCAGGTATGCATACATGCATGCAAACAAACAATGACCAATGTTTACGTTTTGGTGAATTGTTTTTGTTTTGCTGAAAGAACACTTACCTTTTATGTGAACCGTGGACAGAAAACTGTGTTTGTGTTCGTAACTTGAAAAGTACATGAGTGATTTGAATGAAAGTGCTACATGCAGAACTTCATTTAAAAATTGGTCATGCCATTTGGTTTCCTTTTTTGTTGGACTCACCCTGTACATGTACTTCTTAGATAAATAATTGACACTGATCTGACAATGCTAATGTTTTCTTAACTACTTTTCTTAATGTCCGCAGTACGTACGTCTGAAAAATACAGAGGAACCTTCAATTGTAGCACTTCTTTTGGTAGCATTCAATGATTTAAAAAAATGGCTACCAAAACAAAAAGGCCTTGGCTATTGTTTTTACATTCCAATCAATGCAGTCATAGAAATGTTGTGCAATGAGATGAGTCACCCACGGCGCGTTTTTACGCCGCCGTGGGCAAACAAATAACACCTCAAGAATCACACAATCACAAAAACACTTTGTATGGAATTTACTCTGCCTTGTGATAGACACTGCTATATAAATGTATTAAATTGTACTGGAAAAACAAAACCAAATACAAACCAAAACTGGAATCAAGGTTAATATTGCTCTTAGAGAATTTTAACACTGGATGTTCAAACCTCGTTAGTACTTAACACATCCAAATATATTTTTGTTAGTGGACTTACCACTCCAGTTGTAAGAACAAAAATGAGTGGCGTTCTCGTGTTCGAGTCATCCAGAACAGCTTTCATATCAAGCACAGGAGGTTCAACAAACCTATACACAAACATCAATAAAAGTTACCACTTCTATACTTCAAGCACATGCCAATGTCATTGAAGTGACTTCAATCTAAGCTTCTTAACTTATTGATGGCAAAAGACTTGCTTTAATTGAATTGGAAAATTATTGGCTTGGAGCAGAAAGGCGTAATTTGTTATTTACTTTCTTTACTCCTACTTTTTAAGAATATCAATCACAGGTTACATTACTGTGTAATAAGCACTTTTTTCAAAGGACTTCCAGCACCAGCACCAGAAAACATGATACACTGTATTGCTGCAAGTACCAGGAGTGTAAAGTGAATTTAATCTTTGTTCCAACTATATTTACAGCGGCGAAATAGACTGCAATTTTCTCAGGCTACTATTTTGACAGGACACCTATGACATGCAGCCACTGTAAAAAAATAAAGTGCTTGTAAGGGTATCAGATTTGTGTGCATTTTACATCCCGTGTAACATCCAACTGTTCCCAAGGTTATGCATATCCACCGTGCTGAACGTATTCGATATCAAGATAAAAGGAGGACAAAAATTAAAAATAAAAAGTATAGAAAAAGAGGTGTGAAATCATACTTGCATTTGCTAATAATTTAAATACACATTTAACAATATGGGGGTCTGCAGGGGTGTCAATGGGGTAGGGTGGGAAAAAGTCCTCCCCCCCCCCCAACCTCGAAAAAAAATGATAAATTGAGAATATGCTAGAGATAGTACAGAATTGGGGGGGGGGGGGGGAAATGTGCTTCGCCTATTAAAAGATGGAATTTTTGCGTCGGGTGGTATAAATCAAATTAGGTTTTGCCCTTCACCGACGTTTAAACACTGTATACTCAGTGTGTTACCTCCCTAGTTTTTTCCACCTTTAAATCGGGAGATAACACACTGAGTATACAGTGTTTAAACGTCGGTGAAGGGCAAAACCTAATTTGATTTATATTACCCGACACAAAAAAAATTCCATCTTATAATAGTTTATGCGGTACCCGCTGCTATGTACATCAGATTCGAACCAGCCAACCGATCCCGTTAGCTCGGTGGTCGGGTGGTAAGACATCTGCACTAGAAAGCAGGAGATCATGGGTTCGAGTCCCACCCGAGTGATTTTTTCCAACTTTCACTCGGGAGGTAACACACTGAGTATACAGTGTTTAAACGTCGGTGAAGGCAAAACCTAATTTGATGTGCTTTGCCCCCTTTCCCTTCCCCTAGAGAAATCCTGGCCACGGCCATGGGTGTGCGACGCCCATGGGTGTAAGATGCCCATGGGTGTAAGACGGCCATGGGTGTGCGACGCCCATGGGTGTGGATTGCAAATGTTAAAATCTTGATGAGTCATCATGCATCCTAGGGCACCTCTTCAGATAATAAATGTACTAGACATTAGAGGTATTTTAAGTTAGCTATGTTTTGAATGTTCTTTTTTCCAGGGGTGGTTCTTTGGCAGCCTGGGAAAGTGTGGGGGGTGAGGGAGTAGACTACTCCAAATATCTTCTTGATAGGCTAGTTTGACTACACCAGGGGCGGCAGAACGCTTTTCAAACTGGGGGGGGGGGGGGGGGGCAACACCAAAAAGGGGCACATTCCGTCGGTGTGAAAGCAAGAACCCTTCAGCCTCTACAATGGCGGATCCAGAACACAATTTTTTGGGGGGGGGGGGGAAACAAAATTTGGTCCCTAAAAAAGTTCAGGGCTCGTTAAGGGCCCCGGGAAAAAAAATGGATTTGAGCTGCCCTGTGGTACAATCTGAGGTAATTTCTGACCACTTTAACCAATTTGGTGAAAAGATGGTGGTGTACGTAGTGGTGTGACGCCACTACAAAAAAAAATTGAGGTTCGCTTTTTTTTGTTGGGGGGGAGGGGAGGCATGGCCACGTTGCCCCCCCCCCCCCTCCCCCTCTCCTTGGATCCCCCCTTGGGCCTTTGGCACAACGCACACCCTCCGCCCCAATTTTCCATCTCAAGAGGGGCAACATTTTATTATTACAAGAGGGGTATTTGTGCTTTCGAGGGGTAGTTTTCCATCTTGAGAAGGTGCACAATATTGTTAATGCAAGAGGGCCAAGGGCACTTGTGGCCTGTGAAAATCAGGGGGGAGTGCCCCCCCCCCTGCCCCCAGATAAAAAAATAAAATGACAGACAGTTTTATGAAAGGAGACAAAACATTAAGGAGACAAACCATTAAAAAAAAACATGGAAACTAATGATGAGCTGAACTGACACAGATTACACAGATAGCATGTTGTGTGTTTTCACTTACTTAGATCCAAGATTGTTGACAATAAATGATCCTGCACAGAAGGACACACGATCAGGACGCAATGATCGGATAATCAACATTCGCTGCAATTCATTACAGGCACTATCCCATTCACCTGTCAACAGAACAAACCAACCACAAAGGCTCTCACTATAAATGAAGTGCAATGAGTAGCTGATTCATAAATCAATCAACAAAGAAGACAATCATGTACCAAGCATTTCACTATACAATGCACCAGGTTATAATGGAGAGGCCCTTTTTGCAGCCATTTGTGGGAAAACTCTTTGTAAATGCACGTACACCAAGAAGCGTTCCATTTTGCACACTGGTGCGGCATTAGAGTTTAGGGCAAGTGTGAATAAATAGTTAATTTAAAGATGCATTCCCCGTGCATTTTAGTTTCATCTCAAAAAATACATTTCTTTTCTAAGTTGCTATTTATTTCTAGCAATGCAAAAGCTATTCACTTTTGCATGAGACACTGATTGCCAAATAATTGGTCCATGTTTAGTTATTAAATTTTAAATGTCCATTTTTAAATTATTGACTGCCAGACAATAAATCCGTTCTCCTGGGTAGGCTGGTTCCCGCCCCACAATCAATATCTATAATGTAAGGACTGAACCCCTTTTCCAGAGGGTTACAGATGTCCAAAAAATGACAAAGGAGGTTTTTTTTCATGGGAATAAAACATACAGGAAATTTTATTAATAGAAAAAAATAAGTTTGTTAAAGAGCACAAGGAACGCATCGTTAAATCTCAAATGCATTTGTTTGTGTGGTATGGCATAAAAATAATGAAGGACAAAATGATTTACTGCAGGATAGTACCGTAATTTTTGGAATATAGGCTGCGCGGAGTATAAGCCGCAGCACGCAAAAATCTGCAAATTAAAATTTGACGTCGGCGTATTGGCCGCACTGGCGTATAAGCCGCACCGACCGCAGCAGTTTCAGTTTTGTAAGGCCTCCACATTCCAAAGTCAAAAAAGCTCGGACCAGTTCCACTTACACTACAAAAGCTACAAAAAAGGGCCACAAAAGTTATATCAAAACATTTACGGTCCATACTCGTTAAAAAAATATGGAAATTGCCGATGAGTATAAGACACCGGGAATTGCTGCCGGCATGGCCCGAACAGTCCCTGACGCATGGCCCGGCCGGTCCCCGGCGCATGGCCCGGCAGCCTGCGCCAGTAAATGACAACATTTTCCCGCAGCACTTGAGAGAGTATGCAACCCACCGTGTGGTGTCTGACTGGAGCGCTACAAATCTTGCTATATGGCAACAGATGCTGATTTGTTTTTGTCCTAAGAATAAATGGGTCTTTTTTACAACAAAACTTATCAAATTGTTGTGATTACTAACAAGTTCTAACGTAAAAAAATCAAGTTTTTGATCGTACTTTCTTCAAAAACAGTCGATACGATGCATGAATTTTTATGGACGAATCCATTAATTTCGTAAGGGGTGATTTAGCCCTTGTTTTGCATTTTACATGGTTTCTTGAATAGAAAAAAAAATTATATTGTGACGTTTAACGACTGATTGTCCAATAAAGAAATGTTTCAGACTTCATAAAATGTATTAGTTGTCGTTTTTTTTTGAAACAGCAGAAATATTGGTAATTATTGTTACCAAGAAGGTACACCCCATTATTACCACAAATGGTGTGGTCCACAAGTGTGTGCACTGGGCATGCATGCAGCACAGCTAGCTGCACATGGAACAGTCACTAACGAAGACAGCTTTCACTCACGCACGGCCGGCCGCCGGTGCCGCTCGGTACCTTTTCGTGGGATGTGCTTTAATGACTTTCCGGTACATTAAGTCCAGTAACGATTGATAATTCATTTCAGCAACAGATCTTTTCTTATACCAGTACATTAAATACACATTTAAATCTCATTTTTATTCTTCAAGGCTCGGCATATAAGCTGCCCTGTGTATAAGCCACAGTAAACATTTTCATGGGCAAAATCAATGTATAAGCCGCGGCTTATATTCTGAAAATTACGGTATATGAAGCATTTCAATGTTAATCATGTGCATACACTGTGGCTTCCAAACATATAAAAAAGAAAAAAGAACAAAAAGAATGTCACCCCATCAAAGTTGACCAAAAAGAAGCAAATTTGACTTCTGAACACCTTTTATTTTAAACCACTGCTTTAATATTTGAATAGTCATTCTGAAATATTGACAAATAATGTTCAATTAGTGACCCCTCATTCACTACTAGGGCGTAGGATATCAGCGATGTTATACATCATTTTCTACTTACAGAACAAAGTACATTTTGAATATCACACATGAATTAGGGCTAATGTGCTTACTGATTTTGAGGAAGCAAGTTGTCTAGCATTCTATATATTTTAAAGTTTATTTGAATTTGGCAAGCTAGTTCATAATGTACACCACTCAAAGCTTGTGTTAAATTCTGCTCCAGGTTGAAAGAGTAAATTGTGCAAAATTTGTGCTAAACCATAGCGCAAACCTGCCTAGGAATGGCACAAACATGGTTTGTACAAGTTAAAGATGCTTGCCCTATGCTTTTCCAAAAAAAATGATCTTCCAACAAATTTTCAAAATGTTTTGTTTATGAAAAAAAGATGTTTTTCCTTTCATATTTTTGAAAAAAAATTGCGACCTCCCGGAAAACATTGCTTTCATTTTTTGCACAAATGAACCCGCCCTGCAAGAGCTCAGCGAATAATGCCAAATTTGTAAAGAAATAATTCAACAACTAAATGTTGGTGGACTTTTTTCGTTGGTGCCTCATTCAAAAGTGAGTAACTTAATATTGTCAAGTTTGTTACAGCTTACGGGAATTAACACAATAGTGCAAAAAGGCATGTGAATGGCCTTTTCTAAGAAAGATGATAACACTATGGATATATGCTCAGCAATATCTGTGTCTTACCTGGCAAAGGAGCTGTTTCAGGTTCTGAACTTGTGTACCAAACATGCCAATCACGTGGGTATTGCTCAAAGGACTGAACTAGCCCGTGAAAATTAGCCAACCTAGGAAAGAAAATAAAAATATTCTCAGCCATAAGAAAAACACCTGCATGAGCTGCCTAAATGCAGAAAAACTGATGAACAGAATGTTGACAATGAAAGGCTCAATCAATTTGTAAAAGTGAAAAAAAACTTCCACCAAACTACAAATCCACTGCTCACTTCTGAGTAGGCCTATGCAATTGTCAGACTCAGATACCACCAGACATTTCACTCAAGTAAAGCTGTAGAAACACCTGTCCTTTGGGAAGGGTTCAGAGAGCTTTGACTTGTGACCATTTGACCTTGTGATTCTAAGACCAATACAACCTTTAAAAATTCTAGGCCAAAGTGCATGAAAAATCATAACCATTACTAGGCCAAAAACAAAATTGTTGTGTTGCCCTCACATGAACAATATCAGGAGGGTTGGTTAGGGACTTATTTTTTTTTGGGGGGGGGGGGGTAATACATAGTCATAGTACACATTTATTGACAAATTGACAGTTTCAGTGGCAAGACAGTTTGTAAGGACCCTCGGTGCGATAGTAAAACCAAAACATCCGACAAAACAACCTCAGGTGCCTTGTGTTGTACCATGCGAATAATTCGGCAAATTCGCCATTTGAAGATATATTTGCAACATAATTGAAAAGTCATTTTGTTCCTAACATTGCTGTTATGGACACCACGTAACAGTCCATCTTGGTTATTGCAACTCACATGCGCACAAGCAGCACAACATGCTGTTGGGCTTAGTGGATTTTTGCTGAGAAAAGGGAAGCCATTAAGAATGGCAACCAACAGACTGAATTTTCCAATGACCACATACGTAACAGTATTCTACAGTAACTGGTCCTTGTCATATCATTTTCGGTTTGGTAGGGATAGAAATGGACAGGAGTATTTTCTTATTGGAAGAAACAATTCCAACAAGGCGGACGCATGCAGACTGGAGCCCTTGAAATAAACGTGTCTCACCAGTCTCAATAGGAGAAGTATTGAAGGTAGCTGGCTAGCATATTTTCTGCTGTTATAATAATCAGGACAAAATCATAACATCTTAAAGCTTGCGCATACACACAACTAAAACACACAAGTAGTCAAGTACCGGTATTCATGATGAAGTGCAAAGAATGTCAAGTTTAAAAGGTTTTGTACCAATGGCATTATCCCCCAAGTTCTCAAAGGCCCTGGAGGTCAATCATGTTAAACAATGCTGATTCTGCAAAAAATAGCCACCCTTGGATTTGCTCTCAAATTAGATCATCCAGCTCAGTGCAACAGCCACTAGGTGCACTCATGAATGTAATCTTGCAGCACATTTGTGATGCGGTCAAGCTACATGAGTTGTTTGTCGGGAATTTTCATTTGGAGATACAAGCCAAAATAGGGCCGCTTCATCACATCACTTCATCACATCTCTTGGTGTTCCGACTTCCATAATTTTTTTTAACTGAAGATGGTATCAGCATGCGGTTTTCACAGAAGTTATGCTGAGATTGCACTCTGTTCAAATCTGAAGTAAAAACATTTTTGACCAATGTCGACAAACGACTCATTTAGCTTGATCGCATCACATTTCTTTGTTCCTTATATCAGTATCAGGAAGCAAATCCAAACTTGATAATCTGGTTTGAGAAAAAAAATATCACCCACCGTAGCACTTTTGTTCATGGCAATCTAAAAGTAAAACCAAGCATCTAAAACTAGTTGTGAAGTGGAAATCAAACGAAGAACATGACCTAGTGTTACAAAATCACAACTATAAAAAATACTTCTTCAGAGATGCCAAGATCACACAAAAGCTGGGTGTGTGACAATGCAAATAGCAAAGGCCAAATTCAAAAACAGTGGCGTCTGGAAATTGGGCACAAAAATTGGCCGAGTGTTCCCTAGCGTAGTGCACCTGATCAAATTTCAGAAAAACCCAAGTAAAAGATTTTTTAGTAAAAGTTGACAAATAAATCATCATTATCTCAATCTCATACACAACTATTTTGTCAGCAAATTACTTCTTCTTTTGGGGCTCATTTTAAAAGGGTGCATTGTGCACATAAAAAAACAAAAACCAAATCGGGATATCACGCCATAAAATACTTCTCTTTGACATTTGTAACGGGTTCGTTAACTCAAGATTTATGAAAGGGAATGTCTAGAGCTTGATGAAATTTCACTAATGCGAAATTTGAGGGTAAACGTTTTGTTCTACAAGGCACTAGCACTAGAGGTGAATAAAAATCAGAGTGTGCCACGTTATTGGCCGCACCACGTTAGGGACATCAACAATATCCGCAGGAAATGTTGCACAACACGTTTGTTTGAACACGATGCACGCGTACTGTACGCCAGCACATTTACTGCAGGAGCTGGAGTGCAACGCTCAGCACAATCTCGTTACCAAGCACTGGGGACGAGAGTGTCCCTACTATGCTTCGTGGCGCTATAATTATCTTCACGCACAACCGAAGTCATCAAAATGCTTAACCCAAATATGAAATATGTTACTGTATTCACAGAGCAAGGAACAGTATTCTTGTCCCGAAAACAACCCCAAAAATATTTTTAGAACAATTTAGCATGAGGCATGTGATTACGATTTTTCGGCATGTTCTGCAGTGAGACTTGGTAGGTCTGCTTCATCAACAGAAAAAACAAAATTGGTTAAGTCATTCATCACGAACATGGGTTATTCATTACAAACATTAATTTCCACAAATCTCATTCAATACATAAAACTCATGAAAATGGGAACACAATTTTAAAATTCTTGATTGAACTAAGAGCAAAAGATACATACTTCACAGCTTAATTTACAGAAAGATCCTGCCAGGGTCAAAATATCAGGCCATCCAACTTAAATTTCCTCCAGATTGCATAACACTTTGACCACTTGTCATGTTTTTCACAGACCACTGTTGCCCAAAATTGGTTAGACAAAGAATGGCTACAGAAGAATTTGAACTATGACTTTGGCACCACTGTATGGTGTTCTACTAACCAAACTATCCCGCCGTATGTTAGCAGCATTCCAAAATGTCACTGTCTTTGGTCAAGGGCACTAGTTAGAGCCATAAATTCCCCCCCCCCCAGAAGTGTGGTTGGGGTCTACGAGCGAATAGTTACCTGTACAGCAATTACTACTTTTGCATTTTCCCTAGACTGGCAGGTATTTTCCGCTAAGAGTTTTATACAATAGCGCCCTCTGGTGTCCTACCCATAATGCCCCGTAGCGTGCGTGCCTCGTGAGCGTCCTCTTTTCTCTACAGGTACATGTAAGTATTCGCTCGTAGACCCCAACTACACTTCTGGGGGGTGGGGGAGTCTACTTCACTCTACTTACCTGTAGAGCAATTACTACTTTTGCATAGACTAGCACCGTCAAGGCGGTGGGTCATGTGAGATGCTATTGTGCTTTCACAGGGGCACGTAACAATACGCGTAAACCCCGGTTGGGCCCCGTCGCTCCACATGTGGACAAGGCAGCCCAAAAGGTCTGCATGATAAGGACATTAACATGCTGACCGAGACGCTGTCCCCGATATGGGGCATTGCGCGTTAATGATTATGACATACGACATATAGACACTGTTATATGTACTGAATTCAAGAAAGAATCAGAGTCAGGACACATAAATTCTGGGGAGGTCTCCGGTCTGAAAATGTCTCGAGAACATGTTGGGGTTTGTTCTCCCTATCTCTGCCTAATATTGTGCACATGGGCCGATCACACAGCCTCTGCCGTTGATACGCCTGTGGCTCCATGGATGACCATAACCAACCTTCAGGCAATCTTGTCATGAAAAGCTTATGGTGGGGTCGTCCTGATAAAAACATGTCGTGAAAGGCCTGCCAATATGGCAGGTTCGTCATGACTAAACAGGTCGTGAGAAGCCTGCTGGTTTGGCACGGTTGTCACAACAAAAATGTGTCGCGAGAAGCCTGCTGTTATGGCAGGGCTGTCTCGACAAATATATGTACAGTACATGAAACGGTAAGTGATCGGCACCAAAATTCTCTGTCTGGAACGGAAAAGAGTAATTTGATGCCTGGAACAAAGACGTCCGGAGGCACAAGGGACTCCGACGGTCTTAGTTCAAAATCCTTCTGTAGGAATCGGACGGGCACACTCAGTCCACACCAGGTGTGGTCCGTCTCTATTATACAGCAAGCAGTTGTTTTCTACATGTACATCTAGAAGTAACAACTGCTAACAAAAAGTAACTTTAGGGACAATTGAAACATATATGAAATTGCCCACTGGTTCAAGGAACTACAAGTCATGTTTAAAGATCTAGATAACGTTTTTTTGAATGGCGTTGAAGAGGTCCCGCACTTTAGGGGTGTTGAAACAAACATCCCCTTAATAATTAAACTGACATGGGAGTATGACTGTCTAACATACATGTAAAGCAATACATGTATACTGTCATGTTAGAAGTCCCTCAAGTGCAGGCAGTAAAAGCCATAGCTTGTTTGAGAAAGGTCTGATGTGAACAACATAGCATGACAGCATCCAGCACATCAGGAGAAATTCCTGCGGAGACGGGTGAAGGAAACCCAAGCTGCGCTGGAACAGAATATTTTTATCCTCGGAAGAACCCCTGACTGGTGGACCAAGGGAATGGTCATAGCCCTGGGAAACCAATCAATGGGACCGACATGGAGTAAAGAGGAGGGCCTTGTCATCTTTCTGCTCCAGTTACTTTAGTACCCAAGGGATAGGAGAAAATGGCAGGAAGGTGTAAACAAAAGCCCGTTCGTCTCCATCACCAATGTGTTCGTCTGCCACCTGCAGGGGTCAGGAACCCACGCGCAGTACACTGGAAAAATGTGACTAATCCGTGTAACAAGCAGATTGACATGGTTAGTGGTTTAGCAGCTACCACTGTCGAGAGGATCCATCCCCCATAAGGAGGACGTTAGAAGCGACGTTCTCCTTGTTTGGGAGGGAAATAGTCAAAAGCACGAAACTGCCATGACAATTAGTGGAGGCTGTGATCTGTGAGGCACACCCCTGTGAGGTTGGCAGCGTTGAACCATCACTGGAGGCATGACCTGCACTGGATGCAATGATGACTGTGCCGACACAAGGAAAATAGGTGAATGTCACCACTCTCCATTTCCGCAGCGCAGCCAAAACACCTTTACTATCTGAGCAGATGCCAGGAGTGAGGCGAAAAGGCTGAACCATGAATTTGCAACGGGAATCTTTGTTCGAACCGCGAAATTCCCAATGCTCTGGCCTGATAGGAAGTTGCTGTTGTATACCCTTCTCATTAACATCTCCCCCAGGGAAAAACATGAGGGGTGCAACACTGTGTTGGCCCGATGGAATTGATGTCAGTCTCAAAGTCTCTCTGATGAGCTCACATGAAACAGACCAGTGGAGGTTGTCATGAGTAAGGTAAGTTAGGTAAGTCACCTATGGTATTCACCAAAACAACTGAAGCCGAATCGGAGTCGTTGTTACCACTGACGGCCCTAGCCTATGTGGCATGGCACACAGAAGATGTTGATAGCGCGGCCACACAACATCACCATGGCAACATTTCAAGAGGTAGGCAGCTGAGAAAACAAGTAACAGTTTGTTCATCACCAACGCTGGCCTGACCGTTGGTTTGACGGCTTTCTGAGATCGACCATCTGAGCAGCCGTCATTGACCAATATGGATGTAAACATCAATATCCCCCGCAAAAATACTTTTGTCCGTTACAAAGTGGGACTCGAATCTTTGGCGGGCGACCTTCGACGGGAGAAACAGCTCATCAAGCATGTTACCCCGGTGGGTCAGGTCGTTGGGGTCTGCACTCGTGTAAACTAATAGAGTACCGAGTGTAGACTGTGCACTTGACAGTGATAATACCTAGCGTACTTCAAACTGCAAAGTGTATTCAAGTTTGTCAAGTATTATCTACAAAGGGGCGCTTGAATGATGTGGTCCCTCTACTGCTGGCAGCTTGTCCTTAGCTGCTTTGGAAAGGGAAGGTGTGACAACAAAATTACCAAAATTCGCTAACAGAAAATGGAAATTATCACATTCTTGCTTGTAGAGTAACAAGCATCTTGGATGCAGGCACAATCTTGGGAATGTGGTAAAAAAACATGCCTGATCTATGGAAGCATCACAACAACCAGTTGTTGAGGTTATGCTCAGGCTGGAGTTCATCGTGAAGGGCAGCCGTCATCCGATGAACCATCCTTATGCAAGGGCCGAATTGACTCCGTAAACGAGAACCGTCTATTACGGGAAAAGTTGTACACGGCCACAGTCAGTGGTCAAACAACTCCCTCCAAGACAATGCAAATTACAGTTTAACAACTGGATAACAAGGTCCTTGGGACTTTACAAATTACCTTGTTATGACAAGTACTTTGTACAGAAGAAAACAAAGAAAAAACAAAAACTTGGAACTTAACATTTTCCCTGTTACATGTATAAGCACGATGTTGTATTAACAGTGCTTTTCTTATCAGGGTTCGACTGTACATGCACATGCACAATGAACACTGTGCAATGTACATGTACATGAAAAACTGCAGCAATTTCAGACTTTTCAGTGCAGGCAGAAACACCGACGCACACATGTGCGGCGTGTCCCTTTGTCCTCGAGCCACCCAACCGTGATTACTGTAGAGGGCTACAGAGCATGGCTCGCAACTCAGACGGGCCGTTTCATCAACGGTGCCCGCCAGACAATAGGCGCATAGAGCCGACAATGAACTCGGCAATGTACCTGAGAACAATTGTAAGGCTTGCAGTGAGTGGACCCAGACAACCGTGCCCCATCCCGGCTGTGTTTGCCACGGTGGGGTCGGTGCAAAAAATCTCCCGAATTTGATCAAAAATAAGGAGAACGAATCGGGTCGTACGATAGTAATCCTATTCCCACATGAGAAATGGACGCCGTTTGTCCATTGACAAAATGTCGATGTATTTCACACACACTTGATCCAAAGGAAGTTTGGGGAACACTTCGTCATTGTTAGATGTGAAGCCCGTCCCGCGCTTCAAAGATTTAAATTAATGATCGGGCGGAGGGGCTCATCGGCGGAGGATAATGTACCCGTATCATGTCCCTCTACACAAAACGGACTTCCGTTTTGGTGATGGACAGTTGCTGTAATTGGTCTGGTCCTTCGTCATCATCGGCCGAGTCAGCCTATTGCAAAGATCGAGTTGACGCCTGTGAACGAGAGCCATCTGGAGGGGCGAGTTGTACAGAACCACGCGGCAGTGGCTGGACAACTCCCTGAGAGTAAATAGACATCGATGGGTGAATACATGTACTCAAACATGCGGGGATCCCAGCGCATGGGTAACTGCGTGTCGTAGGTCCCGTTGTCTCTGGTCCACCCAACCATGGCCCACGGCCAGCGAATGTGAAGCGCTCGCCATAGGCTGGGCCTCCGGTGCACGTAACCATACATGGTATCATTGTACATTGTGTACATGTACAAATGAACATGTGCCTGTACACGTACATGCACACGTGTATCTCGTGTATCTCGTTGTGCTTTGGCCACCTAACCGTGACCAACGATTGACAACTGTGAAGCATTCACTGCAGGTAGGGACTACGGAGCACGGCTATCTGTGTGCGGTATGTCCCCTTGTTCATGGGTCACCCAATCGTGACCTGCAACTGAAGACTGTGAAGCGAAACAAACGGCCAAGGGTTGTGAAGCGTGGCTCACCGCTTCAGGGGGGCCAACAATAGGGCCTCACCAAGGGGGCGTTTGCCCCAGTAGGACCAGTCAGAAGAGCCGCCAGCGTCTGAGGAAGAACGGCGTGGTATCAGCGATCAGCCTTCTTCTACTTCTTTGAAGAACGGCCCCGGGGTGTGTCAGAGGAAACGCCGGAAGACACCTGGGGCACCAGGCCCCCCAAACAACGGATATAATTCGATGACGAGAATGGTCCCTCAGAGCAAGATACAATGGGGGCCCGTCGGGCCGGGGTATCCCCGGGCGTCCGGCTCCGCTTTGCTCATAGCATACCCGACCAACGCCTCAAGCCCCGTGGGCTGAGCGAGCGCTGGCCGTTCCGATAGCCCGTGAAATAGCCCGTCCCGGCACCCAGTGGTACTTGGCACTGTGTCGGGAGGGCACGGGTGACTAGAGCCCACTGAAGCGTGGCAGCTATTCCCCTCGGGCTGCCCCGTGCTCGGGAAAGTGCTGGGGTATAGTGTAGCTCACATCATACCCGGCCGACAGCGCCTCAGGCCTCGTGGGCTGAGCGAGCGCACAATAGCCCGTGCAATAGCCCGTCCCGGCAACCAGTGGAACTCGTACTGTGTCGGGAGGGCATGGGTGACTGGAGCCCACTGAAGCATGGCGGCTAGTCCCCGCGGGCTGCTTTGGTTCGGGGAAGGGCCAGGGGCTATAGCGGCGCTCGTACCCGAGCCACGCTTGCCCTGTCGGCCCTTTTTAGGCTTCGCTCCGGCACAGGAGGTATGTTTTGGAGGAACCTTGCCGGAGCGTGCCTTTTGTTTGGGTGTTCCTCTTGAATTGACCAGGGAAGGATACCGAGGTCCCTTTAACTGGTCAGCGGAACTGCCAACGCCCCCAGCTGGCAGTGGCTGAGGGTGCTGGACGAGGGACTGCGGCCGTGGTAACGACGGAGCGTTAACGGCAGAGTCCCCCGGGAACTTGGTCTGTTCCGTGGGAGAGGAATTCCCCCCACTTTGTGACAGATCGGTTCTCCCCAAACGCTTCATATTTTATACAACAAAATCAAGAAGACGATGAGAAACTCCACAAATTGTTGTTATTTAACTCTTTTAATAAATAAACTTCTCTTAGGCGAAAAAAGGGTAGCAAAATGACGAGGAAAACAGGAGCTATTTTGCACACATCCTACCCGACCCGCCGCTAAGAGAAAAGGGACGCTCACGAGGCACGCACGCCACGGGCATTATGGGTAGGATACCAGAGGACGCTACTGTATAAAACTCTTAGCGGAAAATACCTGCCGGTCTAGGGAATATGCGAAAGTAGTAATTGCTCTACAGGTAAAGTAGAGTGAAGTAGACCTGTATGTGCCATGTGGCCAGGGATTTCCCTAATGATATGATGAAATGCTATTTAGAAAACCCAGGGAACTTTGAGATCACAAAGAGGATACGGCTTTAAAGCATGATGAGAAAATGACAAGGTTCATATAAAATCATTATTAGGTAGACTAAAGAAATTGGCAGGAAGGGGATTTGAATCTGCAACCTACACAACACCATACCAACAATCTACCGAATGAGCTATCCAGCCATATAGTTGGTGTACTCCCGCTTTGTCAATATCTTTGATCCAAATTATTTAACATGTATGTGTACATGCATGCACTTGATCATCATTTAAAAAGGGCTACAAAGAATTACGTTAGTTTGCAGTAAAAGAACTATGATTATTTAGAAATTAGCAGATGCTTTATGTGCATTTAGGTTCATGAGAAATAAAACACTGCTGCAAACTGCTTACTGATTAAATTGACATGGAATACACAAGTAGTAAAAATTAGAAAGCCTGACATAATGATCCTACCACAATCATTCTCAAAACTTGAATGCCTTTAAGAAAAAAAGATTCAGTTGGATTCAAATAGTCAGGCCCTATAAATTTTACGATAGACTTGTATCCATAGTGTATTTGCACTCATATTACACCCAGGTGACTGATCGAGATACATGTTGGAACACATTTGTTTAGCCATAGAATACCTGAGAAAAAATGGTTTTCTCTCAATATAAACTACTGCAATGGTTGACTTTGATAAATCGACTATGATGTCTCTAATATGATAATATGTGTTCAAATTCAAACATAAACCACTGTTTGGAACACTATCAAACAAATAACACACCAAATGAAAAAAAAAAACAAATCAGAAAAAAAAAAGCAAACCACATGAAAACAGTTGCTAAAAATTGTATACTTACTTGCTGCAGATTAGGAGAGTAATAGACAGATGAAATAAAGGGATGAGAGCAGAAACAAAATCACTTTGTGTTAATAATGCCAGTTGATCAAGATGGTAAAGAAATGAGTTAATATGACAGAGAATCATCATGATTACACCATGCTTTGCACTAATTGGTCTGGATCAAAGACTCAAATTAAATCACTCCAGCACAACTCAATACTCATACATTGTACATGCAGATAGTACCAATCATCCTGAATACTGCATTGAGGTTTTGGAGGGATGAGTATTTTGTGTGTGAGTTTTTGTGTGTGAATGAACATCAATGAATAAATGTAATGCTGCTTGGTAGTTGCCAGTTGGCATAACTGATATACTTAGACAATGCAGTATTCTTACATTTATTGTAAGCAGGATATGAACATTGGTACACAACCGCCACATGTGTTTCCAGTTTGTGCACAAACATTAATGCACCCATTACACTTCACTACATATGGTACACTGGCACTCTTGTAGATTGTAGATTAATATTGCATCAACTTTATGTGCATGCACTTCATTTAAATTATGACTTGCATATTTCCCTATTACCCTATTATCTCTTCAAAACTATTTGACCTTCATCGAAAACCCCACATCAGAAGAAGAGATAGCCTTAGCACGCTGTATGCATCATTCTACTTATACTGTAAGTTGTCAATTATCCCATTTATGTACGAGTAATATGTATTTGCAGCTAAAAAAAAAAAAAAAAATAGAAAGAAATAAACCATCATAATTTTTTGGGACTGATTTAAATGTATAGTTAAGTGCACAGAAAATTTCATTTTTATTTTATTTGTTAAACAATATGAGGAAAATGTAGCCTTTGTCTGCACTTTCAAATGTAATCAAATCCATGAAAAAATGAGACGAGACTGGAATGATTTATAGTTAGATTTAGGAAATGTGAAATGACTGACAGTGAAGAAGATGAGAAAGGACACCCACTATGTCAACACAAACCATCTTCACCAATTCTTAGAATACATCTTTCATGTACCACAGTACGACTTTTTGAACAGCTGAATTTGACAGCAAAAGTTTCTTTCAAAATAGCTTACTTGTCAAGTTCGGTGATATTGTCCCACGATGAATCAGCAAGCCAACCAGAACAGGGATTGTCCATTTGTTCTTCGCGATCCAAAACCTACAAAAATCAAATATAGTAGAACATCGCTGTAACATCGCTGTAACCACACAATGGGGTCCACCAATGATTGTTTGATAGCTAGTCGATGTTTGTTAAAGCAAATTTGGTTACCAGCATGACACACAAATGTGCCCAGACGGTCTCCATCTACATGTTCTTTCCCTTCCATAATAATGGAAAATAATGTCAGCATGTCTCTCACAATTAACATGGGCTTTCACTGAAATTTGTTAAGTGACTGAAAATGAAGGAAAATTCAAGCCACATGAATGTATAGTCATTTAAGAAATTTTATCAAGTATATTTTATAGCAGCAGTCGGGATTCTAGGCAGCCAATCAGCGTTGGGATTGTAGGCAGCCAATCATTATTAGTGGGTTGCCGCCAAAATGCTAGGCCAATCCGTAGACAGGAATACGTATTGATAGATGTGTGTGTCATTTTTTTATGTTGCGGCTTCAAAAGACAAACATGAAAGTTTAGTTTGAAAATAATTTTTAATTATCATTATGCTGCTTTTAATCATACTCATTATTTGTATGTATTGCAGAGTCAGTCAAGATACTTTGCGTATGACTATGAGATTGGGACTCAGTGGACATATTTTAAGTATGATACTGCGGTTCAGTGGAGATATTTTACGGAGTTCTCGACACCTGGTCGGGCACGATTGGTGATGGCACCGTGACACCATTGCCACTACCCAGGCAGCAGCCGCGGCGCGTCCGGCCGGCCGCGGGAGAGAAGCGGAAGGCTCCGAGGCTCCAGGCAGTAAACCTCGTCAGTTACCTACGGTTCTGTCAGCGCCACAGTCCAGCTATTGGGTAAAGTTGGTTGAATCGGTGAGGATTTTCCAATAATCTGGCATTCTTGAAACATTGAATTTTCATTTGCAGTCACTTGCTCCATATTTAAATGAAGGATGGCAGTCTGCCCTTAATTTTACGGCAGTTTCAAGACATTGCACTTGCATTGAACTAAATGGACAGGTACAGTGATGACAAAATTTTACCCACGACTGTAAAATAATAATGGGTTGGTTTTTTAAGGGTATATTCTTGAAGATACTTAAAAGGACGATGGGTAGTCTGTTCGTAATACAAGCTTAATCACGAGTACGGAATCTATGAAAAGCCTACGAATGAAATAATCTCGTATTTCGAAAATATTTGGGTACATAATTCCGTCCCCATTGTTACTACAAACAGAATTTATTTAATATCTTTTAATGAAGGCTGGCAGGCAGCTCTTTCTTTACACGGCAGTAGGCAGTTACATTTACACACCGTGCCAACAAGAACTTTTACCCACGATTTAGCATCAGAATTTGTGTGTTTATTTATTGGTATCGTTAATTAGGTTTCAGGTTTCAGGTTTCAGGTTATTTCCATACTATAAGGTAATTATGTTGAATAATATACATCAGGTTAACATTTTAACGGAACTTTGGAATAATAGTATGGGGAGGCCAGACAAGAAGCCGAAGCTTGTACTAGGTCTGCCCCCTTCACAAAGAATACATGTAGTTATACAATTCATGAATAATCATAGGATATATCAATATGTGATTACATTAAATTCAAGAGCTCATGCAAAACTTTACAAAAAAAGAATAAGTTACTTGAAGTAAATTTACCATCCTTGGCTTTTCATGTGTTGTTAATAATTTTACTTGGCAATAAAGTAATAATTTTGCTCTTAATCACCATTGATATTAGCCGTAGTGAGAAGTAGTTTTTTATAATACAATTTACAGGCTTGCTGATCAGAAGTTAGTTTGTGAAGCGAAATGTATTTATTTTGGCCGACGTAAGGCCGATTGTGTGGCTCCAGGTTGAAGTTGTCTAACACATCCATTTAGGTGCTAAAAGGTTACACTGTGGGTATACATGTATATACATGTACATGTCTTGTAATACAGGATTCATAACATTTGTACCTTCCCTTGGGTTAGTGGTAACTAGTGATAGTTTGCGGTAGCACCATGTATATGAATACTTGTGGAACAGATGCAGAGTTTAATTTACAAATCGTTGGTGAAGTGAACGTTTATGCAAACCGAATACGTATTTCTTTTTGGCCAGTGTTGGGCCGGCCATGTTGAATACATGTTTTACATGTCACATCTATGCATAGTTTGGCGAAGGGTGCGACTGTGTATTGGTGTCGGCGATGCAGCTGGTGGATAACACTGATTTCAGTTATCACTGGTAATTTAGATATACCTTCCGGTTGTAGTAACACCATACTGGTGCATGTCTTTTGAAAAGATAATTCATAATAATTTCAGTAAAGTGCAAGTTAATTAATGGGAAGGTTTGACTCTTGGCATGGGGTTAGTGTAAACTATGATGGTGTGCGAGAACAGCAGGTGTATTAATCTCATTGGGGACTATAGGGGTTTTTCTGAAACAACCGTTTGGTCGTCATGGTGCAATCAGCCAGTATGCTCAGGGCACTGCATCAGTGCATCTAAAGATAAACCAACTTTATTCGTGAAATCATTGCTCCGATTAATAGGCTCTGATCTTCATGAGGTTAAAACCTGATGGAATAAATGAGTTAATACATTTACCAAATTCTAAATTGACCTATTTATGTTGCGCTGCATGGGTGATAGCACTTGAAATTTTGGATCATTCGGGGTTACAGAGTCGAACCAGTGCCCCGTGCAGCTTGTGGGTATTTAATGTAAACAAATGGTATTCGTTCATATTTCAAAGTTAGCTGGGAATGATTGCATGGCTTTGTGGTGGGCGAATTTTTCAGCTATAAACTCATGTGGTCCAGTCGTAGTTTCTGCATTATGAGGATACCAAATATTATTAATTTTGATATTGGACATCAATACTTTCGAAAGGAATGTATTTGTGTATTGATGTTGAATTTGCCATGAGCGGCCTAATTGGCTGCACGTTCGTTGCCTGTGAGAGCATTTTCCAACATTAATCGCGGTACATGTAGTACTCGGTGCACGTATGCAGTTATTGGGTCTTGCTGAACTTTTCGCCATCAATCACGTAACCACACCTGTGGCATAATGTACCAGTTTTAGGAAACCATATTTGTTGGTCCACCTTTTTGTATTTGTATAATTTTTATACTCAACTCAAGTTAGTTAAATGAGTATTGAGTTCGATTTTCTTTTACAACCAACCGGATTTTTGCATTCTGATGACCTGTTTCTCGGCACTTATTTGTGGGGTTTTTCCCTCTTGGATTTTGACCCTTCAATTTTGAAATCAGAAAGGGTGTGTTTGCCTTGAGGGTTTTTTCACCCCGCAAATGTGTTGGAGGCTGTTCTGAGGATCATGCGATCAATTGGTGAATGTACAACAATGTCCTTGGGAATATATACATTACCTTGTTGTAACAGGTACCTTGTATTAATTATCAGTAATCGAAAAAAATGAAAACAAAGACTTAAATGTTCCTTGTTATAGGCAAGGTGTTGTATTGACAGTGATCTTCTTATCGAGGTTCGACTGTATTTGGTGCACATACGCAGACTGAGTTGTGGGAGAGTGCGGTGCGTTATGAGGCAAGCCGCATGGCTTCTCACAATGAGGGCGAAGGGCCAGGGTGTTTGAACACACTTGGAAGTGCCTTAATTGGTGTGTTCGTTTCTTCTTTGTGGGTCGCAATTCTCGCGTGTGGCATTTTTTCGTGCCAAATAAGAAGTCGAACACCCAATCTTGTTTGGATATGGAATTAGCTAACTTCAATAGGATGGGACATTTGGCTTGTACATATACCTCTAAAGTTTCATGTGCTAGATGTAATTTTGTAATGTAACAATATAGCGCCGTGACGGCCCATTCCCTACCATACCTTTGGAGTTTATCCTTATTGTAAACATAAATGTGTAACAAATAGCCCGTGACCTCCCACACGGACTATACCGGCCGCATGTTCCAGCGGTTGGAACTATTGATTGTAATTTACTATTCTAAGAAAGTTTTCTGGAATAACTAATTTGTTGACCTTTAGGGTCTATAGTTTTACTGCAGCGATTCCTATTGAGTAGAGAGCATTCACACTGTTGCGTTCCTTTTTGATGGTTTGTGTGGACAGTGGTCATGAGTATCACTACCTATATTGTGGTTACTGTTATCAATGAGTCATTGTTGCGTTCTTTGTAGATGGTTTGTGTGGATAATGGTCTTGGGTATCACTATCCATATACATGTAGTGGCTATTGTTATCATTGAGTCCTTTGTGAGTTTGGGTGTAACGTCTATGTTTCCGGTTTGCCCTACCTTTTTTGATATTCCGGTAATATTGTATTGGTATCACTATCGGAACACATGTACATGTAGCCTGTAGATATCATTATTCATTGATGATTTACAGTGGTCAGGAGTACCGCCTAATGTTCCAGTTTGCCCAACGTTTTGGTATTCCGGTGAATTTTCTTACATTGAATTTGGAGCTGTGGCACACACACGCACACAACTTGGGTGTCTGTCTACTTTATTGGAGTTTGAGTGGTTCGTACCGCGCAATTCCAATATGCGTGAAAAGTTCACACTACAATTGCACACAACAGCGGCAGCCTTCACAAAATCATGGTGTGTAATTGCTTACAAATACTATCGTTATAACCTCATAATAAATACCAGAAAAGGAAAAACAAAACATTCTGGTCTCTACCTTCACAGGTACCCATTATACTCCAGGGTGGAGAGAGGCAAAAGTATTAAAGTGTCTTGAGTAGTAACGTGTCTTGCCCAAGAACACAAGCACCATGTTCCCCGTTAGGGTTCCAACCCATGTCACAAGTCAAACACCGTAACCATTGGACCACAGCGCTATAACTTTATCGCACTTCTGGTTGAATGCATGCTTCACATATTTACAAACACACAAGCAAAAAAAGTACACAAATTCCCAAATAAGTTGCTATAAGTAGACTCACCACACCGCCTCTCAAGAAGAAGTTGTATTCATCCATATTTATCTTGCCAGCAGCCTCCAAAATTTTGGCACACATTTGGAAGGAAAAGAGAAGTTTGTGCTTCTCAAACAGACCACGACATGTGAATCTGTAACATGACAATACAACATGTAATATTAATATATTGACAAAAAGTAAGTACGATAAATCATTTGGCAAAATGAGAATTGGAGAGAGAAAAAAGTGGATTCTGTTGGAGTGCAATAAAAATAGGGTTGTAACTGCTCACTGGTGAAAAGAAATTTTTTTTTTTCAGGACTAACATTATAAAACATTGAAGCAAAATTGAAGATGACTTGACAGTGGTGTTTGGCTCACTTAAACTTGACTCGATCATGGTATGTGACTCACCTCAACTTGATTCAACTTTCACGTTAAGTATTTAAGTTAGCATAACTTGCAATTTGCACTCGAGGTGACTTAATGTATGCCTCAAGCTCTAGTTGACTTGCTACAACACTGATAACTTCCCATGTCCACTAGAAGAACACAACTTGAAGTGTTTAATGGGAACATTTTAACAACTCGTTCTCAAATACCTGAGACAGTTGACTTATTCCTATTGGTCGAGAGCCCATCACGTGGGTGGTTTTTAACCGCCGTTTTCAAACACCGCTCAGTGTTTAAACAGCTAGTGTTTAAAACAGTGTTTAAACAGTTTAAAACCGGTCGCGAGCACCCATGCTCTGCACCACATGTGCGCAGTACCCAACGCGGGCTCTGGTGGCTTCAGAGCCACTGATATGATCTCCAAATAAGGAAATGTTGAACACAATGCACTTGCCAAGCGTTACCATAGCAGAATTGTTGACATTTTTTCAACTTTTCAACTTTGATCAAAAAAGTATTTATGAATCGGGATAATAGTGTGATTGAGCAGTTATAAATGTGATGTGAAAGCCCTTGCTTTAACTCAGGCCATTATCATCGGCCAGGCCTCTAACAGGTCTTAAACTGACAGGTTTATAACTGCTGCATCAAACTATTATCCCCTTATTGAAAAAAGGAAAGCCCAAACATTTGTTCTCCTTCATATACTTATTATGAATATCTATGAAAATTGAATATCTATACAGCGTGTCCCAATAAACATTGTGCATGAAGAAGTCGCTGATTTGCTCAAAAGGTAGTCATACTGGCTAATCAAATTTTATATTATTTTAAAAGCCTATGGTCTTGTTTATAATTAATGAATATATCAAGAAAATCCATCAATGCAAACCAGAGATATCGCTGATGTTGTAAGGCACAATTAGAATCCTGTATTTAAGCTTAGGCCAATACCTTCCAGCTGTCAAAGAAGATTGCATGTTCACTGTCCTTTCAAAACTTTTGTCAAAGACTAAACACCTGATATTAGGCATTCCAAGTGGTATTAGATTTGATTATATAATGTTATGTGCCCAAACTGTTATCTGTGAACATCCTTACCCAAATGCAACATAAAGGCCATGCATTATTTCAAGCGCTGCCTAACACATACCAATAATCCAATAATTGGTCAATACAAGCAAATACTATGTGTGGAAATTACATTGTGCAGGTCGAAAAAAACATAGCCTTACCAAATCAAAGATACCTCTGGTTTGCATCGTTGGATTTTCTTGATTTTTTCCACCAATTATAAACAAGATCATAGGCTTGAAAATGCTATAAAATTTGATTAGCTAGTCTGACCAACTTTTGAGAAAATCAGCGATTTCTTCATGCACAATGTTTATTGGGACACTCTGTATTGGGAGCATTTTTTCAAATCTTTGATGATGTTTCATTGTATGACCCACTACACAAATACATATGTACATGAAGCTGATTATGAACCTGTGAATGATAAAGTATTGAGGAAACTTACCTGTACACAGCATATGTGTGGTACTCATTCAGATTTAAGATTCGTGACTCAAGCTGTGGGCTTCGCTGACTCTTGTCTATAGATGTATTGAACAGGTCAATGTAGGAATCCAGTGAAAATTGATACATTGGGTCAATACGGCCCATATCATTGAGGACAAAGAAGAGAATGGATGCACGCTGAGCGCAAGGACGATAACCCTATAGACAAAATACAAAAACATGAATGGAATAACTTACTGTGACTATTTGGTAACAAATGTCCATTTGTTAGATATTTAAAGGTTCATGTTAAATAATTACATGTACAAGCTTTTCAGTTAATAAAAGTAGCCTTTCTAAACAACGAGAAATTGAGTAAATTACATCTTAGTTATCCCTTTAAAGATGCTAAACAGGTGTTTTATTATATTTTGAGACGGACATGACAATGCTTTATTTAAGCTGGCAAATATAAGAAACAGAAGTGCATTCTCTTCTGCATGTGAGTTAACATGACTCTAGCATTTATTCAGGTTTCTGCCTGACATTAATTAGCAGAAACTTGAGAAATAGGGCTCATCAAAGTTTCTATAGGCATTAGATATTTTGCTGAATACTGTGCAGCATACGTCAAGACAGTATAATGGCAGCAATATGTTCTTCAATTATTCAGTATCAGAGTCCTCTACAACAGGCTTTGACAGGTTTTGAAAGATAACTTTATACTATTTCACAATAATGAATCATTACGTTGGACATAATGGTTATAGTAGTATTTACGTTTTGTAAATCATGTGCAGTTTAACCCTTGGTTCTCTATTTGTGAATTATCCACCAACTTAGTGAATACAATTTCTCAGTGTTAAAAACTATGCTGAAGCATTTACTACACAATATGAAATATTACAGATATATTGTGTTCAAATGTTTAAAAACCTCTTAACTTTTTATTTCTTAAAGATGTCTGTTTTGGTTGCTTCTAGACACTGCCGTTTCTACAGAATTTTGAAATAAACCAGTAGTAACAACAATACCGAGGTCAAATGTCAAGTTTCTATAAACTTGATATTTCTCACAAAGCGGTATTGACCTTGATCATGGTTTGGTGTTGGTTAATTCCAGCATGCGCAGTCTGGGTTGTACAGAGGTACTGATTAAATCACATGGGTAAATGATATATTATTCAACTATTTGCTGGAACCCTGTACCTGTAGACTGGTGGCAGTCTTCCCACTGAGTTTCCCAGTTCAATGGTTTGTGCAGCTAAGCCTAAATCCCCAAAGACTAACAATATGAGACTCCGTGCTTACAAATGATACTACTTTTTTCCAGATTCACCTACATGTACATGCATACATAAATAACCTTCTGTGCTTACATATGGAACATAAGTGCTTTCCTCAAATAATAAGTGAGAGTTGTCTAATATCTGACCTCTCTGGCTGCATCAATTTTGGCCTCAGTCTGCTCTGAAACCTGAAGCTGTTCACCAACTTCTTCTGATGTTTTCTTGGATGTTTGGAGGGTATTGACCAATTGTTCATCATCAAGAAGTGATCCCTGTGCTTCATTGAGCAACCTACAGGAGAAAAGAGGAAGAAAACCAAGTTAATTCACTCCAGCTCCATTCTTTCAAAAGCAACATGAAAAATCAGACTCGGGGGGAAAAAAACCTTAAACTACATTTGTACATTTAAAATGTTTTGTAATGTCATCTAGTTATTTGTTTGCATTCTATACTTACCTCAAAATTTCATCCTCTAGTTCCACAAGTTTTTTCTTTCCTGCAGCGATATTCATGACTAGAGCATCTTTTTGCTCTTCAAGTTCAGGTCTTTCCTTACGGACCACAATGCCAAGCAACTGAGCCTCAAGTCCTTGCTCTTTCACAGCAAAATTTGTAATGGTTGTCTTGGTGGAAATCTCTGGTGTGTAGTGGGGATTACTCAGCTTAGTTGTGATATAGAACTTGAAGTCAGGGCTGTAGTCCAGCTCCTTATCACCAAGGCGGATCGTGAGTCTCCCACCTATCCATCAAAACATGCATGGGTATCAAATTAAAGTGAATCAAACCAAACAAAAATGATGTTATCATTGTTTACAATTGAAAAAGGTCATTATTTGTGATGTCTTTGGTGAGATTAAAACTTTAGCTGTGTTTAGAACAGATATATTTATAGACAATGTCCTTTGACATAGCAGAAGTAAGAGGAATTCCTTAGAACCATGGGCGTCGCGAGGGGGGGCAAGGAGGGGGTGCTTGCCCCTCCCCCCCCCCAAGACAAGCCCAATTTTTTTTAAATTCACAGCGTTGCTATTGAAACCCCTCAGCCAGAGTCAAGTTATCATCAATATGGTGACCTTGACCTTTGACCCCAGAACCAATCCCAACGTGCCTGTACCAATGGGTAACTCCCTACCGAAGTTAGACACCAAAATTTCATTTCTAACTCAAGTTATCTTCAGGAAACCATTCACCTTTATCTCACCATGGTGACCTTGATCTTTGACCTTTTGACCCCAAAACCAATCCCAACTTGCCTGTACCCAAGGGCAACCCCCTACCTAAGTTAGACACCAAAATCTCATTTCCAACTCAAGTTATCATCCGGAAACCATTTACCTTTAACTCACAATGGTGACCTTGACCTTTGACCCCAGAACCAATCCCAACTTGCCTACTCCCAAGGGCAACCCCTTACTGAAGTTAGACAGCAAAATGTGATTTCTAACTTAAGTTATCATACAGAAACTAAGCTACCCGGACATCCCAAAAAGATGGACTTCCGGGGTACCTCCACTGTTGTCCCATTGTCCCGTTTTCTAAAGATTTTGTTGCAGGGTACTAGGCCGTGGGCTATGGGGGGTCCCAGTGCACCCCCCAACCAGAACCCACCGCCACTGACATTTTTTTGATCCTTGGCATGTTCCCAATAGGAAAAAAGATGTTAACAGTGAAAATTTAGGGATGCTCTCTCTCAGGAGGCCAATTATTGGAATTTCCTATGATTGAGCTTAGAAGGCATTTGCTTAGCACTAGGGTTAGAAGGGGACGAAACAAATTGCCATAACCTGAGCAGACCTTAACCGACTCAGCAACTATTCTTCATGAACAGGTCTTTTTGGCTGCCATGGAAAACTACAGAGGGCGCTACGGTCAAACGAAATATATATACATGTTTAAAATTTTACGAAAAGTTGCTCATCATTAACATTACAGCATACGTCTTGAAAGCCACCAAATCATAAAACAGAAGTTAAGTTATGATTGTCCAACTTCTGTTGAGCTGGTAGGTCTTGGCAAATTGAAAATTATATACAGAGAGGTTGTGGAATGCTCGAAGACATTTCCGTCATTTTTCGGGTATATGTAGCCTAAGGTGTGATGAAATAAAAACCACTATTTCTGTCATGAGTACAAAAGGTACTTTTGAGAGCTGTTTTTCAGGTCCAGTTTCGACCCGAACGTGCAACTGTGTAAAAGTCGTTGTTGCGGGCAGCAAACAAAACACAGTAAATCGTGACGTAATAAACAGGACTCCCGATGCACAGTAGCATACACGAGTCCTGTTTATTACATCACGATTTACTGTGTTTTGTTTGCTGCCCGCAACGACGACTTTTACACAGTTGCACGTTCGGGTCGAAACTGGACCTGAAAAACAGCTCTCAAAAGTACCTTTTGTACTCATTTCATGACAGAAACAATAGTGGTTTTTATTTCATTACACCTTAGGCTACATATACCCGAAAAATGACGGAAATGTCTTTGAGAATTCCACAACCTCTTTAAACAACGTCCTGCTGAATCAAGGTTCTGGTATTCTTAGCCTTTGGGTTGGTAGGCGGCAGGTCAATCTTCCAGATACATGCATACATACCATTTCCAATCTTGGTTAAGCTTGACATGGTATATGTTCATGTATTTATCTTTCTAAAACTGTTTTGAATTGTCATGGAAACCGTGTACAGAGCCTGACCCTATACCCAGAAAAATATAATAATATATATACATTTTTGAATAAGTAGAGATTTTGTGAGTTTTTAGTCTTAGTGGCAATTAAATAAAAGGAAAATGGCTGTGATCCATTCTAGCCTGTTGGATCCATACTTGTAAACACAAATGGGGTAAAATATTGAAATTACTTAATTGATGGAAGATTTTGTCATCGCAAAACTATGCTTATGTCGCTAATCCAAGCATAGATGGGAATATTCTTAGCTCAGCGATGGACATATGTGAGGTACCGGTACATTAGTCAACATTACACATGTAAATATCAACAAGGGCGGATCCAGTCAACAATCCCAATCTTTGTACAGGCAACTCCCACCCAACAGCTCCAAATACCTAATCTTTTTCCGACAACGGATGATACAAAGCGGGATTCTCCAGTGCGCCCCATCAAGGCCTCCAAAGGGGACGCCACGCACAACACAGCCAGACACCTCACCAAAATGCTTAGTCTACTAGTTAGCAACACCAAATTAATGCTGCATCAAGAATTCTGAGAGTTTGCCATCTTCACCTCAGACCTCACCCTCCAGTCAAACGCTATCAGAGTTGTCTGCTTGGGAGTCAAGTCTCTCTTAATCAACATACTCAGCGCCGACTGACCTGTAGCATCGTGAAAAGAAATACTTTAACTGGACCATACAAGGATACTACAGACCCCACACCAGACAAGTTTCATGGTATTCTGCTTACCTGTGTGTCATCTAAGTCAATGGCATCCTTTATATCATCAGTTCTGGCCAATATATTCATAGAAAAAAAATGAGCAGACCACCAACATCACGGCAGAGCACAGACCACATGTTTGGCTCCTTCATCGTCAAGTGATGACACCTTCATCATCTGGCAGCATGAGTAAGAGAATCTACTGCTCCTCTACTTCCCCGACAAAGGTTCTCCTATACCTAAAAGGCCCATTAATTAGGGTCACATGCGAAAGATCACTCCTTCCTTGAATGAGAGTTGTACTTTCAACGCATCCTGACAAGAAGCATGGCATCAAAGCTTTCACCATACAACACCCCCGAAAACCACAATCTGCTGCAATCTCACAAGAACCAGCAAGATCCAACCTTCAGAATCGGAATAGTCAGAATCCTTTGCCAATGTAAACGAAGTGTACATCGACGAGGCCGTTATAGTGACCTCCCCACTTCTACTTCTACGTATACTCAGCTGCCCAAGACTATCATAGGGTTGTAGTGATCTCCATTCTTCCCAATAGGATGCAAGAGACCAACAGTTCCCTGGAGATACTGAACAGTCGAAGGACAACCACAGGGTCTATTCCAGGACACGGTCCCCCAACATATTGGTTCATCTAACAGTGACATCTGGTGCCCTATACTCTTCCAGACAATCCAATGGGTCACCTATACGCACGGAAAGCTTGATTCCCACACCTTGTAGTCAGTCTATGGGTCTCCTATACCACTGACAACCTTTATTTCACAACTTCCTTCTATCACACTGATACCCCAATGATCAGCTACATGTACATGTAGCATCTCCTGCCCAAGTCATCCTACACTCTTTGGGTTATTGAATCCCTCTTACTCCTGACGAAGAGCAGAGTGTACTGTCATATGTCCAAAACCTGAAGTTTCCCCTGGTTCTTGTAAGGCCCTCACAAACTAAAAAAATAAGTCTCGTCTCTTTGTTTAATCTAAAACTGATTCTTTCAGGGTTTAAATACAAAATGAACCACATACAGGTGAACCACCCTGATATAAAACTTATCTACTCTTGGGGTAGTCTCCATCAGAAGCAGTGAAAAATGTAAACAGTTGCTAAACTTCAGTGGGACAATAATTATTTGATAGTTGCATGTACCTCCCGTACGTCCATCGCTGAGCTAAGAATATTCTCATCTATGCTTAGATTTGCGACATAAGCATAGTTTAGCGATGACAAAATCTTCCATAAGTTAAGTAATTTCAATATTTTACCCCATTTGTGTTTACAATATGGATCCAACAGGCTAGAATTGATCACATCCATGTTGCTATTTTTGATTTTCCTTTTATTTAACTGCCATTTAAACTAAAAACTCACAAAATCTCTACTTATTGAAAACTGTATATATCATTATATTTATCTGGGTATAGAGTCAGGCTCTGTAGACGATTTCCATGGCGATTCAAGGCATTTTTAGAAAGATAAATACATGAACATATACCATGTCAAGCTTAACCAAGATTGGAAAAGGTATATGCATGTATCTGGAAGATTGACCTGACATCTACCAACCCTAAGGCTAAGAATACCAGAACCTAGATTCAACAGGACGTTGTTTAACTATTTATAAATGTAAATAATTTTCAATTTGCCAAGACCTTACTCTTAAATTAGCTCATCAGAAGCTGGACAATTATAACTTAACTTCTGTTTTATGATTTGGTGGCTTTCAAGACTAAAAGTAAGCTGTAATGTTAATGATGAGCAACTTTTCGTAAAATTTTCAAAATAAACATGTATATATTTTGTTTGACTGTAGCGCCCTCTATATTTAGTTTCCATGGCAACCACAGATATTTTTTGAAAGACCTGTTCATGAAGAATAGTTTGCTGAGTTTGATTAAGATCGGTTAAGGTCTGCTCAGGTTATGGCAATTTGTTTCGTCCCCTTCCAACCCTAGTGCTAAGCAAATGCCTTCTAAGCTCAATCATAGGAAATTCCAATAATTGGCCTCCTGAGAGAGAGCATCCCTAAATTTTCACTGTTAACATCTTTTTTTCCTATTGGGGACATGCCAAGGATCAAAAAAATGTCGGTGGCGGTGGGTTCTGGTTGGGGGGGGGGGGGGGGGGACTGGGACCCCCATAGCCCACAGACTATACCCTTTTTTCTAAAGAGTTTATTTGTGGGGTACCTCGAACAAAAGACAGGTACCCCACAAGGATGGACGGCCGCTCCAGCATGACGGAATTGTGGGGTGATAGCATTGTGTTCCCCTTATCCCTTTTTCTAAAGATTCTCTTCTGGGGTGATGTTTTTCTATTGTGAAAATAGTGGGGTGATGTGTCAGAACGGACGTTCCAGCCAGACGGAATTGTGGGGTGATAGCATTGTGTTCCCATTATCCCTTTTGGTAAAGATTCCCTTCTGGGGTGATGTTTTTCTATTGTGAAAAAAGTGGGGTGATGTGTCAGAACGGACGTTCCAGCCAGACGGAATTGTGGGGTGATAGCATTGTGTTCCCATTATCCCTTTTGGTAAAGATTCCCTTCTGGGGTGATGTTTTTCTATTGTGTAAAAAGTGGGGTGATGTGTCCTGAAAGGAACATCACCCCACAAGGGTGGTATGGTCAGAACGGACATACGAATGGATGGACGGACGCCATAGGCGATGACAATACCCCTCAAGCCTCTCGGCTGAGGGGTAAAAGGAGAAAAAAAATGAAAAGAAAAGAAAAAGAGGCGCGAAGTCATATTGTTGTTAATTTAATGGGTTGGGGGGGTAGGGGGGAAAATGTCCCTGCCCACCCTTGAAAAATTTATCAATCGAGAAAATGCTAGAAAAATATAGGGATTTTGGGGGAAAAATGTGCTTTGCCCCCCTCTAGATAAAATCCTGGCAATGCCCATGCTTAGAACTGTTTGAACCAGTACCCCGAAGCATCAAATGATATCATCCAGTTGGATGTGCTCCAACTTCTACCACCTTTAAATATTTTTTTGAAGAAAGTTTCCCCAAATCCTAATTTAAACTGTTGTTGCGTATTAAAGTTCTCCACTAGCTACTGAAGTGTTTCCACTATTGGAGGGTACTGGGTATAGTACTTTTGGTTGTAGAAAAAGTAACAGATTGGATGCTAACAAAATTAGTTAAAGTAGTAAATACCATGTTACACAGTCTTTGCAAAATTAGACAGGGTGAAATATTGTAAGAATTTATACCAATTTGCGCAATATGGATAGCTACAGTAATCTCACTGGATCTAGATAGTGACTGACCTCGTTTGATGACTGACTTGTTCAGTATGGGTGACAATGATGGATCCAACTCCTCCTGCACATTTTGCAGTAGTACCGGAAATCCATATTGGATGGCATTCTCTAAGGTTCGTAAGTAGTCATGCTGCTGAAGATCTATCATCTTCAGGCCACGTTTCCCTTCCATATTCTTGATCCACTTAATAGCTTGTCCTTGAGGGTCCACCATCAATGGCCATCTTAATATAGAAAAAGCAACATGTCTTTTTAGAGTCGTTCTCCCATGCTATTTCTGAGTTTCAAGAGTTTTTAGCTTCCTTTTTTTTTTTTTCCTTTTTTTAGCTCTTGTTTTTGTTTTTGTTTTTGTCTCTTTTTTTTTTTTTCTTCCCCTTTTTTCCCATAGGATAATACGTGTTTTCGTTCTACAAGGCAATTTTGGACTTTTTTCAAATCCGATCAACTTCAAACCTGGCACACATTTAGACCACCATCTGAAGATGTATGCCGAATCATGACGTCATCATGACGTCATCACGTGACGTCATCCTAAAAGAGCATACTTTAAGGCCCTATATCTACAGAACCGGAAGTCCGATTTGGTTCAAACTTGGTATGCAAGTATTCCGGGACGTGTTATAGACGAAAATTGCAGTGACATCATGATGACGTCATCGTGTGATTTTATATAAATTATTCAATTTTTGGATTGAATAAATTATTAGCGATTTTTAAATCGCTTGTAATTTGATAGACGTAACAAAATATATAACATCTTCGTAACATGATACAAGTTCACACAAGGTTTTGTGGTTGTACCGTTAACCGTTTGGAAGTAATTTTGCTTTGTTATTTTTTTTTAGGCTTACGTCTTCAGTTTGAATTCATCTAACTTTGACCTTCCGGTACAATCGGAAGTAAAGGTCAAGCGAGTTTGCGTACAGGACAAAAAATGTTGAGCAATTAATGGTCTATCTTATTACAGAATATAAACATCGTTGATTATTTAGTTCAAGAGTTATATGTGAAAGTAATTGGTCTTTTTTCCACCTAAAATCACTAGTAATTTGACACCTGAGGACGTAATCATGAGGTCGGAAGGAAGGAAGGAAGGAAGGAAGGAAGGAAGGAAGGAAGGAAGATTGATTATTCGTAACAGATCCAAAGACTGGTCGGGTTGTGCCCGACCACTCAAATAGAGGTTTGCTTTTGTTGAGTTACAAACGCAGAGTGGTCAGGAAGGCAATTATTTCATTAAACACTGTCGAGATAAGTTATGAATATGTTTATGTACGAACAAAAGATCACAAAATAAAATCCTTTCCAGTACAATCAATTAAATTGCATCTTGAAAGGTGGGATAAATTTCAGTAAACATTCCGTGTACACATACAAGTTATTCCTTGCTTGATGACGTCATTATTCAAAAACGGGAAGTGATACTGATTTGTGGATAAATATTCATTGTGAAGTTAAATAACGCATGAAAATCTGGAAAATATAAGTGTATGTATTCATAACACCGAACTTCCAGTTTGATGACGTCACAGTATTTGAAAGCAAAAGGTGAACATTGTAATCATATCGTTATTAGGGCCAAGATATACGACATGGATCAAATGATAGAATTTTTTTTTTTTTTAATTTCAAATATGATCGGCAAATTCTCATAGAAGTAACTTCCGGTCTGATGACGTCATGGATTTGAAACCTTGCCAAGGTATCTGTGAATAATCAAAGGATATCAAGGGTTGTTTTGGTAAAATTTGAACCTATGGTCTTAAAAGTAAAGAAAGGCGCCCTTTCAGATGATGACTTCATCACACTGTTTTTTTGTCAAGCATTCCTCACTAAACACTTTCATAAGATATATATCTACTTCCGCTTTTAAATTGTATCAGGTTTTTGTTGCACTTCCGGTTACACCGGAAGTAAAGGTCAAGCAGTTTTGTGTCCAGGGATAAGAAATGTTTCTCACAGCATAGTCTACTACCTCACGAAAAAACGAACACGTTACTGTATTTAGCTCAAAAGATATAACGCAAATAATTTTGTCAAAATTTGCCCTTAAATCGCTTGTAATGTTATATCTGATGACGTCATGATGATGTAACAAAATTGACAACATCTTCGAAACATGGTACAAGTTTACACAAGGTTTTGTGATCATACCGTAAACTGTTCGGAAGAAATTGTGCTTTGTTTTGATTTCATGCTAACGTCTTCATTTTGAATTCACCTAACTTTGACCTTCCGGTAGACCCGGAGGTAAAGGTCATGCGAGTTTACGTACACAACAAAAAATGTTTAGCAGTTAATGGTCTATCTGATTACAGAATACCACCGTCATTAATTATTGAGTTCAAGAGTTATAGATGAAAGTGATTGGTCACTTTTTCAGATAAAATCCCTAAGTAATATGCACCACTTCGGATAAGGGTCGATATATATTAAAAGTTACAAGTTCATACATATACTGTTTAGGAGAAAACCCGCGGAGAAGTATTGTCCGGAAAAAAAGGAAAGAAAGAAGATTGATAAGAACAAATCCAGACAGTGGTCGGGTTGTGCCCAACCACTCAAAGGTTAATCGTAACAACTCCAAAGAGAATCAGAACAAAAACAAAGGCTTTTCCGGAACTATGTGGAAAAGCCAAAAATATAAATACAAGAGCATAAGATGAGAGGCATAATAGGAGAAGATGAGATGAGAGGCAGAATCTTTTACGTCTAATCATACCTGCTTCCTCTAGTGACAATGACGCCATTCTCAGTAGAGAAGGAATCTGTGGGTAATCCCTGGATATTCCAGTCACGTACAGCAGTTGGTTTGGAGAGGAATAGTGCAAAACTGAAGTCAGGACTGCATGGTACATTCAGTTTCCGGACCTATTGAATAAGATGATACAAACTGATTGAGTAACCATTGAAGGCACTTTTATGCAAATGAAATAGCTTTGAATTATATTTCCAATATACAATGATATTGTCTTTGGTATTAAGACCATACCATACACAAACTAATGGATATCTTAGGTGCTGCACTGCTAATATAACTTTGAAGATAATGAAGGTTGTAGTGACCCAAAAGTAAAGTGTATTCTAACAAATCACTTACTTCTCATGAAATCAGTTTGCCAATTTTGTCTGATTAGTATATATGCCAGTAATGAATACATACCTCTTTGAGCCAAACTTCCTTCACAAGATAGTCTCTGTACTCTGATAAGAAAGGCCCAGAATAAGACAAGAATGCAGCAGCTACCAGACAATCACCAACCAAGAACACCATGTTCTCCTCCAAAACCTAAAAACACATCAGAATTTGATCATGTATCAACAGAATATAAGTAGATTAAACCTGAAATATTTACTGTGTCTTTGCACATATTGAAAATGAAAATGCTGTTAGAGGGTAATGGACAAAAATCAAGTCTAACCTTAACATTTTCCTCCCAGCGATCCCTCTCTCCAGCCAAGCCAGACACCAGCTTTCCAGCTCTTTCTAGTTTGACCTCCATCATTTCTGCCTTGATACGCAGCTGCTCTTTCTCGGCCAACTTTTCATCATATTGCTTTTTCAGCATCTCCATTCTATCTGTTACCTGTAGACAATAAGGTGGTGATGTATCCATTTTGGGTTCTTCATACTCTAAAGCTAACTATGAGTACTCAGTCAGTGATTACTATGAACCTCCTCATGAACTGCTATTATTGTGACTTTGGATTTGACCCTTTGCCTCATGGTGTCTGCCCAACACACCTTCAATAACAGACATTGATAAACTCAGAGTTATCAGTATAGCTTTGATGGTGTTCCCAATTACAAGGTCAAGACAACCGATCTCTACATACTGACTGGATAACACATCAGGGAGGTCTATGGGCTCCGTGCACAAGTACCCCCTCAATGGTAAGTAAGGGAAAGTTGGGGGAGACCACTTGGACCGACATTCAAACGCATTGACGACGACGCCCGACGCTCATGCGAAGATGCTACCGGTATGGTTTTGTGCACATTAATAATAAAATTAGTCGCGCGTACATGTACTTCAGGCCATACACGCGTGAACCAGTATGCACATGCTGTGTGTCCCATCCACAGGGCTCTCAAAGGTGGTAATAAGCACTCTTAGTGTGTCAAATCTTGAAACAGTGAACTGTGTGTTGATTGCACAATAGTTAGCGTCTTTGCAAAACTGATCGTGAAGGACATATTTAGGTAGGACATCATTGAAATTTATGAGGACATTTAAAGTTATGTTAATATTTACATAGAAAACAAAACTTTTGCAGATATTTCATCCCATCATTGACCTACATCATCTTATTTAAAGGGAATGTACAACGTTTGCTTTTGCTGCAATTTTCGGAAATAAATGGATTTGGAGGATTAGTATGTTATAGCAAATATTGTTAAACTTAGTTGCTTCATGTTTTGGGTTTGGAGATGCTGGAAAATCCAAGAAAACCAACCATGTTTTTGTAGTCTGGTTCCCTGACCTCACATAAGATGAAACAGAGCAATTTTATAGACTTTGGGGGACTGTAAGGCCAGAGAACAGTCTAGAAGGCTTATACCCCTTCACAGGTGTGTAATCAATTGCAAAGAAAATGCGGAATAACTAAATATGAAAATTAATAGCACTTTTTGAAAAAAAGTCAGTTTTCTCCAACGCTGGTCGGCCGACCAGCGTTGGAAAAATACAAGTTTTCTTGAAAATGTCAGCACACCAACAGCCGATTTTACAGGATGCTTTGGACTGTCATTCCCTAGCAGTCCAGTAAGAAATTTCCGGATAATTTGATCATTTCGTTTTTTGATGCTTGCAAATGTTGTATCTTCCCTTTGATGTCAACATTATACAAAATAACATCCTACATATAATGCCTGACCAGCATGGCTTTTCCACAAGAGGCAACCATTGGAGGTGTGATGAGTGACTCGCATGTGGCCTCACTTAGTCGTGCACAGGTGTTTGCACAAACCAGTCAGTATAAAGGGATCAGTCAATTTCTTAATCTTTGTTCACAACCTTATACTGATTACAATTTCCCTTTGTTTTTTTTATTGATGAATTTTATAAAGAAATAAATTAAAACAAGTTTTTATTTTCAAGAGAGAAAAACAAAGCCTTTGCTTGCATGATAATTTAAATTTTGCAGTAGAGTATTTAAAAAAAAAGCACACAAGCTTCGACTTAAAACTAAATATGACAGGAAGTTCCCCTCTTTTGTACAACCATACCTGTATAAGTATAACATCATCATATTGAAGTCGATGTAGATGAAAAGAATCTAGGTGTTACAGTCCAAAGTTAATTAAACCCCCATGATATAACTATCCATTCAGCCTTGAGCATGCACCTACAAAAAGGCTACAACACCTGACTATGAATGACGCTCAATTCAAAAACAAAACTAAACACAAGAAGAAGAACACACAGTCATTCTATTACTAGTCAAAACCTGGTCGTAATACTAGGATCTATGGAAGTCGTACTATTACAGCAGTGTATGGATTAAAGTAGCAGGCCTATATTTGGATCCAGCTATTAAGGCCTGCTTTATAGTTCGGAGTACATTTTGAAACTTCAAGCTATTGACAACTTTTTTTAAATGAAGTGTCTTTAAATGTTTACCTCTTTGAGTTTTGCTTTTGCCTCAGCCAGAATTGCCTGTTTTTCAGCAAGCATGGATGTTGCATTGTTCAAGCGTTGCTTCTTAGGCTCCACAACTCTGAAAATGCGACCATAGACATCCATGGCTCTCACCCACAGACAAAGGGAGCGTGCTGCAGCTGAGACACGTCCAATAATGTCTGGTTGGAAGTCAGGCTGTGCACAGTACTGGCCAATACGTTTCAAAACCCGGTCAGACATGTTGTCTTTGTCAAACTCTATCAGCTCTTTGATGAAATTCTGGTTACCTAGAATTGTTATTTAAAGAAAAAGGAAATAAATCAACACAAATATACCTAAAGAGCTACCTTTAATTATCTGAATCATGAATATGAAGGAAAGGATCCAAGTGGGAGCTCCGTCTTAACCTTGTCAACTTCAATTCTTGAAGTCATTAACATGGTCATCATCATTGTTGTCTCAATCAAAAGATGAAGGCAAACATAGTAACTCTAATTTACTGTCCTCCTCTGTTAAATCTTTAAAACTAGACACATCATTAGACATAACTGTTTCCACCTCACCTTGAAATTGTACAGTGAAGTGCAAGGTGCATGTCACAAAATAATGAACATTGGATTGTACAGCCGTAGAATGAGTCTTCAAAAATTGGTCAATGTTTGCAACATGAGAGTGACTGATCTTACACACATCTTTGTTATTAGAACTATTGTTTCCAATACACCCATGCACCTTCTGCACCACCCTGCCCATTAAACATTCTTATGCAATGTATACATGTACTTTAGCTTCTTGGCACAAAGCCTTTTCATGGGAACCCCTTTGAGAAAGGCCTAAGATGTTGCAGTTGCCCTAGTTCCATGGGCATGTACCTAACCAGTTGATTTATTTGGATAGATGTTTGAATGGCCCTAACCACCCAATGAAACAGAGTATCCCGAATGGCTGATCTGTAAGGAGATGTTGTTGTGATAAACAGCTGAAAAATGGAACTCTGAGAGTTTTAGTGCAAGCAAGGTACCATTTAAGCGCCCGTACAGAGCACCACACTTGTCTTCCACAACCGCTGAGACAGTCAATGTTGGGGGGGGGGGGGGAGGGGAATGAGTCCGACTGGTTTTTGGTTAGGAAACCTTGGCTAGGTATCAGTCAGACACCATGTGGCTCCCACCTGATGTGTCCATTACCAATTGTAAGTGCATGGAGCTCACTTCGCCTTCTGGCTGTGGCCGCAGCTAGAAGAAAAATCGTCTTCACAGTCAGGTTCATCAGGGAAGCCGCGGAAAGTGGCTCAAATGGAGGCTTGGCTAACAATGGACCGATCCAGTAAGCTCCTCCCACTGCGCACGTGGGCAAATTAACACGTGCTCCTCTCCAATGCCACACTGCATTTCCCTGCTGCGCGCATCATACGCGCGTGCACGCATGTCGGACTTTTGTGCACGCATGTCGGACATAAATCACGGCTGTGATTGGTCAGAATACCAGAATACGGTGCTTACTGGATCGGTCCATTGCAGGACCTTACCCAGATCCCAAGAGGGTACCAGACAGCATTGGGGGGGGGGGGGGGGGGGCACTCGATAAACATGCCATTAAGAAATTCAGATAGGGCATTATTAGTCGAAACAGTTGAACCATCCAAAAATCCCTTATGTATTGTAGCAATCGCCGAACGATAACCCTTAATAGTTGCCACGTACAGATCTTGCGAATGGGAATCGCCAAATGGGATGACATTAAACAAAATAGACTTTATCATGATAAATAACAAATGGAAATCAAGTGTCCGAAATGCTAGAGAGTTACAACGAACTATATAATGAACAAAACCCCACAAATACAGCAGCAGCAGAAAGCCTGCCTATCAACTCACCAGATGACCCAGTGCCAAGTATACTGAAAGTCGAAAGTGCCATTAAGAAATCCAGTGAAGAGAAGGCACTTGGATTTGACTTCATCAGCTCAGAAAAAAATTAAAGCAGCAGGTGAAGCAAGAACAGACATATTTCATTATCTGTGCAATCAAATATGGAAAAATGAATTGTTCCCAGAGGACTGGGGAACAGTGGTAATAACTCCAATATACATGTATAAGAAGGACAAACTAGACTGTGCAAACTACTGAGGCATTAGTCTGTTGTCCCATGTAGGGAAAATAATGGCCATAATTCTGCAAAGAAGAATTCTCAAAAGAACAGAAGAAATTCTATCAGAATCCTAAGCGGGATTCAGACCAGGGAGGGCTACTACTGACCAAAATTTCACTTTAAGACAAATAACCGAAAAATACCTGGAAAAAGACAAGAGCCTCTATTGCTGCTACATCGACTTCCGGAAAGCATTTGATTCAATTTGGCAGAGGGGCCTATGGATGGCGATGGCCTTCTTTGGATACGCAAGCAAGCTGATAAGACTGTTGCAGGCACTCACGATACGAGCAATCCCAGAGTGCGGTCAGAGTAAATGAAGAGCTCACAGAGTGGTTCAAGACAACTGTCGGAGTCAGACAGGGGTGCATAATCTCCCTCCAACTCTTCAACATCCTTCTTGAGCTAGTTATGCTCATGGCCTTAGATGATACCCAAATAGGAGTCACCATACGAGGGACTTGTATAAACAACCTGCGATTTGCAGATGACATCGTCCTAATAGAAGAAACCCCAGAGGAACATCAATCACTGGTAGACAAAGTGTACAAATCTAGCAGTGACTATGGCCTCAAGATATACATCAGCAAAACAGAAGTTCAAGTCATAAGCAAAAGAAAGTGTAACGTCAACATCAAAATCAACAACAACAAACTTGAGCAGGTGCACAATTTTGTGTACCTGGGGAGCACAATAGCAGACAATGGAACAAGCGCAAACGACATCAAAACAAAAATCAGGAAAGTGGGGGCAGCATTTCAAAAGCTGAACAACATTTGGACATCCAAAGTCATCAGCAACCACACCAAGATGCAGCTGTACCAAACTCTGATTCTATCAATACTCCTGTATGGTGCCGAGTCATGGGCACTTCAGAAAGAAGATGAAACAGGTTCCATATTTTTGAGATGTCTTGCCTTCGTCACATAATGGGAGTAAGCCGTCTAGACAAAATCTGTAACACACACATCACAGAATCACTCAACCTGGACCTAGACATATCAGAAAGAGCAACAATAAAAAGATTGAAGTACTTTGGCCACGTTAGAAGAATGCAACCCACAGGGTAGGGCCGGTCCGGGGTGAGTATCATTGGGTCGGGACGGTCTGGGTTGAGTAGTCTGGCTCTCATTTTGGCATAGTATTGTTGATCAAATATGGGCCTTAAAAGTTAAAATGTGTTTAATTTTTAATGGCTCTTCATATCAAAGTATTTTAAACATTTTACCTCTGTACACAAAATTTGGCGCTTTCAGGAAAAAGTACCCAATTCAGTAGGATTTCAGCACATATATCCACTGGACTCTGTCCGACTTTTGATGTATGGAGATAATAGTGTGATGGAGCAGGTATAAATGTTATGTGGGCCATTATCGGTGGCCAGGCCCCTACCCGGCTTTAAACCATATGTTTACAACTACTCCATCACAGTATAATCTCCTTATAGGGGCCATTCAAAATTTTCGATGTTTTTAAATTTCAAAAACAAAATTCACTTTTTTCAATTAAAAACTGAGATAGAAAATAGAAAATAAAAGCTCTTTGGACTGGCCAATTCTGCATTCTGATTCGTAAACCTTTGCCCATACCGTACTGTACGAGTACAGTATGCATCCGGTACATGTACAATGTACCTTGTATTGTGTATACGTCCATTGGAGCACCATATGCATGGGGACCAGTGAAGTTAGACTTATAGCATGTGTAAAATCAGTGCGCCGTGCAAATGGAGCGGATACCCCGGGTTTATTTTACACGCCACGAGTGTCGGTTACGAATCGCGACAACGAAATAAACCTACTTGTGTTCAAGACTAATAGGCAACCCGCGTGTGCTATGCGCATGGTACATCTGCCTGCAATGAACATGGCAGCACCCACACGTCTTGAAAACGCGAGTTGAGAGTTCAAAAAAAAAATTCGACTGCACTTTGTGAATAAACTTCATGAATAATGGGAGTCATTACACCTCTTTTCGATAAGACAAAAGTTAATTTTTTTTAGAGCGAACTGAAACTTATAATCGTTTAGAATGAACTAGTTTTACGTGTTTCCAGGTGGATTCCCTATACGTACGGGAATGCTAGTGGGCCATGTTGTTGGTAAGGTACTGTATACAGACTGTAGCTGCATTCCGCCATCAATGAACTGGACATTCGTTATGTTTTATATTGAATGGCAAATCAATATTTTAAGATCCAAAATTGGGGTGGGTGGGTGGGTCAAAACAATTTTGAACAAAAAAATTGAAATTTAAAAACATCGAAAATTTTGAATAGCCCCTTAATTAAACTAAACCTGCAATTTGCTCATTGCACAAAATCACAAGATTGCAAAAGAAGCAACGTTTTCAAAGCCAGATTACCCAATTGTCTCTTTGCCTCAGCCCATGTCGGTTCACATCCTTTCAGGATCATGACAGCTTCCATCACTTTCTCAACTAATGCTGGAGGTCGTCCATAGGATTTGATCTCTCCAATGTCTTTCTTGTTGAGGGATTCCAAAGCCTTTATGTGTAAAAGAAAAAGGAATTTATTATTTTAAGCCCTTATTTAGTGACTTAAACTCTTTTTCAAATGAAATCCTTGGTAACTAGTACATTTAAAAGGAACGTTTTAATGTAATCTGTCCATTACCTTGACTGCCTCTTCTAATGCAGGTAAAGCCTCAGCTAAATCTTGCTGGGCAGCATCCGCCATGGCCTGACATCGAACTTCTTCCTCTCCAATCTTTTCACTACGAGCTTGAACACTCTGAACAAAACCAAAAAAATTCCAAAACATACAACTTATTGTTGGATGAATGATAAATAAATTCTTCCGACATTATTTGTTTAACCATGAAGGAAATTTGATTGAGAAATTATCTCTGTTTTTTTTTTCAGTTCAAGCAGAAAGAGGATGTAGTAAATATTACATTTGACACAATCGATGGCTTTCATATATAGAGCAGACAAGCAAAGCACTTAATATGCAAAGTTCCACTTGAGGAAGGAGACCCTTTGTCATATCAGCTCCATACATATTGATATTTCATTTTGATAACATTGTACTAATTTGTAGTAGTTTAACATTCAAAAAGGGAGCAAATCCATAATTAAATCCAAATCCAAAAGTACTTTTGGATGAGAAATGTTCAAGCAACAATTTTATCAGTATATCAATAACCCAATAGGGCTCTCTCACTGACCAATATGACCCGGCCTACGTCCGGGTATTAGGCAGTCTCAGCGCTACCATTGTAGTAGGCAAAGATTGTATAGTGCCATTTGCAAAAGGTAGTAGGCAGGCCTCCAAAGCTGATGAGTGGCAAAAACTGTGACAATAATGCTCAGTGGGAGGCATGATTATGACAACCGTGCACAGCACAAGTATTGACCAGTGTGTCATTTTATAAAGAGTTCAAGGTTATTTTACGTGAAAATAAGCTGTCTAATTTACAATGCACGACTAGGTTGCTTCCTAAACGTATGCCTACTGCAATGGTGGCCAATCACACAAAAAAACTGGATAGTCAAGTGGTACTTTCACGTCATAAGATTGGAACCTATGAAGCCATAGTAAAAATGTTGACATTAATTTAATATTCTAACAAATCAACGTGTGATTGTGTCTTAAATGCTGGCCGCTGAGGTAATGTAGACGTAATAAATAGCTGTTTTGTCTGACCCCTTAAGTGTTTTGTTCGGTCAACATACCATTTCAGAGCTCGTACTGGACACCACATCTTGTCTGATGGGATTGAGGAGAGCGATTTTATTTCTGGGACAAATATATCCGGTGGTTGAAAGGAAGCGGATTGATTTTTGGTCAGGAATCCAGAATTGGGGATCAATCGCACCCCATTTGGTTCCCAACGCACGTGGCCATCTTCTACTGTGAGCGCATGTAGTTCACTGCGACGTCTGGCAGTTGCTACAGCTAGCAAAACTACCACTTTTATTGACAGGTGTAATAGTGAATAGGGGTGTAGGGGTGATCTGGATGGATAGCACCTTTGGCCATGAGCAGCCGCCCTATGATTATGGGGGCTCTAACCTCTGGTTCCACTAGTTCACCCTAGCTCATGTATGGCTCCACGGAACTGCTTGACGGCAGTGGCCACACCCTGGCTCCTGACCTCGGCTGGTCAGCCAAACTACATGAGTGAACCTGCATGGTGGACTCCTGCAGGTGAGGGACTTTTCCCTCCTGTACACATGTCCACATGTCAGCTCGGCAGCAGGGGCTGGCAGCTGCAATCATAGCGGTGCCACTTTCCCCATGTATAGGCTTAAGTGTCTCCGGTATGCTGTGGCCAACCATCAAGCGGAGGAACTCACTTCTGAGTCAACAGTTGTTGGTCACCAGGCGTAGTTAGTTCGTCACTGCAGGGCAACCTTTCTTCATCTCAGCCGTCACACTATTGCGTTCCGCTGGTCCAGATGAATGCTAGGTCAAGAGGAGAGTGTCTGTCCTGGGCAAGCATTCACTCTCAATCAATGTTTGCCTCGGCGCTCGGTGTCCCACAATCATGATTGCACGACTTGATCAAAATAAGCGTCCGGCCAGTCGGGGGCCACCCTTTTTGGGGACTTCCGTTGCCCGGCAAGGACTGCGTTCCAGGCAGGCGCGTCTGGGTCATCATCCTGCTACTGCCTCTCGTGTTAGCTTGTTGGAATGTTCGCTCCTTGACTATACACACTCATCGCCAATCTTCTTCACCAAGAAAGTCTGCGATAATTGATCTTGAACTTACTCGCTTGGGCATAAATGTGTGTGCTCTCAGTGAGACCTGGCTTACCGGTAGTGGCTCAGTCCGCGAGGCTAGCTTCTCATTCTTTTGGTCTGGTCACCCCGACACCGCAAGACCTATGCATTGAGTTGGCCTGGCAATTCAGAACTCGCTTCTCCCATGTATCCACCAAACTGTCTCCCACTCACCCCGTCTCATGTCCATGCGAATTAGCCTTAGGAGTGGTCTGGTCACTGTTATCTCGGCATACACTCCTACTCTGATGGCTACTTCTGAGAAGAAGGATGAATTTTACCAACTCCTCGACAATACTTTGCTCAGCATTCCAGCTGGGGATAACATTGTGCTTGCCGGAGACTTCAATGCACGCAGCGGATCTGATTACAGGTCATGGATCGGTGTAATTGGCCCCCACGGTGTGGGCAAAATGAATGACAACGGGCAGCGCCTTCTTGAGTGCTGTGCTGGCCACGATTTGTGTCTCACCAGCACTTTTTCCGCAGGTTCCCCTTACTCCAAGGCCACCTGGTTGCATCCACGCTCACACCGATGGCACCAACTCGACCACATTATCGTCAGGAAACGACAGCTGTGCGGTGTCAAACAATGTCGTAGCATGCACTCAGCAGACTGTAACACTGACCATGCCCTTGTCCGTAGCAAGCTCAGAATGCATCCCAAACAATTTCACACAGCTCAGCCGAAGCCAACCCCTGCAGTTAACACCTCTGCTACCCGTGACATCAACCGCGTCACCAAGTTTCGTGAGCTCGTTACCGATCGTTTTGGCTCATCTCCCACACCTGACAAGTCTGGTCCCGCATGGTCTAGATTCAAGTCTTCAGTCACGAACTGCGCTCTTACTGCCTTTGGTCGCCGTACTCGAACACAACCCGACTGGTTCCGTGATAGTGCTGACATCCTGCTCCCGGCTATAGAGGCCAAACGAACTGCCAGAATCAAAGCCACCGTAATTCGTACCCGCTCTTCGGCGTCTGTGCTCCGTGCTGCAAAGAGTAACGTTCAATGCCTTGTCCGTACCGCCCTCTGCCGTTACTGGTCTGGTCTCAGTGCCCGCATCCAACACTGCGCTGACTCTGGGGATCTTCGTGGCCTGTACAATGGTATTAAAGAGGCCATTGGTCCTACCCCAAAGAAGAGTGCTCCACTGCTGTCAGCTTCTGGCATAGCTATTACTGATCCATCAGCACAGCTTGACCGCTGGGCAGAGCACTACAGCTCTCTCTTTGCTAGCGATGTAGAAGTGTGCTCCGATGCATTAGCCTTTCTCCCACAACTTTCCGTCCTGCATGAGCTTGACTGTGCCATCACCTCGTCTGGAGTAAAACGTGCAATCAGTGGTCTTGAAAACAACAAGTCCCCTGGTGCAGACGGCATTCCTTCTGAAGTCATGAAGTGCGGTGGTGCTGCCCTGTCAACTGAGCTTCTTAACGTATTCCAACTCTGCTGGCACTCACGCTGTCTACCACAAGACCTAAAGGATGCGAATATTATTACTCTCTTCAAAAACAAAGGTAGCAGACAAGATTGTAACAACTACAGAGGCATTTCCTTGTTGAGCCAAGCCGGCAAGGTTCTCGCCCGTGTACTACTTCCCAGGTTACAGGTCATCGGTGATAGAGTCCTCCCAGAGAGCCAGTGTGGGTTCCGTGCCTCCCGCTCAACTGCCGATATGGTTTTCTCCCTTAGACAGCTACAGGAGAAGTGCATTGAGCAACTACGTCCGCTCTACGTCGTATTTATCGACCTGACAAAGGTTTTTGACTCTGTAAGTCGCTCAGGCCTGTTCTCCATCTTGAAGCGCCTGGGCTGTCCAGACACACTACTGTCCATCCTCGTAGCTTTCCACGACGACATGCAAGCCACAGTTCAATTCAATGGCTCCAAATCTGGAAAGTTCCCGATCCTGTGCGGTGTCAAACAAGGATGTGTGCTTGCTCCCACCTTGTTCGGGATCTTCTTCTCGGCTCTACTCCTGCGCGCCTTTCCTGACCCTTCTGGCGTTTTGCTACATTCCCGCAGCTCAGGAAAGCTATTTAACCTCTCTCGTCTCCGTGCCAGGACTAAAATTAGACGTGTTCTCATTAGAGAACTCCTGTATGCAGATGATGCTGCTCTTGTCGCCTACAGTGAATCCGACCTTCAATCCCCGTGTAATTCCTTTGCCAAAGCCTGCTCAGAGTTTGGCATGCGGATCAGCCTCGGCAAGACAGTTGTCCTCTCGCAAGGTTCCATAGCTCCTCTCCTGATTTCCATCAACGGGTCTAGCCTGAGCGTCGTTGATGAGTTCGCATACCTCGGCTCAATCATCTCCAGCAACAATTCTCTTGATGCTGAACTCAACTCCCGCATCGGTAAAACTGCAACCACATTCGGCCGTCTCCGCTAACGTGTTTGGAACAACAAAAACCTCTCCATCAAACTGAAGATCAGCGTCTACGTTGCCTGTGTACTGAGTGTCCTGCTGTACTGCAGTGAATGATGGACCACGTACCGTCGCCAAGAACGTCGTCTCAACTCCTTCCACTTCCGATGCCTTCGTCCCATTCTTGGCATTTCCTGGCGTGATCATATCCCAAACGTTTCCATTCTGCAGCTCACCGAAACTGCCGATATGTTTTCCATGCTGAGACAGCGCCGCCTTCAGTGGGTCGGTCATGTGCACAGGCAGGCAGATGGATGAATCCCCAAGGATCTCCTCTACGGTGAACTTGCCGACGCTCCTCGCCCCCGTGGTCGACCTAGACTGCGATACAAAGACGTCCTGAAATGCGACCTTGCCTCTTTGGGATACCACTTACTACTTGGGACTCAACTGCCAGCAACCGTCTCTATTGGCATTCTGCTGTCTACAACGATTTATCTTCATCAAGACAACTTTACATTGATGATTGTGAGAGACGTCATCTCCATTGTCGTTTGCGACGGGATGGGCCATGATGATGGTGATGTAATAGTGAAGCCTGACTCAAGGGTTCATACGGGGCCTTTGAAAGAC